CATGTATTCGGATGAAGAAATCCTAAAGGCAGCGAATGGGAGACACAAAAATGCTACCGGCAGAGAACTGATCGGAACCCTTGCGTTGACGCAGGCTTTTGGGGTAAGTGATTATGATGTCGGATACTATCTCGCGTTCTCAAATTGATGACCGTAATTTCTCTCGTCATTTGAAATGATGTACCTTTATCAACGTAATATATGTCGTGATTCCAGAATGTCAGAACACCACTTATCGTTCGCTCCTACATCGGAATGTTCGTGTTTTGCACGATTTTAACGGTGAACTGGGTGATCATATTCTACTGCGGCTGGTCGTTGAACACTGTAAGACAGCTGCACAAGACTTTTATAAATGGAGTTTAGGCGTTAAAATTCCAGCAGGGCGTCAGCTCGAGAACTCGGACAATGCAGAGGGAGCTGTTCCAGGCGCTGGTATTCCAGGTAGCAAACATAAACAATTTAAAACCATGTTTTCTGCGTTTAGCTAATCGTTCCGCTGATCTGCGTCTTCAGCCCGTTGACGCTTATCTTCATTGCACCGCTGATCGGATTTGACAACTGGAACACTGAACTAATTTGCTTGTTACTAATGTTTGACCCGATTCTCGAGCCGCTGGTTATGATGTATTTTATAAAATGTTATAGGTAGGTAATTCCGGATATCCTATTTTCAAATAGGTTGCAGGAAACTTAGGTACGTAGTAAAATATAAGGCTTATCCCGTTTTTCTTTCTAGAGCCCCAATCGTCCGTTGGTTCCGGTGCGGTGGTCAGCAGATCTATGGCACGACAAATTCCTCGGTAATTAGTTAGATGAATTAGACATCTTCCTAGTGTTTGTTTCAATGAATAATTTTTGTTTAGAACGGTGTACGGGCGTTAAGTCGAAGCGCCGGTCCAACGAATACCAATACGAATACGGTTGCGGTCATTTCGGGTACAAACGACGAAACGACGATACAGAGATCTCTCAAAGTGGAAGAGCAAGACGATATCTATTTGAGATTTGCATAGATTTTAATAAATGCCCAGGGTTGGAACGCCGCTTCGCGGATGTATGCTAATTGTTTCTTAAATGGCATTTTCAGGGACGTTTTTGGCAAGAAAGCAAAGATTTTGCCGCGGTCGGGGGTCGAACTCGGGCCTCCCGTTCGGGAGGCGCGGATGGATACCCGTCAGCCACAGATGCAGCTTGGCGATGGGGCGAGGGGCGCCCCGACCAGGAAAGCAGGGGGCCTCCCACGGCACGGGCAGGCGGTACGCACGGTCCCTACGTCCATAGGGTGTACACGTTGGGCCGAGTCCACGGCCCCTCCCTGAACGTGCGCTTTAACCAAGAGGGCCCCGAAGATTTTACAAAAACCTAGTTTTAATATCGATAATAGATTGTTTTACTGATTCTAAGAAATGTGCAGTCATCTCGGGACCATTATGCATTTAATGGCGCATAAGCACACCCCAGAATCTCGCTCGAATTACTGTCATTTTTCCTAAAAATCATTTTTCCTAAATTCATTTTTCCTAAAAATCATTTTTCCTAAAAGTCATTTTTCCTAAAAATCATTTTTCCTAAAAATCATTTTTCCTAAAAGTCATTTTTCCTAAAAATCATTTTTCCTAAAGTTCATTTTCCTAAAACCGGTTAACTATTGCAAAAATCTCGGTTCTTTAGTATTATGCATCCAAAAGTCGAAATTTTTTATAATAGATTTAGATATGCCTAGGATGGTCATAGGAAGTATTTTAGTTGCGCGTTTAGCCTAGATTTGGGTGATTGGAAGTGAAAAAGGATCAATGATAATAAGAAAGATTTTCGATAAAAGCCTACTAATAACCAAACCAAACAAATACTGCTAAAAAATGACAACATTTGGCCTTTCTTGATATTTTTACGCATCCCTATTTTAGGGTCCCTATTTATCCCTCATCATTTTTCCTAAAATGACTTTTAGGAAAAATGACTTTTAGGAAAAATGATTTTTAGGAAAAATGACTTTTAGGAAAAATGATTTTTAGGAAAAATGAATTTAGGAAAATTGAATTTTGGAAAAATGAACATAACCCGTTTTTGATATATTTAGCTTGCATTTTTGTACTGACCTGAGACCAAAGGGCAATGTTTAACGGAAAAGAATGAAAAATCAGATGAAAAAAGCAACCGCGTCTCGACCTTCTAAAATCGGCAACGCTGCTGGTGGTCACAAAAAATGGCTAGTCTCGTTTAAGCTCTTGAAAAACGAAGATTGATCTAGCCAAGAGCTTTAACCCCCGGAATCCGTGCGAATCGCCCAATTTCCAGGGCGCAATCTAGTGATGGTTGTTGTGCTGCACTTTATAATGCGTTGTGCTTTGCTTCAATTGAGCTTACTAATTATTGCATGATAGAATCTCGCAAACCGGAGTCCCGAGATCGAAATCTCCGAATTTTCTGGATGTAGGAAATGACGATCTGGAATTGCCAGAATATTGAAGTTTTCATAGACTAGTTACGGGTTCCCTTAATGGGTTACCTATAAAGCGCTAAGGTCTAAAAACCGCTTCGCGACTTTTCTACCCCGTCTAGGACCTATGAAAGTACTGACTTTGCATAATTCGTGCCGATCAAGGGCTTTCCATGGTGTAACTATCATTCCGATCCGATACGCCAGCATCGAGTTAGAGGGTTTTTTACTAAAACACCGTAGTGAGCGTTCAGCAAGATTCCGGTTCCCCGAAACCGATGGCTGTTCTATGGGTTCTAACGTTGTCCTTTCCCATCCAAAAATCAAACCGAAATTTTGCGGGACAAACTTGGCATGAGTCAGGGCGATCACAGCATGGGATATGCACTCGGCCAGCAGAAAATTACGGTTTGGGCTTTTTTGGGATGCAGTAGCTTCCCAAGCTAATAGAAAAGCCCTTTGGCTTATTGGGTTTGCTCAGCATCTGTGGGATCCCGCGTAAAAGATTCCAGGAATCTTTGGATTACTATTTTTGATCTGGCAGTTGTTTTCGCGTCTCTTCGGACTTTTCCGACTGCTTGGGATTAAAGATGCGACCGAGCGGAATCATCAACTATAATAGGTTTTTGATAGAATGTTTAATTTACCTAGAAAATTATTTTTTTAGTCTATAATCAACTTAACGTTATTTGATAATTTTTTCGGATCGTGATCGTATACTATTTAAACCAAGAAGTAGCACTATAAGTTTGCTCCTAAAACGCAACGCACTCGCAAAACAAAACACGGGAAATCCGGAGCACCGTGCAACTTTCCGGTACATTATTGCCCAAGCTCAAATCGGCGTTTTCAATGGAACAGTGGGGTTCTTACTAGGGAAGTGCAAATAAAAAATCCAGCAAACCGCTTAGAAAAAAGATGGGTCTGATAGAGTCGGCGACGGGGATTCCGAAACTGCAATCAGAATTTGCTAAACGCTTAATACAAAAAAGTTATGAGCATTTTAAGTTTTGCACTACTTAATCCGCCCCCCTTATCAGCTCCTCCCGAAGAAGGGTGTCCACCTGTCGAGTGGTGTAGTGGCTAACTAGCCTGCCTCTGGGGCGGAGGCTCTCTGGTTCGACTCCCGGGTCATGCAAAACTTTTTGCTTTTTGGTCAAAGTCAACAACTTTAGACTTTTTCAAAGTTTCAAAGTCGAAAGGGCCGTTCTCTTAATTTTTAAATTCATGAAACCGATTACAAAGTGCTGGCGGGAGTGCAGGTACTTTTGCGGGTAGGGCACTAAAAAAATTCATCTCTGTTTTTTTCGTAAGTTAAGCCTACACGCAGTCAATAATAAAGAAAATGTTCAAAAATCTAAATGTCGGACTTCGAAACTTTGAAAAAGTCTAAAGTTGTTGACTTTGACCAAAAAGCAAAAAGTTTTGCATGACCCGGGAGTCGAACCAGAGAGCCTCCGCCACAGACGCAGGCTAGTTAGCCACTACACCACTCGACAGGTGGACACCCTTCTTCGGGAGGAGCTGATAAGGGAGGGCGGAGTAAGTAGTGCAAAACTTAAAATGCTCATAACTATTTTGTATTAAGCGTTTAGCAAATTCTGATTGCAGTTTCGGAATCCCCGTCGCCGACTCTATCAGACCCATCTTTTTGCTAAGCGGTTTGCGGGATTTTTTATTTGCACTTCCCTAGTTAGGAAACGAGCCGCTCTGGAACATTCCACGTGTCACCGGTAGGTTGGCTGCCCTTACCGGATGACTAGTCTTGGGTTTCGTGTGACTTATTCAGGGCCGCTGAAATTTCCGAACGACTCTCTAGGATACTTGACAGCGGCTTATCACTTAACTTTTGCTTTTAATGCTTTTTATTCCTTTGCTTCCACAGACAGTAGTCATACACATTTCTTACGTCATTTGAAAAAGCTCGTTAGGGGCTTGAAATTCTTATAAAACCGCATCTTTCAAAGAATGTGAACTTTGCGAAGCTCTCTTACAAAATAAAGATCGTGCATCAATCTTGAAGGTGTGGATTGTTCCGCATTTGAAGCTCTATCGCTGCGAAAGCAAGGTGGCATCTCAAAACCCAAAGTCACGAAAATAACTCTTTGTTAGCCTATTATCAAATTAATAAATGTCTCCGTAGGCAAAATATTTTCACTAAAGAATCTCTCTCCCTTTCGCTCCTCTCTCTCTTTCTCTCTCTCTCTCTCTGTCTGGCTCTCTCTCTGTCGCTCTCTGTCTCTCTCGTGCTCTCTCACTCCCTCTCTCCCTCTCTCTCTCCCTTTCCCTCTCGTTTTATGAAGCCTTCCTTTCCACCTTCCACTCCATGCAGATTTCCCGTGGACTTATCTTGTACCGTATGCTCCGCTGCTTCCTGATTATTTTCTTGGAGAACAAAGGAAGTGCATCTTCCTCAAAGAAATCATGTAATTCCCCCGTCACCTAGGGCTTTTGGATGCTGGAACTAATTTTCATGTAGTGACAAGGATAGTATTTTTGATTCTGTGCATTTTTCATTGACGGCTTTCACAATTCTTGCAACATGAATACCCACAGAATGATCGCTAACCAAACGGGGCACCTGGTGGAATGGTGCATCGCTGCTATCTTGAATGCCGTCATCCTTTGCTTAATTATTGTATACTCGCCTAAAACGATGGGAAAATATCCGTGGCTACTCGCGGCGTATTCGATTTTTAATATGACCTACGTGACGATAGATGTGATTGTCACGCCGGTGAGTAAAAAGCAAGGTGAATTTAAGCGTTTGCCATGAAAGAGACAATATCTAGAATGTCGGCATTCTCAATCTTGTCATTTCGAAATCTAATTTTGTCGAAAATCCGGAAAAAAACACCAAAATCCCAACATGCAAAATGCCGATAGTTGAAATCCCGACAGCTACGAGCGCGACATGCAAATAGCTGCCAAAAATAGGCGCATTAAAACTAAGATCAAGAACATGTCGGGATTTCGGCTGTCGGCATTTTGATTGTCGGAATTATGATTGGATTGACGAAATTTTAATCTGTCGAAAATTAACATCTCAACTAGTTCCAAAATCCATTGCGAACTTCATAAAAAAAAGGACTGCGAACTTCTGGCTAATAGCTCAGAAATATGGAAATTGAGACTTCTAAAAAGCGAAATTTCACAAAATCGCATGCCACAAAATTAATTTCGACTTCGAGTTTTTCGACAACCCAAAGCATTCCATGGGGGAACCAGTTAATCTGCAGTCGAAAATTTTTACGAAAACTTCTAGGCTTTACGAGTACCACGAAAATCTAGGCAGCTTGTTCGTAACTGCAAGCTACTTTTTTGCAGTCCACCTATATCGTGGGCCGCGCCTTCCTGCTCGTTTCCCTGACTAATATCATAACCGACGAGTTCTGGATTTTCAACTTGATGGTCCTCTACTGCTGCAGCTGTTGTGGTCTCCTCGTATTTCTGAGCTTTCAATTTTTGTATCGCTATATCGTGGTTTGCAAGTGGGTTTATATTCTGAGCTTTGAAGGCACTGATATTATATTAATCCATCCTTATAAACAGAATTCAGAGAACCTTGATAGAGTACTGATTGTAAATATAAAATCATAATGGAATAGCTTCTTTTACAGTCTTATGTAGTTTTCCTGATCAGATTTTTCTTTTCAGAACCGAATGGCTCCCGAAACTAACGACGGGCCGGACGATTCTTTATGGCGTTTCGTACTTCTTCTTGATTTGGTAATTTTGGATCGAACCTTTTGGGGACAAGCTTTTCTTTTAGTGGTACCTGGACAACTAACTCCTATTTCACGCTCTACCCCGACGAGGAGATCTTCAAGCTGACCAACGAGCGGTACACAAACTGGACCGGGCGCAGTGTGATGGGAACCCGGGGGTTGGCGCAGGCTTTTGAGGTTGGTTTCTGAATTTTTTCCTGTTGATTTATGGGCTTTCATTAGTGCGTCTATAAAAGAGTTTGGAAAATTTTCAGACTGTTTTTAAAGTACGGGAAATGGTTTGAGAATTTAAACTTGTAAGATGGTATCAAAAAATGTACAAAGGGTGGCCGATCATCTGTTCGAAATTCACCTGTTCGAAAATCACCTGTTCGAAAATCACGTATTCGAAAATCGCCTGTTCGAAAAATCATCTATTCGAAAAATTTGCATGTGGAATTGCCTAGAAATAGTACCAAAAATGACCATTTTCGAACACACGGTTTTCGAACAGGCGACTTTTCGAACAGGTGTCTTTTCGAACAGATGACTTTTCGAACAGACGTTTTTCGAATAGATGATTTTTCGAACAGATGATTTTCGAACAGGTGATTTTCGAACAGGTGATTTTCGAACAGGTGATAGGGAATCTGTACAAAGTAGCGCGAGAAAAGTTTTATCGGGGTATGCGTCGCTCACTTATGGTAAGGTATTTAATCCATCATTGTGAATAGATTAGAATTTATTTGATAGTATAAATAATATATAATAATTTAATTCATATATATTAATGATACATTAAATTATTAAAGGGGCTAAATTCGTCATGCGGGGACTAAACCTACTGCTAAAAAAAACGAAGGGGTCACCTCAGAAAAGTACTACAAAATTCATTTCTTTACGAAAAAAGGTAAGACATTTGAGTCAGAACGGAAATATTTTCGGGCTGTAAACGACTTTTTGAGCGCGCGGCTATTACGTGTCGTAATGCCTTGTAAGGCACCCAATCTCTCGATCTCGGTGATTCTCGGATCAATTTTCATAATCAAAAAATTCCCAAATGATCAAAATTCGATGAGGATTACAGAAAAAGCTTCAGAATTTGTAGATTCAATTGTTTTCACGTCCAAACTGGGGCAAAAGACCATGCGGCGCGGTTGCGCTGCGGTCGCATCTGGCGATTTGCCAGGAATCAACTCAAGGGGCCGTCGACCAGATTTCGGAGCCCCTTTAACCATATTTATTTGAGAAAGTCTCCACCCGCGTCATCGTCCGCTCCTACATCGGCATGTTCGTCTTCTGCTCGATGCTGTCGGCCAATTGGGCGATTATCATCTACTGTGGATGGGCATTAAATAAGGTATTTAACGGCACAAAAATTGTATTGCATTTTTCGTTTAGGCCCTAAAATCCAAAGGTATCAGCAATCGCACAAAAACTATGCAAAAGGAGCTCTTCCGGGCCCTGATTTTCCAGGTTTGTTTTTGGGGTCTTTTACAGCTGTTATGGTGTTTTTTTTTGCTGCATTCTATGGTAGATCGGCAAAAGGGCATTTGAAAAATTGTATTTCCGCAACAAACACACATAATAAAAGCAAATACAGTTCATACCCGGAAAACCAAAAAGTAGATCAAAACGGAAGGGATTTTTTTTATTTTTTAGCTCATCGTGCCGATCTGCTGCGTATTCGGACCTCTGGGTTTATTTCTTGGATCGGCTATCGTGGGCTTTGACAGCTGGGACACGGATATTCTCTGTATGCTAATTATGTTTGACCCGATGCTGGAGCCGATTGTGTTGATGTATTTCATTAAGTGCTACAGGTAAAATAGACCTTATCGGCTTAATTTAATAATTATTTAGTATTCAATCATATAAACATACATTAACTGGTACAGTTCGTAACTTTAGTAACTGTAAAATCAATCATGAAAGTCAGGTGAAAATGGGCTTTTTAGGCAACCAGTTATTCGCTTCTTTACCTGCGGACGGCGAAAGATTTACCAGTGGGGAAATAACTCATCGGTACGATCATTTTTTAATTTTTGAAAATGAAAATTTTAAATTTTTGACATTAATTAAAGATACGTTTTTAAGCAACACCAGGGTTGAAAAGCCGCTTCGCGACTTTTCAACCCTGGCCCCGTCTGATCTGATCATATTCTTCCTTTTGCATAATTCTCACGAATCCCCTTGTCAAAAAAATCAAAGCAGCTCCCTCTTTCTCTCATTATATAGGCTGCTTAAACTTCCGGTGTATGCTAATTGAGTCCTAACAAAGAGGATCTCCGATTTTTGATGAAAAACTTAATTTTAATGTCGAAAACAGCTTATTTTCGAAAATCTGATATGTGTGCAGGCATCGCAGGGCCATTACGCATCTAATGACATATCAAACGTACCCATCCCTTCTTCCCCTATCGAGATACGACTGGAACATAAGGACGGAAGTTGCATGCAAATGCACACACACACACACAAACACTATTTTTTTATATATAGTAGGATCTAATTTTATCTTTTTCTTAGGGAAGAGCTTCTGGCAAAACGGCCCCTCAAGGGGCCATCACCAAGTCGAGCACCCAACCTGATCCGGAAACCACTTCCAGAAATGTTATTATTTGAAGACAATGGATTTTCGCTTTGCTTCAGTAATATAAAGATTTTCTCTTGAATAACTCTTTGCTAGCCTACGTTTAATTCCTCCGAACACCGGTACCAACCGGCGTTTTTGTAGGGTGGCTGCGTAATTATGGAGCTTCGTGGAATCGCATCTAGGAAAGCCTTACGTAGCAATTTACTTTAGTATGCGAAACTATGCCCTTTCTCTTTCTGTCGTTCAAATTTTCTACGTATCTTTTTGCTAAATTGAGCTAAATTTCGACGAACTCCTACCCAACCTGCGATTTTGTGGGGTAGCTGCGTAATTACAGTAATTTGTGGAATTGGCAGAACGGCTCAGTAGGTCTTAAATAACAATTTTCCATAGCGAATATTTCTACCGGCCATGGTACAAAACATCAAAATTTCCAAAAACAAAAAATAAACAGAGAACGCACTCAGAAAATGATTCAATTACGTCATTTAAATCCTGTCCTTTCAACCCCGAAAATAATTTTTCAAAAAATTTCTATGTTGTCCTCGCATCCGGTTTTTGCTGTTAATATGGTTGGCCGTCAACAAAAAAGTGGAATTGTACCTGATTTGTTTTCTGATCGCAGGGAAGCGACTTAGCGTCGCGTCAACGGAATTTGAAGCGGGAACGCGGAATAATAGTGGGTGCAGGTTACGGTGGCTAATCCAACGAGGCTTAATCGGCTCGTGGCCTTGAAATTTAATACCTGGCAAAGTAGTAGCAAGTTCAAAATTTTCATTCCTCTTCGGTTAGTTTGGCTTGACCGTCTAGGTCGAAAAACGCGAAAAAAATTATTGAATATTGTTTTTTAAATGTTTACTTCGTGCTTGAGCAGTCTGGGCCTGATCAAAATTTACATGCAAAAAATTCGCCTGGTCGAAATCAAACCACTAACACTTGACTAGGTCTCCCTCCAGGACGACTAAAGCGTGCTACCATGCACTTACCTACCGTACCCCTCATAAGCGCGCTCTTATCAGGGGACAGGAAATGATCCGGCTGTTCGTAGATATTTCTAAAGAGACAGCTGCTTTATTCGGTTCTATCTCCGAGTCTGATTGCTTTTCCGGACGATCGAATCAGCCTCAGAGCGCCAGTCAACTAACAATTCTGAGGCTCGGTCTCTGAAAATGGGCAGTTTGCCTAAAGCTACAAAAACAACGAAATTCTTGCAGTTGCCACCGGGTTCTGTGTTTTTTCAAGATCGAAATCCATCGTCACCGTCATAATCTCATTGACTTTTTGCCTTGGATATTATGTTTAAAATTATGAGATTCTGAAAAGATTCTGAAGAGAAAATTCTGTCTCTCTTTTTCGCTCGCTCTTTCGCTCTCTCCCTCTCTCTCTCTCTCTCTCTCTCTCTCTCTCTCGCTCTGTACCTCTTTCTCGCTCTCTCTCTTGCTCTCTCGCTGTTTCTGTGACTCATATGACTCACTCTACCTTATTCGTCCCCCGCTCCGTCTCTCTCTCCCGCTCTCTCTCGATCTCTTTCTCTCTCTCTTTCTCTCTCTCTATCTATCTTCTCTGCTTGTGAGTCCCTTTAAAATGTCCCTCAGACGGCAGAATCGGCGTTTCTCGGAACTTCACATCCGTCTCTTGGTGCGCGACAACCCGCTATTCGGATAAATGGCATCGTCTGGACGTCCGAATTGTAGATGCTGGTCAAAATAGGCACCCTGGGTGGGGGCGGTACGACGAGTTGGAGCCGTTCGAATAACAATTTTTTTTTTTTGTAGCTTCCACTAAAGCCAAGCGCCTCGTGCTTGTTATCCGGGTTTTTAAAGCCGTTCCGACTCCACACTATCGTGGTTGTAGAGTGATGTTAGTACAGTAGGATACACTTTGTCGAAGCCAGGGCATGCTGAGCTTCAGCTATTAGCGCATTAATGAGAGTCTTCTAAGCGACACTTATAAAAACTTTTCTGTCTCTTCAGGTATAAGCGAAGTAGTGAGAGTTCATTTCTGGCCGCAGCGAAGGTAGCTTGGCGCCATTAATGCATTAATCATATACCAATACCAGGAAATATTTATAATTCTATTGCGTCCATTGAAATCCTTAATTTCCAGAACACAAGAATCATCGAACCAGAGTGATTGTTTTCGTAGAACCGCCTAACCACCACTTTCTTATGCATACCTTCATTAAGGCCCATTCAAGGAGTCAGATCTTTAGGTTATCACGTAGTATGCCTTATACCGGTTATGTCTGTAGTGAATAGTAGTAGGACAACCACTAAACCACCAACAGTTCGCGGGAGACAAGAGCTCTTAATTTTTCCCTTTAAAAACATATATAAGGAACTTTCGGACTTTTAAATACGGTACACATCACATTTAATATGTAGTTCTAGGTTACGGTAGTTGTTGTGTACCTCCGGAATTTTTTAAGATTCTATTGCTGGCTTTTCTATGTATCTTTCAGACGTTTCCAAATAATTTTTTTGCTGAAAGCTAATTATAAAAGCTCTATTTTTCAAGTTATTATAACTGCTTGTTAAAGGGGCTACGAAATGCCAAAAATTGAGTGACAGCCCGAAAATCTGAACCCTGTACGTCGGAGGCCTCTGTACACCTCGGGGCGCGGGTAGCTCGCAAATCTGAAATTTCCTGTTGTCACCTCGAAATCACGTTCTCGGCTGTTTCTGGCCCAAATTTGATGATTAAAACACCAAAACTGTTTAAAATTGAGTGAGGATTTGAAAAATGGGCTCAGAATGCGCGAATTGGAGTGTTTTCACAAAGAAACCGGGCAAAAACAGTTTCGCGCAAAAATCGAAAGGGTGAGGGCTCTCGTCTCGCAGCGGCCGCTGGCAATTTTCCAGAAATCAAAAAGGCCTCCCAAAAGGGCTTTGATTTGGCAGTTCGGAGCCCCTTTAAGGCTAGGATACGTATGAAGTTGATAATTTTTTGCAGGATAATGAATCGTCCCCTCATCCATATCAGCCAAGACATCCTGGCCTTTTTCTTGAATTGCGGCGCTCTGGCCGCAATTCTAAAGTACTCACCGCCGGCAATGGGCCACTACACTTGGCTTCTAGCGGCGTACACCGGATTCAATGCGCTTTACGTGATTCTGGATTCGATTTTAGCACCGGTAAGTTTAGAGGGCTGTCCGCAACGCGACTGTTTACATCCCCTGCCTGAAGAGCCAACTATTCGAACTCATTTAAGGTAAGAACATGCGAGTTTTTAGACTTCCTTCATCGTGGGGCGCACCTTTCTCTGTACCTCGGAATCGATGTTCACCCAAGATGAGGACATCATCTACGGCCTTTTACTACTCTATTGTTGTGGATTTTGTCAAGTGTTACTTTTCACAAGCGTCCAATTCTTCTACCGCTTTGTGGTGGTGTGCCGGTAAGCCTATTAAGATTCAGAAATTGTTAATTGGTAATTATAAAAAATTAGATGGCAAACAATACGATCTAGAACGAGGTTTAAAAAATCACTACGTTATAGTCACTAATCATTTCTTCCGTACGTTTTTTGTGGGGATGATTTACTTCTGCGGCCTATGGTAAGAGAGAGAGCGATGAAATAGAGATATAGAGATATAGAGAGATCAAGAGACCGGAGAACGAGAGAGAAAGAGAGCGAGAGAGAGAGCGAGAGAGAGAGAGAGAGAGAGAGAGAGAAAGAGAGAGAGAGAGCATTGATTTTAGCGCCATCTGGACCCTCAACACCCATCTAACCTTCACTCGAGATGAAGAAGTTTTCGAACTTGTCAACGAACGTCTGCTACCGTACTATGGCCGTAATGTGACGCATAGTGGAGCGCTATCCCTAGCTTGGGCTGTAAGTAGCACACCTCAAAAAGTTACGGTGGTTTTAGGATGTATCGCCCCACATCATCTTCCGTTCGTACGCAGGACTTGGGGTGTACTTCGTTATCCTTTCATTCACCTGGAACATTATTTTCTATTGTGGATGGGGGATTTATAGGGTATGTATTTATAATTTCTATAAGCTTTCAGCTCGATTTTAAATAGAAGATAGTTTAGTTTTTCCACAAATTCATTTTGATTCGAAAGTATAGATGTTACAAACCAAGGCGGCCAGCGACAAGACACGGAACATGCAGAAGGAGTTGTTCAAGGCCTTGGTACTGCAGGTAGGGAAAGAGAAATAGTGATAGGGCGAGAGAGAGAGAGAGGGACAGAGAGAGAGAGCGCGAGATCGAGAGCGAGACAGAGAGAAAGAGAAAGAGATATCTGATAGCCAGCTTTCTAGCTAACCATGCCCGCCATCTTCGTCTACACCCCAATGTCGATCGCCTTCCTTGGCGGACTTGTCGGCATCCAGACCTTTCCCATTGGCACGTTCAACATCATTCTGATGCTGGATCCAATTCTCGAGCCAATTGTTATTGTCTGGTTCGTCAAGTGCTATCGGTAAGTCCAAAAAATCAGGAAAAAGTGGAACTTTTTAGTTATCCAATTCTGCGCATGCTCTGCTGCGGGAATTCACGACTTGCCAACTACGTGGCGGACAGCTCGGTGAGTTTCGGTAGCTCTATCTCACTCTATCACTCTCTCTCTCTCTCTCTCTCCCTTTCACTCGCTCTCTTTCACTCGCTCTCTCTCTCTCACTCGTTTTGAGCCTGATGCTGAACTCCTGCTTCGCTATAATCTGCTTCCCGTCCCAATAAGTGTTGTGTACCAATGCTCAAAACGCTTTCAAGCCACCAAAAAACCATGAGGTACAATCAATCGTTTCCGCTTGTTACGTAGCGTCTTGTAATTTTGTATTGATTCATATTATTACGGTTTGTGCTACTTTTTATTTAAATGGCATTATCATTTTTAATACGCTTTTTAGAACGCCAAACAATCTATGGAAGCCCCGACCGCTCCCTCTGGATTGGTGACGGAGAGCGCCAGAAAAGTCGAGGCATAAGATATCTATCAAGAACCCACCCTGTTTTGCATTACTAATGATAATTTGTGTTCGATAAAAAATCTTGCAAAGAATTTTAAGCCGAAATTAAACGCAAAATGCCAAGGGGTACCGGTTGCAAAAGCATGGCAGCAGCTAAAAATTGGCCGCGATTTCATTTTTAACTAGTTTCTGAGCGTGCCCGTACTTGCATCGGCCAAACTTTCAAGGAGCCATTGCGCGAATTTTCAATACGACAGTCTGGATGAATTTGGTCAGTATCAAAAATTACGGTAACTAGGTATCGGACCAAGCAACGTAGCTTTTGTCGGAAAACGTTTTTTTTATCTGGAAAATGATATGAGGCATGCAAATTCTAGTAGCATGTTAGCGACGGTGCGCTGCTCCGAACGCGCAGGTTTCCCATCTTATTACACTTTTGACCTCAGATACCCCGGGAAAATGCAAAACTTAAGAAATTCCCAAGCCTTTCCGAAAATGACTAATTTTGTGATGCGAAGTTGGCGCAGATGTATTCGATCACGGAACTCTAGCACCTGTGAAAATTGAAATTGGCCGGGAAAGCTTCCAGAAACACGGGTGGTCGAGGATACGGTAGTCACAACCTTTGGTTCCGTCTGGAAATTGAGATCGACCACGTTCGTTTTGACGACGCAGTCGTTTTGAAATTTTGGGCGTTAATTTATGGTTATGTAATTTTATATAGATTTATTAGTTAGGCTACGATTTACCTCACCCCCCACCCGGGATGTCGGGCTATAACTTTTTTATTTTACATTAATGTAGGCTCAAATTAACCTTGTTAGCTTTAGCTTTAGCTTATTAGTAATAGCTTATTGGTAGGTTTTTCAAGAAAATTCCGTTGGAAAAATCGCGTTGGAAAAATCCCGACAAAAATAGCGAAAATACCGAAACTTTGAGACCCTCTAGGAACCATAAATCCAGCTGGCAAAAAGGAAACTACGACTGAATCCTAACCGCGGTCTTCCCATTCTTTGCTATTGTGCACCTACTTTTTGCGCGGTATTGTTCGTTACTCCACTCCAGACGACAGAAAAATTTACATACAAAGGCCCTAGTTCCGTGATGATGAATCTGCGCTTACTTATAGAGACCTAGAGGCAAATATAATTTTGATTCGCGGTTAAAAGTACCGTATCATCCGTCCTCCATGAGAAATTTTGGACTTTGGGTATAACTTTGAAAATTAATGGCTTCTTATCGTTAGGTTTCTGCAATTTGCCTAAAATTTGGCCCCCGGCGGAAGCGTTAAGTTTTAACTTTTAAATTCAGTCTCATCATCTCGAAATTGGATTGTCTCGTCCATTTTGAAGCCGATTTCAAGCAAAATTGGCTGCGAAAATGCTCTTGCACGTAGTCGCGCCGTCAAGCCGAATTATGCAAGCTAACCGCATGAGAAATTCTCATGATTGCTCAGCCAGGAAGTTTGCCAGGTTATTATAGGGAGTGTAAAAGGGCCATTAACACCAACGGAATTCCCAAGTCAGAAAAAAGGACTTTTTAAGCGTCTTTAGCTTAAGTTTTTGTTTAACAACGTTCAGACACCGCGCGGAAAATCTTTCAATGTCTGAACCATGATACAGAGGCAGCGAATTCCAAACGAGATGTACCGACATTAAGCGCACCGTTTTTTTGAGGTCAGCCGATGCTCTAAGGAATTTCTAATTGTATGGGGCATTGCAGGTTTTTTAAAAATGTTAATTTTAAGAGCCAACTCCGCCTAGACGTTATTTTCTGACGTAATTCGTTTTATCGAACTACACCTGCCAGCAATTTTTTTTATTGGGCACCTGAATTCAAATTCCTCAGACCAAAAGCCTCGGTATTTTGCTCAATCCTGAAGCGCCGATTGAGAATTTTCTCAATTTGAATTGCTGAACCATAGCTCATGGGTTCGTACCTTCTGCTGTAGGACGATAAGGCTTAGGCTTAGGCCCCTCTTACGTCACCCCACCCCCCACAGCCGAAAGGTCTCAAAGTTTTCCGTATCTTCGCTGTTTTTGTCGGGATTCTTGCAACGCCATTCGATAGAGCGTCGAAAAATATACTAAGAACGAGGGTTGAAAACCCGCTACGCGGCTTTTCACCCCTGGCCTTTGCGCGGAGATCTCTCGAAGCTGGGCACTTTGCATAAGACCTCTCAACCCTAATAATCACAAAAGCGACCGACTGAGAGCGTGACAAAATCCGAAATGAGCTTCCTAACGCCTCTTATGCAAATGAGGTTATTTCCATATGTTTTTAAATCGCTAAAATAAGGTATAAATCGTCATTTTATTAAAAATTCTGATAAGCTTGCAGTAATCTACGCTCTCGACTACCCCTAAATACTTTTCGACCCGGTCTTAAAATTCTTCCCCCTTGCCGATATTTTGGTAACCCGGTTTTTTCGAGCCATTTATGCAAAGTGTCCACACACAAACACACAAACACACAAACACTATTTTTTATATATAGTAGGATTTGAATTTGCGCCTACAATAATGTAAAACAGAAAAGTTATAGCCAAAACTTTCCGGTCGGGGGGGTGAAGTAAAGTTTCGCCGACCATAATAAGGGAGATGGTCTATGACTTGCAGGATGACGTACAAAAATACACCCTTGCGAGGCCTTTTGCGTAAAAAGAATCCCGAGGGAATCGATGTGCCACGAATTCTGTAGACACATCGAGCAAAACATCTTACTTTTTTGGCCAAAAATCAGAGCACAGCACCGGGCGTTGTAGCTGAGAAGAGTGAACTGCTGGTTCTAACAAAACAATTGACCATTTTTTAGAGCAGCCTATCCCTTTCAAAAACGGTTAAGAGAAAATTTTGCCAGAATTTGGCAAAAACAGATCGACTCCCGATCTAGGGAAGGTTTCGTGGGTGTCTGCCACTTTATATTTACGTTTAATTTTTCATCAAAATATTTAAGCTGCTTTTTCAGATGTTCACCGACGCTCGCGTGCACTTTGTCGAATGGCTGCTGGCCGTGGTCCTCAACGCCATTGTGCTATTCTTAATTGTAAAATACTCGCCGAAGACGATGGGCAAATATCCGTGGCTTCTCCTCGCGTATACAATTTTTAATGTCTGCTTCGTTACAGTAGATATGATTGTGGCTCCGGTAAGTTCTCTCTATCTTTCGCTCCTTCTCTCTCTCTCTCTCTCTCTCTCTCTCTCTCTCTCTCTCTCTCTCGCTAAAACACGGTTTCAGGCAACCTACATCTTCGGACGAGCTTACCTTTGCGTGTCCTGGTCAAAAATCCTGGCTGATGAAAACTGGAAATACGCGCTGATGGTCATCTATTGCAGTGGTTTCTCGCAGCTCTTGGTCTTTCTTAGCTTCCAATTCATCTACCGATACGTGGTGGTCTGCAAGTAATTTACTCGCTAGAAGTGCTAGCCATTAACGTTTCCAAAAATTATCTATCATTGAATTTTCTAGAGCTGGCTGGCTGCCAAAACTGAAGACGTACAAGGTCGTATTGGCTGGTGTTGTGTCCTTGAAGTGGGTGAAGTGCTTGATGGAATGTAGTTGAAGTATCGAATAAACAAAAGATGTTTATTCGACAAGCAGCAGACGAGGATAAAATTCGGAGTGATAAAAATGGGCGATTTCCCGGGGAGAGCGGGGGCCTTACGACACGAAATGGGGGGGTGCCGTGGCGGGACCACAGGCTACGATCACAAGGGCACGCGATAGGGGGGGAGGCGACTAGAGTCTAGCCTTTCGCTCCACAACACCTCCCTCCTTTTAGGGAAGATTGAAAGTCGGCACATGACCAGACTGGAGGTGTGTGAGGAATGAAAAACCGAATGTGGGTACAGCATAAAAGTATCGTGAAAAGATTACACAGAATTTACATAGCAACGCGAAAAGAAAAATGCTTCTTTCATTCGTTTAGCTTAATTCTTGCGTAGGCTGAACACGGGCACCATCACATCGGAGCACGCATCTTGCGCTGGGGCTCGGGCAACTTGTCGGCATTTGGCAACGGCAGTGGCGGCGATCCCTCCTTCTCTTCCTCGAAAGATCCTTGACACATTGACGACTTGTCGGGCTTGCGGAGCTGATTGATGTAGCGCGTCCGTAGCAGTCCATTTTCCAACTTGACAGTGTAGAGGAATTTGGAGTCCTTGTGTAGAATTCTTGCGGGCGTCCAGGTAGATTTATCCCTGCGCCATTCCTTAGCGTAAACGTGTTCACCTGGTGAGAAACAACGTTGTCTTGCTGGGCGGCGTCGGTGGGCAGTCCTCACGACCAGTGCGGCGGGGCTTGGGGCACGCAGCGAGCGCATTGGTGGCTTCATTTGTAGCTTGCGTCCCATGAATTCAAATGGCGGATTTTCATTCGACGGTTCGGGCTTGAGCAGTGCACGGAATGCATCCATTGCATCCGTATTCTTCAGCCAGTCGAGGCCGAGAAGGGTGTGGCCATCGATGACGTGTCCAACACCGATCATCTCCTTCTTGTCGATGACGTACTTGCTCTCGAATGTCCCATGAACCTTGATGTCCCGTCCATTTGCGGCCTTCATCTTGAGTGACGTTGGCTTGAGCGCGGGCTTGCCGATCTTGACCCAGTCCTTCTTGTCGAGGAGAGTTACGTCGGCGCCCGTGTCAACACGCATCTTCAGCGGGTGCCCGTCGATCGCCACATCATGGTATAAACGATCGATGTCGTGGTCCGAAAAATTTGAACCTACAAAAACGACATTTTCTTCCGCGGGCGGTTGAACTTGGACTGGGCATTCATTATCCCAGTGTGCACCTTCACAATGTCGACATGGCCTTGTACGCTTCTTGCGGCGGCTCATCGTAGATTGCGCGGTAGTCGGGCTTTTGGAATTTGGGGCGGCCTTGTTGAAACGGCATGCACCTCCATTGGCAACTTGGTGTCCAGGTTGGCGTCCTTCTTTCTTGATACGAAGTGGCGAATGTGCGCGAAAACTTCGTCCAGCGTAGAGTCCGGCTTTTCCTCCATTTTGCGAAGGATCTGGCTTCGTGTCACTTCATGTTCAGCACCGGGCAGCGAGAGCAGTAGAGAAAGGGCCTTCTGTTCGTGCTCCTTGATCTCGCGCATCTTCGCCTTCTCGTATGCGAACTTCAGTTGGTCCACGTGCTTGGCCAGCTCTTCCACGTCACCGCCCTGGAATTTCAATTTAGAAAATTCATAGCGAAGGGCAAAAAGTGACTTCGATGGCACGAAGATCCTCAGCAAAGTGTCCACGATCTCGGCGTATTTCAGCTCGTGCGCGGCCTTCGGCAGGATAAACTTCGTGAATCGCTCGTAGGCGGTGTCCTCCAATTTCTCGATCAGCATCCGGCTTCGGTCCTCTTCGGAAAACTCGGCACCGTCCTTCACGAAAACTTCGCCATACCGGGCATACCATAGCTCGAACGTTGAGCGGTCCTCGTCAAAGCAAAATTTCGGCACTCGGGCCAGAATGGAGTCCCTCAGCGTTTGAAGACGAACCTTGTTTGCGGGTTCTCCATCGGCGGGCTCTTGCTTGACTTGACTCATCCACGCGGCCATTTGTTCGGTGATCAGCTTCATTTGCAGTTCGTGGGCCTGTTTGTCTTGCTCACGCTGCTCCCGGTGACGCTCCTCATCTTGGGCACGCTGCTCACGATGACGTTCTTCCATTGCGGTCAGAACGTTTTGCAGAACTTGTTCCATTTGGGCTTCTTCTTCCTTCAGTTTCGTAGACTTCGACCTTGTGACGGGGGCCAGCTTCTTGTTGGTGTCCCTTCTTGCGTAAGTGTCGAATCACCTGCTCGCCAATTGTTGTGTCCTTGAAGTGGGTGAAGTGCTTGATGGAATGTAGTTGAAGTATCGAATAAACAAAAGATGTTTATTCGACAAGCAGCAGACGAGGATAAAATTCGGAGTGATAAAAATGGGCGATTTCCCGGGGAGAGCGGGGGCCTTACGACACGAAATGGGGGGTGCCGTGGCGGGACCACAGGCTACGATCACAATGGCACGCGATAGGGGGGAGGCGACTAGAGTCTAGCCTTTCGCTCCACAACAGCTGGAATCTGCTTCTATGCAGTAATTTGGTAGGAACTACAGTAAGCAAAAAAGTAATAATAACATTTTTAGCGGCACCTGGACGATGAATACCCATATCGCTTTGCACCCGAATGATGAAGTCTTTGAATTCACAAACCCAAAATTCAAAGCTGCGACCGGACATGATGTTTTGCATACTGGGTCTTTGGCGCAGGGATTTGAGGTGGGAGAGAAAGAGAGAGGGAGAGAGAGAGAGTCATAGAGAGAGAGCAAGAGATTGCTTAACTTTCAGCACGTCTCCACCAAAATCATCATTCGCTCCTACATCGGAATGATCGTTTTTTTGCGTAGTCTTGTCAGCCACCTGGGCTGTCATCATTTTCTGTGCCTGGTCCTTGAATAAGGTAAAGCTTATTAAGGTTCGAAAATAACAAAAATTCCAGAACCTGAAAGTAAAAGGACGTAGTACGAAGACTAGGGCCATGCAAAAGGAGTTGTTCAAGGCGCTCATTTTTCAGGTATGGATCGACGCTTTTCAGCAACATATTGAGCCTTTCAAATACTAGCTAACAAAGAACGTCTATTCTTTACTCCGATCCATTTAATTTCCAATTTTAGCTAATTGTCCCCCTCTGCTGCGTCTACATCCCGATGTCATTTTTCTTCTTCTGCGCCGTTATCGGGTTCGAGGACTGGAACTCGGATATCCTCTGCGTTCTATTGATGTTGGATCCGATCCTTGAACCCCTGGTCATTACTTATTTCATAAAGTGCTACGGGTACCGTACTTTGCCGTCAAAATAGTGTTTTGATACCATTAATCCCTTCAAAAAGTTCATTGTCCTTCTACCCCACTTTTTAGAAATCCCGTGGCGCGCCTATTCCACTTTAAGAAGCCGATTTCGAGTACATCGACCATTACGACGTCATCGGTATTTAATCCATTTTTTAACCAAAAATACCTCATTAATTTAAAGGAGAGCCAAGCCCGCCAACCCCCGCCGGCAGTCACAATCACCAGCGGTATGGAAAACCCGTCGATATCCGACGCCCCGCAAAACCCCGAATTTGTGTACCCTGAATTTTGACGTATCGAATAACATAATAAAAACTTGTCTCCGAACTTTTATCCGTTCAAAACACACGGAGCTTCAGGTGAAAACAATATGCAAAAAATGCTGGATCAACGACATTTTGGGAAGCAGATGTTGCGATCGCCCACGCAACTCGGTTTCATAAATATATAGCATTGCATCTCCTAGTATTTTTGGCATTTTGCAAATTAAACCTGCAATAAAGCAATCTGCCAATTTGTAGAGCGTTAGGATACCTTAGAAATAACTACTAGAAATCCATATAAAAACGCTAAATAGTAAGATTCATAATTTGCACTGAGTATAAACTGCAAAAATTCTGGCTCAGGGTTACATACTCCGCAAAATTCCGGTACCTTTCCGGCACACTGCTCTGTTAATTTCCTCGTGCGGTTACGGTTTTTGGGCGCTTACGGACTCCAACTCGGGCGGTCGTTCAGTTTTTGAGACATAAAAACATCTTCTTCACCATAACCAATTTCCTTTCTTGCGAGTTTGGCCAGAAACGGGTAGAAGTTCCGGTACAGCCCAATTCATAGCTTTTTTTGATTATTCAGCCTTCTTTTTAACCTCCTTTTCCCGGAAATGGCTCCCCAGAGATCAATTCGTCCTCACGTTGAAAATCTGTGGAACTAGAAGTTGGGTTTTATAAGGTTTTTGCAAAAATACACCTGAAATTAGCCTCTCATTCTGAAAATCAACTTTTTGAAGAAACACCTGAGCACCTTGGTTTTTGGTTTTAGTTTTTGGTTGATTGGCAGGCCTCTGCAAAACCGTTGAAAGATCCCAAGACATTTTTAAGGAAAAGGTGTTCCTTGGGGGAAATGAATTTATGATTCGTTGAATTTTCACTTCCATTAGAAAACAGTGCCAATTTTTGCTCTCAAGAAAGCAGGAATTAGAATTTACCGTATTTTTCCAGTTATATATTTTTAAAGCCTTTCTAAAATCGATTTTTTGCCTATTTTAAACCGGCTTTATAGCCGCGAAATTTCGCCTTACTCGATTTACCCAAGCCACCTTTCTATACGACTTTAGGCCCCCTCAAGATCTACCCTTCCCCCAAAATTCTCCTACACGCGACCTACATGGTTTTCGTCCCCTGTTTTTCCTACCAAAACATAGCATTCTCACGCGACCTATTTTTACACTTTTTCGACTCTTAATGGCTTCATACTATTTTCCGTTTGTAGCTGACCGGGTTCCCACACACCTAGCAACATGCAAAAAACAAAGTTTTTAGGGGTGCAACACCTGGAGGGGCTATAAAAAGGACCGAAGGAGTTAGTTATTGGTATTTTGCGCTACCGCATTCGGATTTGGGTGGCTTTTCGCTACCGGAGACTTTTCGAAAACTCCATACGACAAACATCTACAGTCAAAATGTCGTCGGCACAATTTGGTGAGTAACCCTATCTTTTATCAAATTTTTAATATAGCCGATTCATAGCGAAAAAGCCAACGGCGCCTGGTTGCGCAGATAAATGAAATTAAAATGAGTGAATTAAGGCTCCAAGGAGGCACATGAAGTTTTTTTTGGCTAAATACATCCAGAAAAACTCGTATTTCCGAAAACATTCAAAGGGGATCGTTGATTCGAGAGGATGTTTGTATATCTTCACGTACAAATTGTCGAGATCGTTGATAAGTCTGAATTTGGCAAAACAAACCTTATTACTAACAAAAAGGAACTATTCATTGATGGATACTTCCTACAGATCCTTTGCTAACTTCCCAGCAGCCTGCCTTACCGGATATTCCTTTAGTAATCGACTTCCCATTCACCCCACTCCGGGCCACGATGTTCACCACGGCTCACTCGATTTGCGATGTGCTATCCATTTTCTTTAACGGGCTCCTGCTATACCTTATCGTTTTCCACACGGCCAAGTCGTTCAGATCGTACTCCATTTTGCTGGGAAGGTACCGAACTGTCTAGCTCCGCCTTTGTACTATACCACACGATTTCAGCATGACACTAGCCGAATTTTGTGTAGGTCTATCTGCTGGGATGGCGATGTGTCGGTAGGCTTACTATCTTTAGTTTGGAAACTTAAAAATTTGGCTGAACTATAATAGATGGTTTCTTTCCAGGTCGCCACATTCTAACTGACTTTTAGGTGTATTCCTGTCGATTGGGGCTTGGCTTATCAATTCCATGGGATCTGTCGAAAGGTGTCGCCGCAGTTTTGTATCGACGGTAAGTCCAATAAGACTTACATTTTGGTTTTTTTTAGTACATTCCGTCACGGCCGGAACCATCGCGTACAATTACTCGCTACTGCCGTTATCGTTTTGGTAAGTTAAGAGTGAATGGTACTTGCTCTTTCTCTCTCTCTCTCTCTCTCTCTCTCTCTCTCTCTCTCTCGTCTCTCAATCTTGCTCTGTCCAGCTGAAAGCTCGATCCAGGTATCGGCACTACGTACTAAATAGTGGCGCTCCAAAAAATTGGCTGATGTACGCGATATGCTCGATAGCCTTCATCCCAGCCCTGGCGTCAATGGTAATTTTGCGTTTCAGGGTTAATGCTATCGCTCTGTTACAGATCATGTTCGCCACCTCGACCAGTCCTCCAGAAGTTGCCCGAAAAATGCTGTTCGAACACAGAAACATCTCCCTCTGGCCTGATGACCCGAACATTGCAGCGATTATTGGATACGAGAGCATTTTTCAGAAAACGTAGGGTTACGATAGTTTGGAAATTTGGCAAATTGAACATAAGGAAAAACCACACTGAGACGAGATTAATGGAAATAGCGTTAATTTTTAGCTGCTTGGCCATCATCATTTGGATCTGCTTCCCGGTCATCCCCGGATATGCCATTTCGATCATTCTTCGCCGTAATATTCTGAAACGAATTACGAGCAACGGGGCGATGAGTGAAAATACGAAGAAGGCGCAGAAGGATTTGGTTAAGGTGGAAATATACAAAAGAAAAACTTAAAAGGATTGGTTTTCAGGCCCTGACGATCCAGCTAATTCTGCCCCTGGTGATGATGAGCCAAGCTAGCGGATACTTTTGGCGCCAGTTCAAGCTACCGTAAGTCGCAAAATTTTCTTGTAGCTTTTTAAATGCGTTGCTTCCGAAGTTAAATGGCCTTTTTCAGGCTCGCCGATTACTTCCCCTACTTCGAAGAGTGGTCCTTCTTGAATATCGCTATCGTAATTTTCCGATATAATCCAAATGACGCTCGCTTTTAGGTGAGCCTGTTCAACCCGTTGGTCACCCTCTACTACGTAAAACCCTACCGCAAGAAGGTCATCGAAATGTTCCCCTTCTGCTTCAACCGGCAAAGCCGCAAAACCGCCCAGGCCGCCTACGAGGCGCAGACCAACTCCGAGAATCCCGATGGTCTGGCCGCTAAGACGGAAATGCTTGTTTGAGCTTTACAAATAATCTCAAAGATATATTTTTGTCGATTTTTATGCTCTTTTTCCTAGTTATAGATCTTCAACCCCAAATCAAATCAATCAATTTTTTTGGGAATAAATATCTTTCTATTTAACACACTGTCGAGCGTAAATTAAACGTAAGACGTAAAAGTGTAAAATTTAACGAACTGAAAATAGCATAGTGTGCACCACTGGAAACCAATGCCTTTTGTGCACTTTGCGTTTCAGGTCGTTGCCTTGCGTAAAAAAACAAATATAGGCCAAAAAGGCCATTTTTCACCGCTCTCAACACGTGCCTGACTAGAATCGATAGTATTTTTAATTTTTTGCTAACGATTGTCAAAAAAATTGTATACTTTTTTACCTCTTGATGCCAAGGAGAAACAAAGATTCCGATAGCTACTACTCAAGCATCGGGTTTGTTTTGAAAACTTCATGACTTGCAGGCGAACAGGGAATTGCCTCATTTAAACAAAAGTCAATGGTTACCGGGGTTCGCCTCAAATGGGCTTCCCCCCTGGGGATTGCGCCCTGGAAGCGACCGCTAAAATTGGGTCTTTCGAACATTGGGGCCAAAAAGCTCCGGAAAGAAACTCATCAACGAAATAGCCTTGTCGCACACAGCCGCAAAAACTTAGTGCAGTTATCTAATTTAAAAAACGACAAGGGATGCCGAAATCTATTATTTTGATAATTTTTCTCCTTTCAAAGCTCTCATAACTACGAATAATTTTGCTGAGACGCCCGCGTAAACGGGAAACCGACAGAACTGCAAGATACGAAATTTCTAAAATGCAAGACAACTCGAGAACAATGACAGAAAGGATTGGAATTCACTATCTATTCGAAGAAATCGATATCACAGGCGTGCGACACTTGAAGGCTCGGAATTTGAGCGCCCGGTCGGTTTTTTAAGTCTGTATAGAGATTTCTAGATTCTAGATCAACCTGGTCGGGAATACTTGTCCTATTCACCGCGTTAACTTTGTACCAAATTTATGAGCAGGTAAGGCTTGAAATTTTAGCGATCTATGAACCCCTAGATCGATGAATTTCTCGGATTTCCAACAGTTACTAATATTGAAGCCGAATACCCATCGGAGATTTTGTTTCCGGCTATCGCTGTTTGTCCAAACAATCAATATCGGTAAGCCTTTGATCCGCACTAGAATCAGCCGGTTTCAGAATCTCGTACCTGGCGTCAAAAGAGGTACTGAAACGGGTACCGCCTGATAATCGGACGATTGGGGCGAACTGGGCGTTTTTCATAAAGGTATCGGCGTATTCCTTATTTCGAAACTCGATTTACCAGACCATCAACAGAATGTGGGACGTACCTGCAGAGGAATTTTTGCGTTCAGCGGTTCCTGAATTGAATACGACGATAATTTCGTAAGTGTGCAGAGAGAGAGATAAAGTGAGTGAGAGAGCGAGAGAGAGAGAGAGAGAGAGAGAGAGAGAGAGAGAGGAATGACGGGAGAGAGAGCGAGAGAGAGAGTGAACCAAGTTTAGATGCACACTCCCCGATGGTACTGCTTGCGATATGAGCCAATGGAAACAAATCTGGACCATCAATGGCCTTTGTTGGGCTTTTAACTACGATAAGGGCTGGCCTATTGTCATTGACGAGGCAGGTGGGGCAAAGTAAAAGCTGGTGGAAGTAAAAAAAACCGTTTTCTTCAGGCCCGAGCCACAGTTTACGATTAATTCTAAACGCTGAAACCTATGAAAGACCAACGATTTGCGGCGCTACCGTATCAACTCCGCCTGAAAATGGGTTCAAAGTAAGAATGGTCCTTTCGTAGCGGCAAATAATGACAATAGCAGATTTTGATCTACGACCAAGATGAGCAACCAATTTCGACAGCAACCGGAGCGAGCGTGGTGCCCGGGTTTTCGACAAATCTTCCGTTCCGGATCAAACTGGTCAGTGCTTGGGTAGCAGCCTCAAATTGTGTGACGCCTGGAAATTTTAACGTAAAAAAACAAAATGTGTATAGCGAAGAAAAATGCCTGACGCCGGTTGCCTCGAGGAGACCGATGTCACAGCTGCTGAAGCGGAGGATTTCTTTGATGAGAGGAATATACAGTCTGTTTTCTTTTAATTTAAGCTAATTTGATAAAAAACAAACATTTTTTAGCACCTGCGCAGGCCGGCTCTACCACCATCTATTCGAAAACCAGTGCAACTGCTCCGTTCGAAGTCTTTATACGGGGTGTGATGGTACGAGCTTTACGAGTTCTGATGCCGTTCAGCACGCTCCAATCTCACGAGCTGTGACGTCGAGATGTACTTTAGCTGCGTTCAGTACATCCAACAAAGGTAACCCGGGAAGGGTATGTGTTAAGCTTTTGCAGCACGAAGTCACATGCAAACCTACTAAAAACCGGTTGTCTACCCCCATGTCAGGGAAAGGAATTTATTACCCAGCAAGTGGGTGAAAGTCAAAAATTCTAAGCTTTTAGGATTTATCCGAACTTCCAAAATCAATCCTTCCATCTCGCGGCGATTATATGCTTGGATTACCAAAGGTGGTTTCAATTTTGTTTAGGTATTTTATAATTTACATTCATGGGTTGTTGTTTGGGTCGCAAGGTTGTTTTTATCTTGAGGCAGGCAACGCGGTTCTTTCGCGATCGCAGTAAAATTTTCGTTTTAGGCAGAAGCCTCCGAAAAGCGCTTCGTCGGTTTTGGTCCGGATGGCTCGCGAGTGTTTGAAGAAAAAGCGGTGAACTGTGAGGAGTCTGAAATGATTCCGGAGAGCTATGTAGTTCGCAGGTTGCTCAACAGTTTTCGGTTCAGCTCGTTGATCTCAAGCTTCGCATGCAGGACATTTACGAAAAAAGGTCGCGTTACGACGATGAGGAATGGCGAGATTTCCTGGAACTGCTGACGAGGTTTCAGTTCAAGCTGGAATTGTGGGTTTGAGAGAACTAGCTGATTTTGAAAAGCAAGACCATAACGCGTCAGACGCTTGAGTTTTAGCCTTGACAGCGCAGGGATGCCGTTATTTCCTATGGACACCGAAAAACACCCAACAGTCTGGAATACGCTCACCAATGGAACTGAAGACTTTGGGTTTATCAGATGGCATGAACACTGTGTTGGCCCTTTGATGGCAGTGATAGAGGACGTATGTTCCCCTTTCTAACCTCTAAGAAATTGCTTTAGAACACGACGCTCACCTCAAAGTTGTTGCAAACCAAAATCACCTCCCGAGTGAACTGGGCAGCGTTGGGCGCCTTTGAAATGAACGTCAAGGTTTTTAAGGACGATGTAAAGATGTCAAAAAGATCTAAAAAGTTGTTTTAGTACCTTGCTGGAGGGACCGTAAAGTTGCAATGGATCGACTGGATGGACAGCTTCAGGAGCCAGCTCATGGGCACGGTCTCAAACGTTTGCGCAATAAGCTTCTTACTCAAAGTTTATTAGGAATGGAAAGAGCCCATAGAGGAACTATTGAAAGAAACGGAACAAGCTATCGAAGCGGAAAACGATGAGTTGTTGAAAATAATGATGGTAACTCTGATTTATGCTTTTCAAATTTTCTATAACTTTCCTAGGACAGTCATACGACCGAAAATCGGGCATCGCTTCAGCAGTGTATTGTTGAGTTCAGGAAGCTGCTTCCGGGAAAAGTGGAGCGGTTGCAGACTGGCTATCAGAGGCTGGCAGTAAAACGGAGGCTCTGAAATTTTCATAGTAATCCTAGGACGCTTACCGCGAATTGTACGTCGATCACTTTTTGAAGTATTGGGATAGTTTTCAAGTCGGGGAAGATTTTGCGAGGTATAATCTTGTAATGCTGGCGCTTAGAACTTTGTGTTCCTAGAAAAAACCTAGCAGTCGTCAACATCTACGTCCAGTCAAACACTATCGAGATCTGGACCCAGAGCTGGCGCCACACTTTTTGGACGCTTTCTTGTAAGTTCACTTGTCTTTGCAGCTAGGTCCCCATTTATAATTTAGGTAACCTCGGAGGCGCACTTGGACTATTTGTCGGGGCCTCGATAGCGTCAATCCTCGAATTCATCTACATTTTCGGGAAATATTTACAAAAGAAGAAGCGTCAAGCAATAGGTAACGAGCCAACTTTTCCAGCCAGCAAATCCGTCTAGCAAAACACGCAGAAGCTGCCAAAGCCGAGGATGGAGACGAGCGACAACACGCCAAAGAACTGGCTTGATTGCAGTCGGCTGAACTACCCAACAAAATAAATCTCTGAAACCGGTTGGACTTTATGGCTGTTCTGTCAATAAAAGACGGTTACGACAATTTACGAGAAGTAAGTCTAAGTTTTATTCTAGCACTACATCACTATCGAAATCATATACACGAACTACCAATAAAGACAAAGCACACAAAAAGCTTAGCAGAATCCGCAAGTCTTGGGGCATTGCGTGCGCATCAGGGAAGAGTAGGCGGAGTCGTTACAGAGGGATACACGGGCCGGGCAGTCGGAGGTGCTGGTGGCCAAGTTGACCTGGTCGATGCAGCCTGAAAACAGGACGGTATCGGTAATACGTTGACTGATAAAAATAACGAATCAAGTGCTTGGCTCGAAACGCCAATTCTAGTGTTTTCGTAATTCAACCTAGGTCATAGCAAAACTTACTGGAGACCGTTACACTTCCGGAGCTGCCGCAGAATCCGCACGTCTTCCTGCACTGCACTTGCATGACGCTCAAGTAGGTGGCATCGGTGCAAAGCGAGGAGCGAGACGGACAGTCCGAGACTCCGGTGACCGGGTTGAGCAGATCGACGCAGACTGGAAATTGTCGATTTTTGTTCTTTAGATAGTGCAAGAGTCATTAGTATTTCGATCTAGTCATGAGTGGTAAGGTAGCAGCTTACTTGACGCAGTAGCGGAAGTAGCGACAGTCGGGCAGCTGAAGGTCAGATTGTCGCCCGGGCAGCATCCGAGCGAACCATCGGACAGGGTGACGCAAATTTGCTCGCCAATACAAGGTCCCATATCACAAGCTGAAATTGAAATTGAGGTACGGTACGCTGGTGATACGCTTGGGACCCCGGTACGTAGACTTAAGTCTAAAAATTACGTCCAGTAGACGATCCGGTCGCGCATCCAAATTGAGCTGATCCGGCAGAGGTGAGGACGACAAAGGCGAATCCGGCGATGTAGGCGAGCATTTCTCTTGAGAGTTAGAAGGCTTGGTAGATGAGAAGAATCGGGAGCTGTTCGGCTTGTTGAATTGCGGACATCCCCATGCTTTTATAGCCCAAATTGTTGCGGGGCGAAAAAGACACAATAAAGAACAATGGGCTTTATGGTGTTGCAATATGTGTGCTGATCCGCGCCCCAGGAAGCGTAAAATTTTGGGCCCTTCCCAGGCGCAAAAATGAACGGCTCGGTGGGGGATGCGGAAGCTTTGTGGGTAATTGTTTGATTAGACACATTCGGTCTGGCCGGAATTAGTGGCACAAATTACAAATAGGCCAAGAATTCGGGCATGACTTTATCGGCGTGGGTGGATGGCTTGTTTGTCATGAATGTTTTACCTTAAAGACTGCTAGAACGCTGGAACGCACACTGTCACCCCGAGGGTGCTGCCCCCAAGAACGCGCGGAGAGAGGTGTCATTAGTCGTCCCCCGTATCTGGCCAAGGCCCTCTGGAGTTTGGGGCGCCTCTGACACCGTTTCCCACTTGGCCCTGTGGTATAGTGTCTAGCGCGTCGGACTGTGGAGCGATCCATCGCGGGTTCGACCCCCGCCCCGTGCGGAATTGCATGGTTCTGACGGTCTTTAAATGCATTTTGGGAAATTTTCAAACGTTTCTATGCTAATTTAGCTCAGGCATTGTATCAGAAGTATTTATTCGGTAACTAGGGACAAATATGGTAATACAAGTTAATATTCCTACTGTCCGTATAATGATGCTTCCTCGATGCTAACTCCTTTTTACAAACAACCTTTCATTAACTTCTTGAGGCAATCGGGAAAATAAAAAAATCATCGTTAAGGGGTCGTACCACCAAACCACCATACGTTTTTACCTTAAAATGCTCGCGTTTTTGAGCAATTTCGTTGCAATCTCATGGGAATTTGAAAATAGGTTTTAATCTTAACACATATTTTTTGGCGCCGCAGGCATGGCTTGAGCCCAAAAAATAATATCTTATCCGGGCGCAAGATTCCATCTTTTATCATGTTCAGTAATAAAAACTGTGGATATCCGTAGGTGATGCTTGGAAACATAAAAAACTGTGAGAAGATTTTGATTTCGCATAGTTTGTTGCGTCACATCCCAGTAGAGCATTAATTCTCACCATGGTCTTGTTTGCGATCAGCAACGGCGTTTTTTTATCTTTTTGCGACACTTTGTACGGTTTTTCGAGCTGTTTTTATGCTGGGAATGCAAACTATACGCTTTATTCTAGCACAAAATTAAAATGACAACGCTAAAAGCAGCAACTACCCATAGTATACAATTGTGTTCAAATAGGTTTAGCAGAAGCCGCAAGTCTTGGGGCACTGCGTGCGCATCAGCGAGGAGTAGGCAGAGTTGGTGCAGAGCGAGACACGGGCCGGGCAGTCGGAGGTGCCGGTGGCCGAGTTGACCTGATCGATGCAGCCTGGAAAAACGAGATATGTAAATGTTGATGACTTAAACTAGAAAAAAGTTGATATAACCCGGCTACCACCATTTATCTACTAGACATTTATTCTCGCTATACGCACTCGGAGAGCTTGGATCGAATCATTAAAAAACTAGATCAAGCTATGAAAAAGCCTAGATCAAGTGATGAAAAAACATACTAGAGACCGTAACACTGCCGGAGCTACCGCAGAAGCCGCACGTCTTCCTGCACTGCACTTGCATGACGCTCAAGTAGGTGGCATCAGTGCAGAGGGCGGCACGCTTCGGGCAGTCGGAGACGCCGGTGGACGGGTTGACGAGATCGACGCAAGCTGAAAAACCGGATAAAGAAGAGGAGCTCGAGCTCAAGGTAAATAATTGCAAAAAAAACTTACACGACTTTGTGGCTGATGTGGCAACGGTGGGGCAGCTGAAGGTCAGATTGTCACCCGGGCAGCATCCGAGCGAACCATCGGACAGGGTGACGCAAATTTGTTCACCAATACACGGTCCCATATCACAAGCTGCAAAATTGAAATTGAGGTACGGTATGCTGGCGATACGCTTGGGACAGTAAAGTACAGTAAAGTCTAAAAATTACGTCCAGTCGACGATCCGGCTGCGCATCCAAATTGGGCCGAAGCGGCAGAGGTGATGACGACAAGTGCGAATCCGACGATGTAGGCGAACATTTTTTTTTGCTTAAATGGTCGTTAAAAATCGTTAAAAATTACAAATAGCTTTTGGTCCTTTAAAACAGTGCAAAAATTTTGGAGCCTCAAAACCAGATCCCGACCGCCAGAAAAAGCGCACTTTGCCTCATGGCTTTTCATGCATGAAGAAACTATTGCTAAAAATCGCTTCTTAATTAGGAGACTAGCATTTCTAGTATTGATTTTTTAATTATAGATACGATTCAAAACTATAATTTTGTATAAATATTCGATTTATAGCAAACTCACTAAAAGAAGCAGAGCTGGTCGATGATGAGATTGTAGGAGCTGTTCGGCTTGTCCAATTCCCCGAAATCCCATCCTTTTATACCATAAAATGTTGCCGAACGCTTCCAATAAAGAACAATAGCCCCCCATTGTTTGTAGCAATTTGTGGGTGTGCATTTCCGCGCCAATCCACGCGCCACAATGCGTCAAAATTTGGGCCCCATCAAGCGCAAAAGGGAACGGCCGGCCCGGGACGCGGAACTGTTGTCTGTAATTATTTGCATTAGACGCCGGCTGGCGTGGTCGGCTGCCCGGAATTAGTGGCATAGATCAACACCTATGCCCGACGGCATCAACATAACAACTAATAGCCAATTTATAGAATCGCTAGTTAAATTCAACATAACTACTTTTTTAGCTTTCTCTAAAAATTCAAAAAGGCACTTCAAGCCAGCATTTTTTCCTTTTGGACGGTTCCAGGATGAACGAGTAAGTGCATACAAAATGTTTTACGGACTGCTGGTAACAAAATAAACTAGTTTTGAAGGAAAAAGCTATAAAAACTGGAGGCAAAAATTTTCAAAAACTCGCAACTGTCGTTTAGAGGAAAACGCACTTTCGACCTAAAATAAATCTTTAACGAAAATTTGTAAAGTATTTATGGTGAGGAATAGTACAAAGATGTCCGCTATTTATCTAAAACATGTTTGGTTCGCGCTATCCATCCCCCTCTCTAATACACAAGAAACAAAAGCTCATTTCGTAGCCCCCCAACAAAATACGACGCTCTATTCAGTGCAGCGAAATTTCGTTAATTCCTACAGTTTGTTTGGCACTGTACAGCTAATTTATCGTATTAGCAAGGAAGGAACTTGTCACCAGCACGCTCCTTACATGAGCTTTTACCAAGCTAATACAACTTCAGTATTTTCCAATCATTTGCCCTCTTCAGCCACCGGCGCAGCCCTGAATAAACAGGCATATTTACCAAAAAGCCTGCTTTCCATTTTTGGCCTATTTAATAAAGTCAATCAGTCACAAGGGCACTGTAACCAGGAAATGGACTTTTGGAAAGTTCCGGTGTACAAGGTGGCGCTCTTGAAGCACCACTTATTTTTTGAAATCAATAAATTCCTGTTTTTTATTGCTCGGGATGAGGTTTCAGTTGAAAAGGCCAGACCGTATTCTTGGCATCCAAAACCATTTCCTCCACATTATCCACGACTTTTAATGGTCAAAACAGCAATTTGCGGGCGATCTTCGCTCCGACCAGCTTCACTTTCACCTGGGACCTGGCCAGGAAATTGGCCGGAAATTCGAAAATCAGCCTGCAGCTTGGCAGCGTCAAGATGGTTCTCGAATTGGTCTGAATCGGGGCCCCAAAAAAAAGTCTGGAAAGGAACAATTCTCTTTTTTTTATTAAAAAAATGTTAAATTGTGCCCTGTTCCAAATGCTGTGTCCCAAGTTCATCGAAATAAGGATCGGATTTTGAACAAAGCGTCTTGGCAATTACAAATAAGGCTGCCGAGGCCTCAATTTACCGAGCATCATTTTGGTCGATTTTTTCGAGCCGGAACGACAACGGATTAAAATGTTCGCGTTAGTATTTTTTCGACACAAATTCTTTTGTGTTTTTGAAGGTTTTACATTTTGCTCATGTTCATCAATTTTTCACGGGCTACATGCCCACGCCCAAATGCGTTTTCCGAGTTTTTCGCGTTTTTCGCACACCAATTTGGCAGTTAAGCGTGAACCCTATGTCTCATAGGGCGATAGTCGTGATTTTCATTTCCTTCGGGCTAATTTATGCCAAAATTGATAGATCCGAAGTCTGGCCTGTTTTGGCTGCGAAAAAATCAGGATAAAGCTAACGTTTTAGCATGATCGTGCCTCTCACTCCATTTCGATTTCACTTTTTTGTCATCGGTCATGAGGTATTCGATATATTATCGATACTTTTTAATACACTATTACTATACTTCATCATATTTCATACATCAAAGGCTTTCCGGGGCTATTCGATAATATTGGCCTGGTAAGTGAGCATCTCTTGCACGACATTCTTGGTTTTTAAGCACAACAGCTTCCGAACTACTACTCGGACTCAGTGCCGGATTTGTGATGATGCGGTATACCTCTAAGTTTTGAAACACACGTGATTTCAGAATGATTCCAATCGATTTCGCTTTGGTCTATCAATGCCATGGGTTTTGTAGAAAAATCTCACCGGTGGTCTGTATGATATGTAGGTCGGCTTGGCAAAGGAAAGAAATAGTTTTTTTTTTTAGTTCAAGCCCTCACCTCGCACTGCATTTCGTATACCTATGTGATATTGCCACTATCATTTTGGTAAGTTTCTACAATCCTTCCGGCCGAAAATGCGACTTTAAGGTACCGCCATCATGTAATCGCTAACCCATCGCCGAGTCCATTGAGAATAGCTTTTTACTGTTTCCTGGTTTACATCCCGGCATTTATCACATTTGTACAACAAACTTAATTTTTTTTCATTGGCTTTTAGGTCATACAATTCCATATGTTAATCTTGAGCGAACCGGGTCGCATTTACAAGATATTGACTTCAGGATATCCCGGAACTTTATTACCAGCAAATGATAGTCAATCTGTCATCGGAGGCTATGAATCCGCGCTAAAGCCAAAGTATGCAAATTTGTGACATCAAAATATGCAGGAGTTGAGCATTCTTTTCATGCTATTCTGGATCTGCTTCCCAGTGTGGCCAGGCTACTCGATATCAATATATTTTCGACATTACATAATTAAAAAATTAAACTCAAATAATGGAATGAGCCGAACGACATTAGCAGGCCAGAAAAAACTTGTGAAGGTTGTGAAATGCATATCAAGGATTATGTCGAGGTTTAGGCGCTAACCATCCAAGCCCTGATCCCATTTTTTTGCCTCTCTCAATCAGGGATGTTCATTTGGCAGCAGTTCAAATTACCGTAACTTTTTTAATTATAACTGACTTATATTTTTAGATTTAATGATTACCTACCCTATTATGAGGAATCGATATTTTTATCGATTGCAATGGTGAACTTTCAGGAATTTTTGTAACATTTACGTTTAGGGAAGTGCGATAAACCCCTGCGTCACGATCTTCTACGTCCTACCGTATCGCCGACGATTTCTCGAAATGTTTTTTCGGATCAAGAGGGAACGAGCGTCTCGAATCTATCACACTGGCACCGGCGTGACGACGAAAGATGCCGAAAGCTCACGGAACTCGAAAAACCTCGTCTAGTTTTTCTTTTAGCCATTATTTTGCTCAAACATTGGTCTCGTTTCGAATAATAAAATCTTAATTTTGTATTTAACCGTTCAAAGCTCCACAAATCAGTCAGGTTGGTAGATCTTGTTCTGAACGCCCGTCGAGGGGGTACGATCATTACTTCTAAAATCATTGCTTCTAAAAGTCATTACTTCTCAAATCATTACTTCTAAAAGTCATTACTTCTAAAATCATTACTTCTAAAAGTCATTACTTCTAAGATGATTACTTCTAAAAGTCACGACTTCTAAAATCATTACTTCTAAAAATCATTACTTCTAAAATCATTACTTCTAAAAGTCATTACTTCTAAAATCATTACTTCTAAAAATGTTACTTCTAAAATTTGGTACGCTGGATTACCAGTTTTTCGGCACGTTTGGCCAAATGTATGCCCAAAACGAGGCTTAGAATTTTAGAAGTAACGACTTTTAGAAGTAATGGTTTTAGAAGTAATGACTTTTAGAAGTAAGGATTTCAGAAGTAATGATTTTAGAAGTAATGGTGGGTAGCCACTGTCGAGGATCCAATTTCGTGCGTTGACATTAAAATTAAGTTTTTGTTGAAAAATAGGACACCCCTCTTGGTTAGGAACAAATTTAAACGAAAACATTGTAGGGTCAGACGAGCCCAGGGTTGAAAAGTCGCGAAGCGGCTTTTCAACCTTGGTTCGTCGTTAATTATTTTCTGGAAACAAAGCCTCGTTTTCCTAAATTCTCAAAAAATATTTTCAGAATGACAAAAGACAAAAGCACTCAAAACAAAAGAATTTGATGACCTCGACGAACGCTAGAGTACATGATCAGGGCATAAAGGTGCACGACAATTCCGAAGAAATTGTACCGCTATTTTGCGAAAAATGTGGGGGTTGGAAATAATACATACCATTCAATGGTATCGGATTAACACAATTTACCCTACCGCAAAATTTGACGAAACGGATTTCCGGCTTCTGCCTACATTCTTGTCCCAAAATTTTTTTTTGATTCCTTTTTGGGATCAAAGAACGCTGTCGAAAACAGCCGGGGGTAATTAGATGAGCCCGCCCAATCCAAATTGCCCGGGGCGCAATTTTCAGCGGCGTTTTAGAAGACCTCGAAAGACGAATAGACTTCACACCCATTTTTTATGTGGCGGACTTTCTAGAGCTTTGTCGTATCAAGTTTCCCTTGTCCGGCTCACGTTTCTAATATTCCAGACACGGCGGCTGAATGAGCTGTCGGCAAAACACCTCCCACCTCAATTTTGTGTAGCATTTGAGAGGTGTCGGAAACCTTTTATATTGCCTCCGTGTCTTGGGCTTAACGCGAGCTGCTGCGCCTTGATTCTGGGTTAGGTGTTCTATACGTTTAACTTTAACTTTCGCTTTATTTAACTTTTTACAATGCCCGCTACGCCACATTTTTCATATTAGTGTAAGATTCCAGACCATTGGAACACCAAATGCACTTTCCAAAATTTCTCACGCCACTGAACCTGAATCCCAAAACCCCGAATGTCTATAGCGTCAAAGTTTTCGAAGGCGTTTTCTTGGAAAATTATAATTAATTTTATTTGATTTTAACGCCTCCGACTATTCGTCTTTTTGCACTTTTTTATTTAACTACGTTTTTCGATTTAATGTTGATTGGTGTCTTCAAGTTTTTTTGCTTTCAGAAATGATCGTCCCGCTCACGCAATTTCGTTTCCAATTTTTCATCATTGGCCACGATGTGTTCGACACGTTATCGATAATATTTAACGGACTGCTGCTATATTTTATTATATTCCATACCTCAAAGGCTTTCAGAGGATATTCAATAATTTTGGGATGGTAAGTTCGTCCGCCTTTGGATCATACAAATTTTTAGCACGACTGCATCCGAATTATTGCTTGCGCTCAGCGCTGGGTTCGCTATGATTCGGTAGTGAATTTTTGTTACAAGACAATTCAGATTTAAGGTTGATCCCTATCGACTACACTCTTGTCTATCAGTGTCACGGGTTTTGTAGGAGGTTAGGACCGGTCGCTTGTATGATAGGTAAATTCCCTACCGGTTTTGAAGCTAAACGATTCCAGCCCAATCCGTCGAAGCGCACTGCGTTTCGTATACCTATATGATCCTCGCGCTCTCTTTTTGGTAAGTAATCGCTGTAATTTATTTAATGCCGTTTCGTGGTGTAGCGGTGGCTTCCCATGACTTATCCATACTGTTCTGTTGGTCTTGATTCGTTGCTTATTAGCCTGAGACTCGTCGCACTCTCATGTGACTTTACTCAGACGTAGTCTAATGCACGAGGTCAAGCAGTCAAGCAAGGCCAAAAAAATGTCTACTGATACGCTATGACGATCAAGACTAGACGGATTCATTCAGGTACCGCCACCACGTGATCTCCAACACCTCGCCAAACCCATGGCGAATCGCTTTCTACTGTTTTCTGGTCTACATCCCGGCAATCCTTACCTTTGTAAGTATCCAGTATAGGTATCGGACCAGTTCGCCGAAAACCATCTCGCCGAAAAACCATCTCGCCGAAAACCATTCCGCCGAAAAACCATTTCGCCGAAAACCATCTCGCCGAAAACCATCTTGCCGAAAACCATTTCGCCGAAAACCATCTCGCCGAAAACCATCCCGCCGAAAACCATTTCGCCGAAAACCATCTCGCCGAAAACCAACTCGCCGAAAATCTAATTTTGTATGCAAATTTTTTTTCAGGCTTGTTCCATTTTGGTCTACTACTGGAAAAAACACTGAGCATGACTGAACCAATCGGTTTTCGGCCTCAAATCATAGGGGAAGTGTCCGTGCACAGAGACCCTGAAAAAAACAACTTTCTTTACTTTTTTTGTGACCTGGGGGATGACCGCAAATACGCGAAAAAATTTGCATACAAAATTAGATTTTCGGCGAGTTGGTTTTCGGCGAGATGGTTTTCGGCGAGATGGTTTTCGGCGAGATGGTTTTCGGCGAGATGGTTTTCGGCGAAATGGTTTTCGGCAAGATGGTTTTCGGCGAGATGGTTTTCGGCGAGATGGTTTTTCGGCGAGATGGTTTTCGGCGAGATGGTCGGAATTCCCAGTATATTTACCTATCATGCCAAAGTCTAGATTATTCAATTCCACACACTTTTTACAAGCAACCCCGCCACGATCTACCGGATATTAGCAGAAGGGTATCCTGGGAAATTATTGCCGCCCGATGAGCCACAATCCGTTATTGGTGGTTATGAATCGGCGCTAAAACCAAAGTCAGTGATTTATTTTGTTCTTCAAAAACATGTAAATTCAAGCGTTCTCCTGATGCTATTCTGGATCTGTTTTCCGGTCTGGCCGGGCTACTCGATATCAATCTATTTTCGATACTATATCATTAAAAAGCTAAATTCAAATATCGGGATGAGCCGGACGACACTGAACGGGCAGAAGAAGTTGGTCAAGGTCCGTTTCGGCGTCATTTTTTACAAAGATGTCCCGCTTTAGGCCCTTACCATCCAAGCTTTATTACCGCTATTTTGTTTGTCACAATCCGGAATGTTTATCTGGCAGCAGTTTAAATTACCGTAAGCCGATAGCGTAATCTCCTAATTTTTCCTGTTTAGATTCCACGAACACCTACCGTATTATGAAGAAGCCATCTATTTATCAGTGGCTATCGTAAGTTTTAAACCACAAGTGTAGTGATATATTACAGGGAAGCGCAATTAGCCCTTGTATCACCATCTACTACGTTTTACCGTATCGCCGAAAATTGTTGGAACTTATCTGTTGGCGGCGAAGAGGAAACAGACACGGGCTAAAGATCCAGCATACCGGCACTGGCGCGACAACGAAAGATGGCGAGAGCTCGAGGAATTCGAGGAATTTTGTTTAGAATTAATCAGACCTGTGATGTTACTTGCTCAAAAAATTTAAGCGCCATTTGTAAGGCTGATAAAGTGGTTGAAACCAAGATCGATAAGCTCTACGTTTCGTCAGCAAAGTCTCTCTCACTCTCTCGCTCTCTGGCTCTCTCTCACTCTCTCTCCCTATAGCTCCCTTTCTCTCGCTCTCTCTATCTATCTCACTCTCACTCTCTCTCGCTCTCTCTTGCTTTTTCTTGCTGTCATCTCTTTTTTCCTTTTCGCTTTGTTTTATAGTTTATCAGCATGGCCTCACGGAGAATTAAGTTCGGTAGTTAGTTGTTAAAATTTGGTTTTTCAAGGGAAAGTGACCAGACGTTATAGCCAACAGCGGGGCAGGTTTTGAGGGAAACTAGGTGCACTTCTGAAATACGCTTTTCGTACTTAGTTTTGGTGATTTATCAAGGTGTGAAATTCGGCGTCTATCTTGTTTGGGAGCACTCGAAAACCCCGGACTTTTCGCCAAAGTCTCAAGTTAATTTTCGGCTCTTGCTCTTGCGTTTCCGATAGTCTATCGGCCGTATTATGGTCTAGAATCGACGCCGGAAACCTTGAGCTGAAACTTGGACAGTTCATGCTGCCTATCGAACACCAGAAGATTATATAAAATGCTTGTCCCGTTCACCGCAACTCGCGAATTCATATTCTATGGCTTACATAGCTTTGGGGATCTATTTTCGACAATTTTTAATTGTCTCTTATTGTATTTGATAATTTTCCATACTTCGCATTCGTTCCGGAACTACTCGATATTGCTAGGGTGGTAGGCTAGAAAATGGCGAGGCAGATTACCTTGTTTTCTTAGCATGGCCGTCTCGGAACTTCTTCTAGGAGCCTCTGCAGGATTGGTGATGGTTCGGTATGTAAATTCGGTTAACACCAGAAAAATCTCTTAGCATAATTCCGATCGATCGATCGCTGATTTACCAGTACAATGGAATGTGTCGGAAGATCAGCCCACTGTTTTGTGATGTAGGCAAGTTCCCGTGTTGAACTTTTTCTTTTTCAACGTTTTCCTTTCTTGATTGATTTCGTGAATGTTAATGTTAGACTTTTAAAATTTCAGATTTTCAAAAAAATTAAAATCTTCAATTTTTTTCCAGCACAAGCCATCACTACACACGGAGTGTCATTTACATATTCGTTGTTGCCGCTCTCATTTTGGTAAGCTGAGCAAATATCTCTTCACTATGAGTCTCTCAATCGCTCTCTCTTCTCTCTCTCTCTCTCTCTCTCTCGCTCTCTCTCTCTTTCTCTCGCTCTGTCTCTCTCTCGCTTTTTCTCTCGTGTCGCTGTAGCTTTGCTTTTAGGTACCGGCACTACGTCATATCCAATCCACGGCCAAGTTCAACCAGGGTTAGCTTCCTCTGCTTCTTGGTTTATATACCAGCGTTTATTTGCTTGGTATGCAAATTTCTATGCTTAATATTTCTAGTTTAGCTGATTCAAATCCACGCTCTAACCGCCGATAATCCGGAAGAGTTATTGAAAATATTACTAAAAGGGTATCCAGCAGCAGTGTACCCCACAGATCAATCCCTTTATATAGTGTCGGGATACCTTACCGTCAAATCACTAGAGTAAGAAAAGCATCGTTATTCCGCTAATTCCTTTAGAATCGCCTTTCTAATCTTATGGATTTGTTTTTCCGTCTTTCCGGGATATATCATTTCCATTTACTATCGTCGAAAGATTATAAGGATTTTGAACACTAATACCAGATTGAGTCAGGCTACTGTGTCGGCGCAAAGGAAATTAGTTAAGGTACAATAGCTCGAAGTAATTTTTAACAGACTAATTGAATAATTGAAGCCGTTTTTCTAGGCGCTAACAATTCAAGCAATGCTCCCTTTTGCCATGCTAACTTCATCGCCACTATTTTTGTGGGAGCAGTTTCAGTTACCGTAAGGCTTTTATTGTTTTTTTAATGTTCTTTGGATTGGGCGTTATTTACATAAAAATTTTCGAACCTTTAAAATATCACAGCTTCGGTTTTTTAACCTGTAATCAACTGGACAGGCTGAAAATTGCAGATTCGTCGAGTATGTCCCCTACTACGAGGAGTGGGGATTTTTGTCGTTGGCGTTGGTATGAGAAGTATTCGAGCCATACGTCCGAATACTTTAGACCAGTGTCATCAGCCCGCTCGTGACGATCTACTACGTATTACCCTATCGACGATGGATCATGAAGCTTTTCTGCAAGACTAAGCGGCTAGGGCCGACCACGGCTAATTACGCTCCCACGAACGCCTCGACGCTGAAGGCGACGGAAGGCTCGAATCTGATGGATCAATTGATATAACCGATTGAATAAAGGACTTTATATGCAAGATTCCCGAAAAATTAAACATTACATTTTGCGGCTATGGCTGATATATCTTTCTGAACCGGGTGGAATAAAGCACCCATAAGCGTGCCGAATTCCTTCGGAATTTCCCAGGTCGTTGCGAAATCAGGACAGGCGCCCTGATGGACACTCATCGAGATCTCGTTTGAGATGTATTAAATAAATTTTGTCCATAAAAAACGTTTTTTAAAAGGCACCGTGTCGTCGATTTGGTTTCAAAGTGCCACCTACAAGTGCGATGCAAAGAACGCGCAGCTACAAACCATTGTACTAGGTAGCACTTAACTTTGCGCGTCTAGGCTTTTTTTTCTTTTCATAGAATCGTCACCGCCTTCCTTTTCAAGACGTTCAACTGCGTCCCAAGACGTATCGTCAGTATTTTCTGCTCCGTAGAAATCTTATAGGGTACAATAGCTCCTTTTAACGAAAGAACGCTCAAAATTTCGTGAGCCGATGCGTATACTCAAGAGCATTTGGTCTTCTTCTGCGTACCAAGGCACAAAGCTTGCTGAACGGCTTCGTGAAGTTCGTCAAATTCAAATACGAATACAACTCCATGCAGCAGAAGTGCATCGTGAAAAAGGAATTTCGAGAATCGCCCGTTCGCTTCGTGGGACTCACGAGTAGCACTCACCACCCGGGCTCTACTACATTCTCACCCCAAATCTATTGTTTACCCCTTTTTACTCCAAATCAGGCATGACTCGACCAGATTTTTGGTACATTTGCTAGGGTTTGAGAATAGCCGATGAAACGCGTGCTTCACAAAGCCCAGAATTGGCTGTCTGGCCCTGGATGGAGCGCGATCTCGCCACTATCGGCCTGATTGTACGGGCCGCGTAGTTCCAAGATTTCCACCATGAGTCTTTGCTAGCTTCCGTGGTTTCTTATATAAAATTTAAGTCTTAAATTATTTATGCCGTGGTTTCTGGGGCTTATACCACACGTAATGCATGAATCAAAGCGAAAAATCCATTATTCCACTCGAGATTGTTTGTTTCCGGAATTTTACGGGGCGCTGATATTCCTCGAGAGTCTCTGTTCGCTGCCCTCCTCCTGAGCATCTAAGTTTTTCTAACTGGGTGTTTCACATGCTACTCTATTAGCGCATCTTCTAAATTTTTAGAAATGATAATCCCAATAACACCTTTCCGCTACAACGTCTTCGTCGGCTTGCATTCATTTTGCGACGCATTTTCGGCGATTTTCAATGGGGCGCTGCTGATTTTGATTATTTTTCACACCTCGAAGTCGTTCAGGAGTTACTCCATAATATTGGGATGGTAAGGAAAGCTTAAGAGTATCAGAAGCTGCTAATTTTAGCATGACGGCCTCAGAATTGTTGTTGGGAGGTTGTGCTGGGTTGGTGATGTGTCGGTAAGTTTCTATGACTTCCCAGATATCGTAAACTTTTCAGCGAATGCAAATCTATATGATACGTATTTAAAAGCATTACTTACTTCATTTTACAGCATCATCCCAATCGACTACACATTGGTCTATCAATTTCACGGGGTATGCCGAAAAATATCGCCCCAATTCTGCCTCGTCGCGCATTCAGTAATGGCGCATTGTATTTCATATACCTATACGATATTGCCTTTATCATTTTGGTATGTTTTGCGCGCGTATTTCTCGTATCTTCTGGCACCGCAATACCCAGAATAGCTGTGGGCTACATAAAAATTAGCGTGCGAAGCTGTGAGTCAAGCTTGCAGTGTAAAAGACGAAACTTCAGGTACCGGAACTACGTGATTACCAACTCAGCGCCGAAGCCGGGGACGTCGGCATTTTTGTGTTTATTGGTCTATGCACCAGCTGGGGTTACTGTAGTAAGTCTTTGGTATAGAAATTGGACGTCAATCCAAAGCCTACTGTCAACAAATTATCAAAAGACTTTCGATACGAAAAATTCTCTAGAATCTAGAATCTAGCATTTTTAAATGAATTAAAACAAATGCTATCAAAGTATTTTAAAGTCGCAAGGAACTTTAAATATGTGCTTAGGCTAAAAATAATCGAAAAATGTTTTCTCTTCGAAAAATTGTCTAAAATCCGGAATCTAGAATTGTTATAATGAATTAAAACAAATAATGTCAAAATTATCCTAAACTCGATAGTGACATTAAATATATGTTTAGGCCCTCCATATTCAAGCCCTGCTTTCCAACGACCCGGAAGTAATCTACAAAATCTATGAAGCAGGATATCCTCAACTTCTATTTCCGGCTAACAAAAGTCTATCTGTCGTCTCGGGGTATCGCGATGTACGGGACTTAAAGTAAGCTTTATATGGTAATCCTTTAATACGATCTTAGTATCATAATTCTGCTAGCTTGGTTGTGCATCCCGGTGTGGCCAGGCTATATTATCTCTATTTACTACCGCCAGAAAATTATCAAAAAATTGTGGAGCAATACTGGGATGAGCAGGTCTACGCTGGCAGCGCAGCGAAAATTGGTGAAGGCATGTAACGGTACCTTAAAATCCGTGCGCGAAATGGCACGTGTAGTTTGAGGAATTTGAGCAAAAGAAAATTTATCAGAAGAAAATCGTAGATAGAAAAAAATAGCTTGGTATAGGCCCTAACCATCCAAATGATACTCCCGATATTATGCCTGACGGATTCCGGAACGTTCCTCTGGCAACAATTCAAATTACCGTAAGCCTAGCCGATACAAAAATTTAACATTTCCAGTTTTTCAGCCTAATCGACTACATCCCGTTTTTTGAAGAATATATCTTTTTGACGGTCGCCATCGTGAGTCATTTTTCTATTAAACGTAAAAATATATTTTTAGAGCAGCGCCGTTAGCCCCGTAATTACAATTTACTACGTGCAACCGTATCGCCGGAAAATCATGGAATGGATATATTTTTGGCAGAAAGGCGACAATAAGCTCGTCTACACAACAAGCAATTTCAAGACCATGGAGATCACGGAGGGCTCAAAGAACTCGAAATTCCTTGTATAGTACTGCTCGATTTTAAATTTTATTTTGTCTGATAAAGCTCATAAAATAACAACTTTATATACGACATCAAATTTGCGCGGCAACGCTGCGCTACGCAAGGCGGAAAAGCCTGGCTGTACGCTTATCTGGCGTGTAGCGTAATAGGCTTGCTAGTTTTAGGTATTCCCTAATTATATATAGTATATTAAATTATATATATATATATATATATTAAATTATATATATATATATATAGTTATATATATATATATATATATATATATATATATATACATATATATATATCCTACCTTATATAATTTTGGCGTGTAACTGTGTGTGTGTGTGGATGTCACTTTCGAGGCCCGATTTGAGGGCCTTTCCGTGTATAAAATGCGCTAATTTTTCGTCACCCGGGGGAATCGACCCTTCTGTTTCCGATGACGTTCTCAGAATTTCGATAAAATACAAGTTTACAAAGTTAAAGCCGGTTTTATTCATTTTTGGGGGTAATTTGCATAATGTGAAAAAATAGGAAATTTCCTCATTCTTGCCAGTTGCACTCGCGGGTTTGGGCAGGGGTGGGGGGTCCGCAGGACCCGAGCTATCGGAAAGTCAAATTTCTCATGGAAAGGCCGCATTCCAGCGCCCAAGGCCCGCGAAGCGGGTTTTGGGCGCTGGTATATATATATATATATATATATATATATATATTAAATTATATACCAGGGTTGAAAAGCCGCTACGCGGCTTTTCACCCCTGGCCTTTGCGCGGGGATCTTTGAAAGTTGGGTTTTGCATCATTCTAGCGAAGAGCTAGAGCGAACCCTAAAAAATAGCAAAAGCAACCGGCCGCGAGCGCGACAAAAGCCAAAATGAGGCTCCTAGCGCCTCGTATGCAAATTAGTCTATTTCCATATGTTTTTAAAACGTTAAAATAAGGTATAAAACGAAATTTTAGTAAAAATCTGATAAGCGTGCAATAATCTACGCCCTCGACTACCCCTTACCCCTTATTCCTGGACCAAAAAATTCTTTCCCCTTCGAGTTATGACTGGAACCCGGGTTTTTATGCAAAGTGTCTACACACACACAGACACTATTTTTTTATATATAGTAGGATAGGAATAGTAGGATATACAGGGTGTCCCATAAAAAAGCACTCCTCCGGCATTTCGCCGTATTACATCCCAACAGTCCCAAAATTGGACTGAAGGTGTATCCGACCCTAAATAACCACAATCCTGACTTATAGCCCGATCGCTACAGTAGTTTTCGAGTTATCGTCAAAATACTGTTTTTTACGCGGTTCTTAACAGTATTTTTCGGCTATCTTTTTGCACTTTGCATCGATTTCCATCAACTTCCGGCTGTGAATCCCTAATTTCGCTTAATATCGGGGGTGACTTTGCGTTACAAAAATTGTTGAAATCAACGGTTATTTCACTAATCTTTATCAGAAAAAAAATCTCTAGGGGTAAAGCAGGCTTGCCGCTTCATTTTCACTTAATATTCAAAGGGTCGATTTCGACGAAAACCATATGAAAAACGGATAATAAAGTTTATTTTTGTTGTATTTCGAAGATTACTGTAGCTGGCGGGCTATAAGTCAGGATTGTGGTTATTTAGGGTCTGATACACCACTGGTCCAAATTTCGGACCGATCGGATGTAATATGGCGAAATGCCGGAGGGGTGCTTTTTTATGGGACACCCTGTATATAGTTATATATATAATTATTAATTATATATAGTAAGCATGTAGGTAGATAGGTGTAGGAGGATTCTTGAGGTATTTCGGTTTGAACCAGCCGCCCGAGCATCAAAAAAAGCGCTTGTAACCTCACGCCAGAACCGGAACGCATCTTATACATTTAATCGTTGAATTGAAATTGCTAGAAACGCATTCCAGGAAAAGGGTAGTACGACCACAAAATATAATGTAACTCGATCTTATCGCTGAACTTACTCGCGGAACAGTGATATATGTGTAAAGCCACTCTCATTAATTTCCTTGATCCCATTGATCAGGGCCACAACGCCTATGGGCGTGTGCCGAGATTTCGTCGTTCCCATTTGCGCCTATTAGCTGCGTGAGAAAATTAGAATTTTTCATTACCAACGACGCATTTTGCTACCTTCAAAAAAGCACCAACCGCCCACTTCCCCATTCTTGGGTTTCAAAAAGGCAGAAACGATGAATTTGACGTTTACGCCGCTTCGAGCCACGATATTCACTACTGGTCATACTGTAATTGATAGCTTTTCTATATTTTTTAACACCACGGTGTTGTTATTAATTATATTTTGTACGGCAAAAACGTTTCGGGCTTATGCGGTGATTTTGGCGAGGTAAGCGGTTCACTTGTTCTTTAAAGGCGCAAAATTTTCTAAAAAACCGGATTTTTAACGTATGCCAGGATGAATTACGCAGAATAATAACATTACCACATAAATGACTCTTAAATAGTGAAATTACTAAAAGCCAAAAACTACGAACCCAACTTGAATTTAGCAACACGCTCGCTCAGCTTATTATTGGTGCAGCGGCGATGATGACCATGACAAGGTAATCAGATTAAAAGTCTTTTAAATATTAACAAAATATAAATTCTAGGCAATTAAAAAAAAATTAATAGCTTTAGAACAGTCCCAATCGGCACGGCACTTATTTATTATTGTCATGGACCTTGCCGGAAAGTATCTGGCCGTTTTTGCATGATTAGTAAGTTGCGGATGGTACGGTCGCAAAGCTGATCGTTTCTTTAGATCAAGCATTAATGGCTGATTTGATACCTTATGATTACATGCTGTTACCGTTTTCATTTTGGTACTACATACCTTTTGAATTCTCAAAAATCCCTCAAAATTTAGGTATCGGAATTACGTACTCGGCAAGCCGGCGCCGAGCCCAAGAACGACAGCCCTCATCTGCCGTTTGCTCACGATTCCGTCGATATTATTGATTGTAGGCATTTAAGAAAAAACAACAAAAACAATCGATTTAGTTCAACCAAATCACCGGAGACTTCGATCCCATAGCGCTACGAAATTTATTGGCAGAAAGAAGACCTGAATCGTTGCATCCAGATGATTTTGGCGTGGCTATCCCGATAGGACATCAAAATATCTATGAATTTCGGTAAGTAACCGGTGGACAAGACCGTATTTCTTCGGAAGAAAAAGCTTTGAAAGCCGCCGAGTCAGGCAAAAGCCCACAAAATCAAGACGTCAACCGGAGCGTCGTGTAGTCAAACGAATTTTCAGGGTATTTATCCTAATACTCGGTGTGACTGTACCGATGTTTCCGAGCTACGCCATTTCTTTATATTATCGGAGGACAATCCTGAAGAAATTACACGAAAACGTTCATATGAGTAAACGTACTGTAGAAGCGCAGAAGAGTTTGTTAAAGGTATGCTATAAATTTTTGATACTGCAACGGTAATTGTAATGTATCGCAGACCGGAATGGAAACAAATTTCCGATTCATAAGTACCTCAAAAAGTTGTAGTTTAGGCTCTCACGATCCAACTCGTGATCCCCTGCATAACCATGGCCGAATCGAGCTCATATTTGTGGAAGCAGTTCGAGCTACCGTAACCTTATACTTAGTCATTCAATTAATCTAAATTTTTAGCCTCTGCACCCAAGTACCTTACTTTGAAGAATGGATCTGGCTGTCGATGTCGACGGTAAGGACATTTTTTGGGACGATGAAACTTCTATGATTTTTTAGATCAGCGCTCTGAACCCACTAGTAATCGTGTATCACGTATCGCCGTATCGAAAGAAGATCATCGCGATTCTACAGTTTTGGCGAAAAGCTACGGAAAGCTACAAACTACACCCAATTCCTTCAAGCACCAGAGAGTCGCATTTGGAGCCGGAAAACACGAGGAAGAGATCAAAGCAATACTTTTAATGTGAACGAACTGAAGGTACAAAGAGTAATAAATAATCTACAGGCCTCTTAGAGCCAAAACAAAAAGAAAGGATTCCCGTGATTAAATTGAATAAATTAACTATGCAGGTTATGCAACAGAGAAGAATTTACGATATACAGAGTCGAAATGTCTAGAGGTGCGGTGCGTCGCGGCTACACCGCGCTCCTTTCCACATTCACTCTCTGTGCGCTTTCCAAACTTCTCTAATCAAAGTGCTTTTTGATTGAAGGATTGACAGGGTGATGATTGACGTTTACAGAACGCTGTAAAAATTTGACAAGAAAGAAAAGATATTTGATTTCAGTCTTTGATATCTTATTTTCTATTGAAACTCGAGTAAAATTCTAGCTCGCGGTTTTTTGATCTCCAGCTTCCTGGGATCACCTGAGCATCCAAAGTTCGTCGGGGCACCACCACCCATCGGCCTATTAAGTGCGACGCTCAAAAATCGGAACAGACCACAAAAAACCGGCACATTTCGCCGCTTCTCCCGACGTTGTGATAAGGAACACGGCTCCGATCTTTTGGGACTCTAGCCCGTAAATGGGCTCTTTTATGGGCCGGGCCAAACTGCGGGCACGGAACGCATCAGAAAACAATTCCGGGATCCGGGGAACCAAAAACTATATGCGTTGTTTGTCAGGGACTCGGAATTCAAAATTGGGAATCCGGAGCGAAAGATCGAAGTCGCGACTCCAAGCGAGGAGGGGCGGGAACTTCCGTAAGCAAAACCCGCGCAGGGTCAGGCGGAGAGGCAGAACTTTGGCAACACTTCGATGGTTTTTTTTCAAGGATTTTTCAAGGATTTGCGTAGAGTGAGATGAGAGAAGAGAGAAGAAGAGAGCATTACTATGAAGCTATGCGTGTTCCGAATTGATCGGGGCGCAATATGCATGGTCTGCCAGAGCCTAAAAGCGAGCAGAAGTGACATGAGTACAGTTTCAAAATTGACGCACATCTTCCGATCCAATGGACGACCTTATTTAGTTAAGTTCGGTTGAATTCAGAGGTGGTGAGCTGGTTTGATTTAATGGTCTGGACTTTCTGTCGAATTCCCATGTTCTTTGGTGAAAAAGAAATTGCAAGGCGACAATTGAAACGCATTCAAATTCGAAAAGAGCGATTATAGGCGCGAGCTTCCGGTGCGTCCTGGTTTATGAGGGTTTTTGAAGTTTGCAAACACGAAATATCCTTCCAGTTCGCTAAAGAAAAATCCCCATCAACTTATCGTGCTCGGAGCATGCTAAGGGTCTGAAGGTGACCGTATATACCGTGTTTCCAAACTTCATGCGTCGATTTCAATATCCAGCTTGCCAAATCCAAAAGGGGCGTTTGAACTCTCTTCCAAACCGCATTTTCCAGAAACAACACTATCACGTACTATCGGTTCTCAACAAAAACGTATCTGCCCTGTTCAGGTTACAGTTCTAATCGTCGTTTTTCTGCTTTCAACGAATCACAAAGCCCAGACCTATCTATAGACACCGTAGCCCCCGGGTCTCCCGAACCTTGCCTGATAACCATCCATAAAATTTTTGTGTCCGTTGATCAGCCAACAGAGCGGGGAAGCCCGACACCGAAAAGCCGAAAAAAAACACCCGGGGGTTCTTCCCGTTTACGAGGAACGGGTCACAGTGATCATGGAAAAACGTTTTTCGGGAACCCCTCCACGGCACCGTATAAATAGGAACGCCGTGGAAGGGGCAGGTCAGATTCCGGAACTTTCGGGGCCTTTGAACATTTCGATACCGTATCGTTGGGATTACTGTAGTCGTTATTTTAAGATAATGGTCTAGGATATGCAATATTTTCTTAATAACAGAGCAAATACTAAGGAGGTTAAGTAATCCTCTGGCCGTTTTCGTACCTGAACCGCACAAAAAATCAAGTTCTCGGGAAAACAAACTCTGCAAATGCAGAGCACGTGCAGGACGCGAAAGCCCACGTGGCCCTCTGCACGAAAGCCCACGTGCAGGACATGTCCAGGCACGTGGCCCTTCGTGTCCTGCACGTGGCCTTTCGTGTCCTGCACGTGGACTTTCGTCTCCTGCACGTGGGCTTTCGTCTCCTGCACGTGGGCTTTCGTGTCCTGCACGTCGACCTTCGTGTTCTGCACGTGCGCTTTCGTGGGCTGCACTGGCCCACCGTATCGAACTGTCCAGGCTGCCCGCTGTACTAATGCATTAATATCATAGCTTTCTTTGTGCTTATTCGATTCCAATGGTATACTAAAGCATACGTTTATCAACACAATCAACAAACATCATAGAAACACTGACAGTTGAAATATTCATAATACGCACTCCGTCGTAGCCCGAGGTAGAAGAACCATCTAAACTTTTCTTGTCAAAGCCTTTACCGTACTTGTACAATACAACTTACCAAATTGTACAATACCCTCTAAATAAAGCTCAAGCATATAGGTGCATACCTTATAACCAATCACGATAATAGATGAAATCATATTACCAATCGTCAAATTGAACATTTGGGGGCGCGACTAAACTACGTTTGATCAATAGAAATAACAATTCTTACCACGGATTGCAGCCTATGCTGACGCTTTTTGCGACATTCACATCTTAAACCTACCATTGACAGTGGGCATTACTAGATAATGTTTCAATACAGGGTGGTCCATAAGTATTGTCGCGCCTTTTGGCCGGCTGTATCTAATCGAGCTTATAGCACATAGTTTCTAAAGAACCTCCAAATTTCAGCTTAAAAATGGCTTTTGCGAGGCTCGGCTGGCGACAAAAGAATTATTTATTCACTAAATTTGACTTTAAAATTGAAAGAACAAGTAAAACTCTGCTAGCAGAATTTCCAAACAAAATTTTTCGCATCTCCGTTTTTGAGCAAGCGCTATTTAAAGTTTCGGCGAACGCGGTGCGCCGCCCCCGGCCTACCCGTATGTAAAACTGAGATCGTGGCTGCTAGAAAGCTGGGAAAACTGTGACATTTTTCTTGGGTATAGCTAAGGCTTCTTTTCAACTATTCCCAAATTTTAAGCGCAGAATTCCACATGAAGTTCAAGAAAACCGAGATTTTTGTCTAGTGGCAAGCACCAGCCAGTTTTAGTTCAAATCAAAGTCTGAAAAGTGATAGAAGCCTAGCTCAATATGCCATTAAAAAGAAAACGTCAGGTAGCATAGTAATACCATTTAGGATTGCCCCCGGGTAGTCCCAGGAAGAAATAAAACTTCGATAACTAAAAAATGACGGGGATGCCCTGAATTTGCGGATTTTCGTCCAACATTGCGGAGGGCATAGCTCCTTCAAGCGACAAGCTGTTTAGATTTCCATTTGGGAAATGCAGAACAATGCTGAAGCTACCATAAACTCGCTGGAAAAACATCCTGACTCTCAATCGGTGGATTTAGAGCCCTTCTTCCCGAAATTCTGGCGCGGCGCACCCCCAAACTTTTGTCGCCCACTTTAGACAAATTATCTCCCTTAGAAACCATTATTCCAAAAAACTTTCTGAAGCAAAGTGGTTTCTAAGGCTTGTCTTAAGCTAACCTACTTGGCTAAATGGCTGAAATCACCCAGTGGGAAAAGATATGACGCCTCGAAAAACGACAATACTTATGGACCACCCTGTATAATTATTTATGGAGTAGATCCACAATCCATAAAATTTTTCACCCCGAGCCATTTTAAAACGTTCAAAAAGACCTGCCACATCTGCAAGTTGTTAAATAAACTCGGACTTCATTGTAGACACATTGCTGTTTGGATGGGCGATCGATTATGTAGTTGTCTTCACAATCTATGACCCTTTTATCTTAGTCAACATTCATACCTGTGAAAAATCGTCCTCGCCACTTCTCGCATTGTCATCTAACTTCCGGTTCGAAACCGAGTTGATGAGGGAATCATTGATAAAAGCAGTTGAACTTTCAAAAAGAATGCAAAAAAAACTTTGAACGGTGTTTGAAATATTTGATTTCCGGTTGACTACGAAGTTGACTTGTTTACGGGGTCCACGTGCAGGACACCGTGGTCCACGTGCAGGACACGATGGTCCACGTGCAGGACACCCAGGGCCACCGTTGTGCATGTCCGGACATGCACAATCGTGGTCTTTCGTGTCCTGCACGTGGGCTTTCGCGTCCTGCACGTGCTCTGCATTTGCAGAGAACAGATACCCATAATACACGAACGGTGTACAGCTAAAAGCAAGAGTATTTTTTTAGGGTGCTGGCATTTCAGACCTGATTTTGGGTCTTTGTAGCTTTTAAGGGAATTTTCCGAGGCTTTTGCCGACTTCTAAAGGCTCCATTAATTTTTTTTGATTGAATATTTTAGGATAAATCAAAGACGCTAATATTGTCTTTGCAATGAGCTTTTTTTAGAATTTTAGGAAGTATTCGCTCGGTTTTATAGCTTTCTCGGGTCAAGGAAAAAAAATTGGTGATTTTTCAGGCCAATGATGAAGACCTCGCTTGGACTTTTGCTGCTCGCCAGCTCGGTGACAGCCCTCTACAACTGCGTGCCGGAGAACTCGGTAAAAAACTAAAGGGTGCTCATTTCACTGTAATTTTCAGACCTCCTACAAATTCCCGAAGGGCTTCCTGTGGAGCACCGCCACCTCGGCCTACCAGATCGAGGGCGGGGCCTGGGAGGATGGAAAGGGTCTCTCCATCTGGGACTCCTACACTCACACTGCAGGAAAGGTATGGTCTTTTATAGAAAATTTATGACAAAAACATCCTCGAAAGTCTTATTGATGACTGTACATTGATGGCTGTTTTGAAAGTATTACTCTAGGTCTCCGACAACAACACCGGTGATGTCGCCTGCGACAGCTACCACCTCTACGAGAGCGACTTTGCCATCCTGAAGCAACTTGGCGTCAAGTCGTACCGCTTCTCGATCTCGTGGCCTCGCATCCTGCCCACCGGCCTCAAGGAGAGCAAGAACCAGAAGGGCATCGACTACTACCACAAGATCATCGACGGACTTATTCGCAATGGCATCATCCCGGTTGTGGGTTTTCCAGACTTTTTTAGTATATCTCTCCGTCTCTCTCTCACTCTCTCTGCCACTCTCTCTAGTCTCACTCACTCTCTCTATCTTCGCTCGCTCAAGCGGCATCACGTCTCTGCATGGTCCCCTCAAAAAATCTACTCGGTTTTTCTAGGTCACCATGTACCACTGGGACATGCCGCAACACCTGATGGACCAAGGAGGCTGGCTGAACCCCCAGGTAAGGCTAATGAGCCTTGGTGTATATTGGCCCTCGATATTTTAGCTATTTTTCGACATTTTTGGCCCTGGTTTAGTGATTCACAAAACATCTTTATCGTTGAAACCATAGCTCAAAAAAAATTTACCTTCAAAAATGTATAACAAAAATAGCGTTCGCAATAGGCATAGAAAGCTGGCTTTCGGGATTATCGACATTTTTCGGTATTTTGAAGGCACAATTCGACAGCGCTTCGAAAAATATACTAAGAATTATGATTTCAGCTCAAAATAACGAAAATAACATAGTTACGGTAAAGATATACACCTGGTTTTGACATGGTGGCTTTGACATAGCGACTTTTCAAAGTTTTCGATACAAATTTCTTTAACTCCTGTCGATAGGCAAGCATAAAATATACCAAAAGCTTTAATTTCAGCCCAAAACAATGTAAAATATCGAAGTTATGGCAACGAAAAGCAAAAAAACACTGTAAAGTTATACCAAAACTTTTCAGATCAGCACCTGGTTTGCCGACTACGCGGAGATCCTCTTCCAGGCCTATGGACATAAGGTAATGCAAAGCTTTAGGTTCTTTCTACCTTTCTCTACAACCGATGACGCCTCTAGCACCTCTCACTCCTCATTTTCCAGGTCCCGTACTGGATCACGATCAACGAGGCCAAGTCGGAGACGCTGTACGCCTACTGCGGCACCATCTCGAACCACGCGCCCGGTGGCTTCAAGGAGCACTGCAAGTGGGCCCCGTACCAGGCCGGCCACAACATGATCCTCGCCCACGCCAAGGCCTACAAGCGGTTCGAGTGGTGCATCAAGTGCCGATTGACTGGAGGTAAGTAGTTCGGAGAACTGAGGGTGTTGTGAGACGCACGCTACGTGTTAGTAATGAGGGGAATGACCATCTGCCCCTTTTAGCCAAGGTCGGAATCACCAACGTCAACGGCTGGACCGTCCCTGCTGCCGGCGTCGACCAGAGCGTCGCTGATCGCATCAACCAGATGCAGAACTACTGGTTCATCCACCCCTTCTTCACTGGTAAGTAATAATAGAGCGAACGCTCCATGTAGGGTCCAAGACGCAACTTTGAGTACGCAGAACAAAGGCTCAAAGGCGTACGTACACACCATGCGGTGTACGTTGAGGTACGTATCAAGTAGTGCGCGTTGAGGTGTGGAGGTGCGCTCATCGTAGTGTACGCTGAAGTAGGCATCCTGTAGCGTTCTCTGAAATGCGAAGACATCAGAACGTACTTCGATGTACGTGTCTTATAGTGTACATCGAGCTACATCCGGACAGTGTATGCTAAGGTATGCATCCTGTAGCGTTCTTTGGCATACGAAAACTCCTGAGCGTACCTTGATGTACATGGGACTTACAAGTATAGTAGTAGTTGTTGATATAGCTTGACGATACGTACCTTATTGTACGCATCGAGTGACGTACGTTGAAGTACGCGCCATATATGTTACCTTCCTGTACGTACAATAAAGTGTACCTTACGATACGCACCATGTAGGCTATCAGGTGTACCTGGACGCACATTTCATGTAATTTTAGACCTGACTAGATTTCCGAGGCCTACTCACCTTACATTTCAGGAGAGTACCCGCCTCTTCTCCGCCAGCAGGTCGACAAGCTGTCCAAGCAAGAAAACCGCACCGTCAGCCGTCTGCCGCACTTCACCGAGGCCGAGCAGAAGTACATCAAGGGTTCGTAGGCTACTTTATTTATACTTACCTGGTGCCACGTACACTGGCAGTGACGCACTATGGTGTGCCGCAATTGACGGCGCCTCATTACAATGATGATCGCTTAATTTTCAGGAACCGTCGACTTCTTCGGCTTCAACTACTACATCACTCTCGTCGCTGCCCCGATCGCTGTAAGTTGATCTTGATCGCTCAGTTACATTTTTGCAGAACTACTCCACCGCCACCAGCTGGTACAACTTTGACTGTATGGCATCTGGTACCTACTTGCCTGACGAGGTTGCTCCGCGGTAAGTTAAGTTTTTTGGTAATTCAACATTTCTCTAGTGTCCCCGGAGGATGGGTGAGCACCTACGCCGAGGGCATGTACGCTTCGCTGGTTGATGTAGGTCTTCAAATTAGAATAAACAGAGAGAGAGAGAGAGAGAGAGAGAGAGAGAGAGAGAGAGAGAGAGAGAGAGAGAGAGAGAGAGGAGAGATAGCGAGAGAGACTTACAAAAGGGCGAGAGAGATTGCGAGGGAGATTGCGAGAGAACGCGAGACGATGAGAGAGAGCGAGAGAGAGCGCCAGAGAGAGCAAGTGAGAACGACGGAGAGTGCGAGAGAGATGAAGAGAGAGCGGAAGATTGCGAGAGAGACAGAGAGACAGAGAGAGAGGGCTAGAAAAAGATACAGAGCAAACAATAAACTACAAAAACCTTTTCAGCTTTACACCCGCTACAAGAAGCCGATCTTCATCACCGAGAACGGAGCCATGGATGCGCAGGTGAAATTTAGTGGTTAAAAAGTGGAATTCAGCCCTCAGTATATTTTTAAATGTTAGATTTTGGCATTAAATGTATTTATAGTTTTAAACAATTTACTTAACTGAAAAATTTTCTAAGAATTCTGTCCAATGATGCTAATACCGCGTCCTTCAGCCAACCCCCGGCGTCTACCCCGAGGGCCTGAACGACGTCTTCCGCACTCGCTACATCAAGGAGCACATCACCGCTGTTGGCAAGGGTATATTTTTTGATTAATCGGTATCAGAGGATACAAATTTTGCAGTCGTACACGATTTCACGAAGCTAAAAACTGAATTTTGTTTAGCCCTCAAGAACGGCGTCGACATCATGGGCTACACCGTGTGGTCGCTGATGGACAACTTTGAGTGGACGGCCGGCCTCGGCACCAAGTTCGGCCTGTACCACGTAAGTTCTGGACTCAGAGTTGATAGTTTTCGGAAAAAGCTATGAAGTTAAATTTTACGCTGTGTTGATTTTCTAGGTCGACTTCACCTCGCCCGCCAAGACCCGTACTCCGAAGGCCTCCGCCATCTGGTACAAGGACCTCGTCGCGCAGAACAAGATCGACCTCTGCTAGACCGAATTAGCCCTAATAATATGCACCTAAAATTAATAATATTGACCTCATAATAAATCATTACAGTTAATGAGCATTACCGCATTATGGGACTTAACTGGTATTAATGATAAACTTAATGCGAAATATCGCTTTTCGGGTTTTCGTTTCCCTTCGAATGGTTCCTGCGAAATCACACAGTCCTTCAAAGTAACAGAAATGTTAAGTAAGCCGGTATTTTCTGTACTTCCGGAACGTATTTATGAGAAGCACTAACTCACCCTGACGCCCTAATCGGTTGTGAAAGTTCGACCTCAAAAAGTTTGGGCAGCCCTGATTGTGTCAAATTTCAGCTACACTTTACGTTACCCCCATGTGAAATGTTTTGGCTATAACTTTTTGTATTTTACATTATTGTAGGCTTAAATTAAATTATTAAATATAATAGCAAATATATAAATTATCGTATAATTTTCGACGCTATCGAATGGCGTTGCAAAAAACCCCGACAAAATAAGCGAAAATACCGAAAACCGTTAGACCCTTTGGCTGTGGGCGGGGGGGGGGGCAGTATTCCTGCGTCTTTGAACTTTGCATTGTCCCCAATTTTAACATGTGGGCGACCATACAAACAGGTGCAAGACTATGCAGCTGATTTTGTATTTTTATTTATCCAAGAAGTGGGCACAGATGTGCAGCAGTCTTAGTTGGCAACCACCAATCTTTTTCGGAAAGTTCCTTCCGGCATATTTACCCGGAAATCCTGGGTGGAATCGCTAATTTTGCCGAGGCGCTACCCCCTAAATTTCACCGGCTATCTGAATTTTGTGTTTTTCTTGGGTTTTCTGGATCGTGACGGTTTATAGATTTCTTTTATTTTGCTTAGAATTCAAGGAGATAGAGAGAATGAGAGAGAGAGAGAGAGAGAGAGAGAGAGAGAGAGAGAATGAGAGAGAGAGAGAGAGACAGGCGAGAGGGCGAGTGTGAGAGAGAGTGAGATGGAGTAGGTGAGAGAGACCGCGAGAGATTGAGAGTGATAAAAATAACCTAAACGACGTATTATTCAAGATGCATTTGTTATTTTTAACCACAATTAATCAAAATTTACAATCAACATCTCTTGGACTGGCAAGCACTTCTGTTTACAGCCCTTGCGATGAATATCAAAAACCTCTTACAGGCCAGAAATCATATTCGAGGCAGGCTAGCAGAGATCCTTGTGGAAAGAGATTTACCTGGATTGTTTTTCACTACTGAATCAAATTTTGGACAAAAACACTCACGTACCGAGTCCAGCGCGGAAATTGAATTCGTTTCCGGAAAAATATGGACAAAACAAGGCTTGATCGGAGTCTGGCTTGTTGAAATTTATTTATTCAAACCTTTGTTATTCCAGCATTTACATCTTTGAACGGGCACGTTCAGGGACGTTTTTTTTTGGAAAATCGCCTGTCACAGCACGGGCAGGGCGTGCGCGCGGTCCCTACGTCCATAGGGTGTACACGTTGGAACGAGTAGACGGCCCCTCCCTGAACGTGCGCTTTAAGCGCTTTTTACCCATGTTCCTCTTGACGAAAGCTAAAATATCCTGCATCTCAGAAAAACTCCCAAAAAGGCCGTGGTTCAATCTTTACTCATTTTCTCATCACCCTTTTCGCTTTTCCCACAATCATTATGAACTTGTGATGTACAATCTCGGGCACACGTCCACAAATTTTCGTCTTTTCGTTTTTAATTTCCTTATGAACCGATAATATGGCTGTTTAGATAAGATGATGATCCCCTTCACCCCGCTCCGGGCCACGATTTTCATGACAGCACACGTTGTCTGCGATTGTTTTTCGATGCTATTTAATGGTGCATTGTTATATTTAATCTTGTTCTGCACTGCAAAGACTTTTAGATCGTATTCTATTATCTTGGCTTGGTAAGTTCGAATGACGCGAGGGAGGAGAGAGAAAGAGAGAGAGAGTGAGAGAGAGAGAGAGAGAGAGAGAGAGAGAGAGAGAGAGAGAGAGAGTGGGTGAGAGAGGCAGAGAAGGGCAGAGAGAGAGAAGGAAAGATAACGAAATTTCTGAGTGACACTACACACTTTTAAACTTAGCTTTTTAGTGTCACCCTCTCCGAGCTCGTTCTCGGCTCCTCAGCAGCATTAGCAATGTCACGGTAGGTTTCAACTGCTGCGCGATTACGCTTTTCTTCTATCTATCGTTTGATACGATATTTAGAATCATCCCGATAGGCCGAAGCTTAGTATACCAATTTCACGGGGCTTGCCGTTTTGTTTCTCCGAATTTTTGTATGGCAGGTAGGTCTACCTTTCATCTTGTAGCTGTTTGTCTCCTTCTCTCTCCCCCTCTTTATCTCTTTATCTCTCTCACCTTCTCTCTTACTCTCTCGCTTTCTTTCTCTGTCGCCCTCTCTCTCTCGGACACACCGTCGATCAAATTTATGGATTTTCAGTACAATCAATTACCGCTCATTGTGTCCCCTATGACTTTATGCTCTTGCCACTCTCATTTTGGTAAGCTCTAGCACTTTCTCTGAGCAAGTTTTTAAGGTACCGCCACTACGTACTCCATCGTACCCCACCCAAACCTAGGAATGTAGCCTTGATGTGTTTTCTATTATATTTGCCCTCGTTCTTTGTAATGGTAAGTCTGTAAACCGTAATTTTTTGGCACTTCGGATTTCCGAAAACGTTATTTAAATTCAAACCTTCAGCTCGACCAAGCCACTTCCGCTGATGATCCTATTCTTGTCCGGAAAATGCTGGCCGAACAAGGCCCTGGGTCGCTATATCCAAACGACACCAAGATAGCCGTTGTAATGGGGAATTTTGATATGTTCGAAATCAAGTAAGCAACTTGCTCTGTCTCCTTCTCTCTCTCTCTCTCTCTCTCTCTCTCTCTCTCTCTCTCTCTCTCTGTCTTTCCATCTCCGTTTCCCGATCGGCAGCGCCGAAAAGGTGCGTGCATCTCAATCATTGTTTTGACGCACTTTGGTCCAGTACAGGATACGGTAAAATAGCGCTTTTCATCTGGTCCAATGACGTTTATGTCTCCTTGCCGGATTGCAAGCCTTCTTGCCATCCTTGAAAGCAAGCCAGCAGAAATTCTTTGGGAAACCAGGCCAACTTCGCGCTCGCTGTCGGTCTCTCTCTCTCTAGCTCTCTCTCTCTCTTTCTTTCGCTCTCGCTCAATTTTCCATATTTAGTAGACGCCATCACCGCCCACTGCACCACCTACAAGAACTTGTTGATGCCGCTGTCCTTTTGGTATAACAGACCATTTGTTTTTTAATAGCTGCACGTTAAATTAGCATAAACGGCTCCTACATAACTTTTAGACAACCTTATCATTCATGATTTTTAGGTATCGTCATTATGTCTTGACCAACGGCGCCCCGAAGAGGAAAAGAATAGCTTTGTACTGCTTGATACTGTATATTCCTGTGTTTATTACAGCGGTTGGTCTCTCTCTCACTGGCTCTCGTTCTCTCTATCGCTCTCTCTCTCTATTGCTCTCTCTCTCTCTCTCTTTTGCGCGCGCGCGCGTTCCCTCTATCTTTACACCGTCTTTGCCGCTAGGATATGAATTTTTCTGTTTTAGGTAATGAACACCTTCGTGACGAGCGACCCTATTCAAATGCGACAGTTGCTAGTGGAGCACCAACCTGGTTCCCTATATCCAGACGGTCCAGCTCAGGCAGCAATTCAGGGCTATGAAAATGTTTTTGCTGCGAGGTAAGAGAGAGAGGGAGAGAGTGAGAGGGAGAGAGAGAGAGAGCGAGTATCCCAGAACACTAAGGATTTTCAAAAGATCAAAAGTATCTGACCCTGTTCTTTAGAGTCATCCTTAATTTTTTGAGCCCCAAAATCTCGCGAATCTTTCCATTTTCCAGGACCATCGCCATTTTCCTGTGGCTGTGCGTGCCCGTGTTCCCAGCCTATTGTATCTCGCTCTACTTCCGCCGCCGAATAATGCGGAAATTGAGAGGAAATCTATGCCTGAGTTCCGGGACCATCAAGGCGCAGAGGAATTTGGTCAAGAAGGAGGGAATACTGTAGAAATCAAAGAGATCATAATCATAAGCAGGCCCGTAGGAGGGGGGGGGGCCAGGGGGCCCTGGCCCCGAAATCGGTCGACGTCCGAAAAATTCATAAGGGGATACCCTTATGATTTTTAGTTACAAAAATTTTTCTGCCTGCGGCGCTGTTTATTACTGTTTTTCAAACAGTTTTTACTTATATGAAGCCTATTTCTTCAAACATTTTTGCCTGCGGCGCTGGTTTTTCATTGGTGAATCACTTGTTCATAAAAAATTTTCGCCTGCGGCGCGTTTTCTGCCGTGTTTTCACACGAATTTGAGTGTAGCTAATTGCAATTTTTTTGCCTGCGGCGCTATTATTGAAACGATTTTCGGATGTTTTAAAAGTGGCGACCGGGGGAGGTCGCCAAAATTTTTGGGCCCCCCCCCCCGAAATTTCGGTTCCGCTACGGGCCTGATCATAAGGAATCAGACTCATCAAAAAAGGTCGTTAAATTAAGCCCAGAAAATCGTGACATTTTATGTAAATACCTCAAAATTTCAGGCGCTGACGATCCAAGCGATACTTCCACTTTGCATGATGGGCCAGGCGACGATTTATCTATGGCGCCAGTTTCAGCTACCGTAAGTCTCTCTCCCTCTCTCTCTCCCTCTCTCTCTCTCTCTCTCTCTCTCTCTCTCTCTCTTTTCTCTCACCCTCTCTCTCTCTATCGCTCATTCAATCTATGTGATGCTCGCTGGATGAGGCCCTCAAAAAATATAGGAATTTCAGCTATGCAAATTACGCGCCCTACTTCGAAGAGTGGGTCTTTTTGTCGTTGGCTATGGTAAGTACAGCAGTTTCTTGGTTTCATCTTTGACATTTTAGGTAAGCCTCGTCAGTCCCTGTATCACCATCTACTACGTCTTACCATACCGCAAGAGGGTTACCTCAATTTTTAATGCCTTTTACTATCGAAGAGGAAAATTCCGGATTGGCGGAGATATTCTGACAGCCACGGCAGAAGCTTCTTATCGGGTATCTACACATCGAACACGATCTTATTTTTCACGGCAAAGTGCCATGAAAAAAACATTATTAAGATGTCGGCACGGACTATTATAAAGAACGAAAATTGCAAACCATGAACCAAGAACCCATGATTTTTAAGGAAAAACCGTGACATCAAATGCACTGTTTTTGACATGGAATACCCTTTATTCCGAATGCCCTAAGCTACAGTAGTTCGCGCTGGATCCATCTGATGTCTAGCCAAATCCGATTCCAATTGCACCAGCTGACCCCGGGCGCCGGTGCCTTTAACAAAAACCTTCTGGTAGCCCTGTCCAGATAGATCCGCGCTGGCGATTAGGAGGGCCATATTTTTCAGCGGGGCCAGCCGGGGGTTGATCCGGTTGAAATCCGCCAAGCCAGAGGGAGTGTGTGTGAGAGAGTAGAGCTAGAGAAAGACAGAGACAAAGAGAGCGACAAGTAATTTTTTTAAACCTTCATTTTGTATACGTTTTGCAGTGCTAACATGCGAAGGAGCAATGGCGCTGGAGATAAAGATAGAGAAAGGGAGAGAGAGCGAGAGACGGCGAGAGAGAGAGCGTGACACGGAGCGAGAGACAGAACGAGAGAGAGGAATGTCAAGCCGGAAACCAGAGCAAAGCGAGATTTTTCTAAATTGGAAGTCTCTGCCTCTCTCACTCTCGCTCTCGCTCTGTCTCTCTCACTGTCTGTCTCTCTCTCACTCGCTATCTCGCTCGTTATTGAGAAGTTAGTAGAAAATCACAGTCGGCGAGAGAAAAAACGGGGAAAAACCAGACATCCCGTCTCATCCCAGCCTAAATCCAGGATCCATTTGGCCATTTGGTCCGTTTCATCCCTACCGTGTGGTCCGTTTCAGCCGGACCGAGGAGGACCAGCTGGCAGCATTCCGGTACAAAGGATCGGTGCGGACTGGCCCTCATTCTCTTCCTCCCGTAGATACAGAAGGGCAATTTGCTCCCAGCTGCTCTCCCCCCACCCTTCCGACTCACAAATGACTGCCTTTCAGCCCCCGGAAAGCTGGGCAGAAAAAACACACTGGGGCCTACTAGGCTGTGGCTGGCAGATGGAATTTAGGGCCCCGTCCCGGCCGGTGCCCCAGCTGGCACATTCTGGCGGCTTCCGTTTCGGAATGCTAATTTTTTCGGGTGGCTTCATTGTATTTTTTTCCGTGGGTTAAAAAGACTGTTGTGGCTGATCTTCGTGCTGATCCCGGTGGTTGGCAAAAAACTGCTTTTATGTATTGCCACCAAAAAAAAAAAATCGAGATTTAACCTGGAAGCTTGCAAAAGCCGAAACACCATTTTAACATTTTAGTCTGACGATTATAGGTTCGTTAATAACGTTGCATTACCCTAGACCATCCAGTGGTTAGGTGCAGATTGTTGCGGTCCTGGTTACCCTTTACCAGTACTGAACCTGGTTGAGAGGGGGCGGAGCCTAGCGGAATACCGTAGTCCGTTTTGACTCTCCTGCCACTTCCCAAATTTTTCTGCTGTTTTGCGGTTGCTAAGTCCTAACCTACTATTTTTAGTAGTTAATGTTGTAGCTATGCTAATTGTTTTTAGTATTTTTAAGGTTTTGCTGATTTGATAATTTACAGACGAAGCTCTTCCTCGATTCTATTCCCCATCTTTCGGGGGTCAATTGACCGATTTCAAGTTTTCTCTGCCCCAAAAGTTTTTCTTTCCCAAAACTCCCTGCTCGCTTGCCACCGGCTGTTTTGTGTGGGTATGCCGACTGCTCCTCCTCCTGCTTCCGTTGCGGTATGGCGTTCATTAGCCGCTTCGTGCCAAGGCAGGGCCCATCTGGTGGGCACCAGCTGTGTCTTCCCCCCTCTCATTCTCTCAACCCCAGCCGGATCCCCACCACCACTCGCTTAGGATCGCCCTGAAAAATTTTTTGTCCAAGCCGATTGCCTCCGCTTTGCTACCGTCTGTGCGTTTTTCGGTTGTAGGGTGATTTTTAGAGCAATTCAGGCTTTTAAGGGGCGCTGAGGTTAGGCGTTTTGGCAGGTGTTTTTACCTGGATGTTGACTTTTGATTTTTGGAGGCGCTAAAGAGGAAATAACAGACTTGTTTTTGAGACCATGATAATGAAAAATTTAAATTTCTGAGCTTCCGCATTCCTTAAAATACTAAAACCTTGGGCCTTTGTTTTTAAATGTCGCCATCTAGAAATGACATTTGATAAATCTATCGGAGGGGGGTGTTCATTTATGTTCTGTTCCTCTTTTCGAGCGTCCAAACTTCAACATTATTTACTTTCTGCAAAATTACCACGAATTTTCAGCAATTGAAATAAGCAAATTTCTCCCTGCCTTCAACCCTTTGATATCTCAAGTTTAATCTTCTTTTACGTCTTGCCTGAAGACCACGATTTTTCAGATGTCCCTAACAATAGAAAATATCTTAAAACCGGTGGCTTCATCTTCTAAAGAGCCCGTGATAGACGATTCCCGGTAAACCCGTTTTAAAACAACAATGAAGAGCTTTCTTTAGTAAAAATCCGATTGATGACGTTGGAACGCAACTCGTCACCCAGTTTCTAGCCGCCGACTGCTTGAGAAGACTATAGTAAGCTTGGATTGATCATAATTTCTAGCTGCTAGTTAGCGCGAGCAGCACAGCCTACTTCGCGCTATTACGAACCTCTGTAATATAATTGTCCATTTTAGTGCGGATCAGATGACGTTACTCTCCACTGCTTTGATAGAGTATCAGCTTCAGAGCCTGAGTAGTAAATCGAAAGAAAGTAATCTGATTAAGTTTTTTTAGAAAATACTCCAGACATAGAAGAAAAGAAGCAGAAGTCCCCAAGGAAAACGGTCACTGTCGTGAGAGAACGGAGAAGAACCAAGTATTCGACGGATGATGAAAGGTCAGAACAACTTCATCGGATTTCCGTTATCTCTTCTCTCTCATTCTCTCTGCTCCCTCCACTCTCTCCTCTTTCTCTCTCTCGTTCTCTTTCTATCTCTGTCTTTCTTGCAAGTCAATCTAGCTGTGGCCATTTAAATATTGAAACCTTCTCTAAACAGTATTTTTAGAAAAACAGCCAACGAGCGGGAACGAGTCCGAGTACAATCGATTGGAAAGGTTTTGGACGACCTACGAGAAATTTTGCCCTGTCAGCACCCAAAATTATCAAAGGTGCATTGCCTTCCAAGCAAAAATTCCTTTTATTTTAGCTTCTTTAATATCAGCATTAAAATCACCATTTGTTCTAGGTATCCATCCTACGACTCGCTACTCATTACATCGGCTATCTGGGCGCTATTTTGGAGGATGAGGACTATCGGTGAGTTAGGATTTACCCCTACTTCGCATCAAAAATAGCCTCCGTAATTTACAGTTCTTTTTAGCTAGAAAACGCTAATTACCCAATTTTTCAGGCCTCACAAAGAGCTTTTCCACAAGACGTTCGACTTCGAGACCCGGACGAACAAACGTCGAAACGAAAAATTTCTTCTTGGCCTATGTTCAGTGAAGGAAGAGGAAGACGGTGCATAACTACAAAGTCGACCTTGCCAACTACCAAATTTCTATCTATCCGGTTTCATGTTTTGCCGATGCGGGTGCAATGGATAAAGTTTTATCTAAGACCTGTGATTACTCGATGTGGGCGCAAGGCGCTGAGTCTCAGTTGCGAGTTTTCCGATAGTTCGCGGAGTATTTTTCTAGCGCAAATTCAAATTTGCGGATCCCCCGATTTGAATGGGTTTAATAACGACCGTCCGGGGTTGGTGTTAGCCACTACTATTGAGTAGGTGGACTGCTCATAAATTGGGCTTTGATGTGTGACGCAACACTTTCGAAGGTTGACAACAGGTCACTGGATTGCCAGAGAATCATCATAAGCAAACGCTAAGGGTAGTTTCACAGGTTTCCCTTGGCTCAAAATTATTGTTAGGCAGGGTGAACGCAATTCTATCGGCCTTCATCTGCTCTTGGCCAGTGGAACCGTATATGGCCACGGTAATTCCAGAGTACCACGGTAATTCCAGTAATCTTCATTGAACTGCATCATCTTCCACTCTGACCTCGTTCTCGGCCATTATTTTCAAACAATTTATCGCCGTAATACCGGATTTGAGGATGAGCCGAACCCTGACGATTGTTCCCGATCTTCCGCTGCCTCGCTACCAATACATCTTTGCCTTAAAAATATAACGGCGGTCTAAAAAGAACGTCAGAAAACACAGGAGCATCAGAAACCAAATGCACCACACCCGAACCCGATGATAAAATTACGGTCTCGCCTTTAGCTAGACGAAAACGGATTCCGGGTGATTTACTCCTTCAATTCCGAACCTGCCGGTATCAGTTGTCCGTCTTAATTTCCCAGCTAAATCCCCCGCGAAGCGGCACAATCAAGCGGAAACGTGAAGCCCCCGGTGACGATAGTATGGGAGAGTGGATCGAGTGCTCTTGGCAGCAGGTTTTCCGGGAGCCCCAGGGGGGGAGGGGAAGAAGACAAGCATGCCGATCGCCGGAGGGGCTGATCACTGGCAGATAGAGAGAGAGCGAGAGAGAGCGAGAGAGAGAGAGGGAGCGAGAGAGAGAGATAGAGAGAGACAGAGAGAATGACGCGCAGTGCGGCATCCGCGCGCCAAGCCGCCTCCCGCCCGATCCATAGCACCCGCCATTCCGGGAGCGCCGCCAGGATCAGTGCTATCTGATCAGGTATTTTCCTCGTTATATTCTAATCAGGATTTTGAATGCTATTTAATTTCTGTAATTGATAAATCGCATTTTTTGAGTCGCTAAATAATTTTTTTGGATCCTTGGATTAATTTTGTTTCCTACGAATATCATCTATGTCGGCATTTCTTTTATGAATTTTCTTACTGAAATATTTGAATTTTTTAATTGCGTGCTGCGCTCAACAAGGTTGTCGGTAATTTCGAAAAATTCGTGCAAAAATTCTCGTTTTCTGTATCCGAAAACCTTAAAATCCCGACAGAGAAGTGTCGACAACAGCATTAATCAAAAATTAATCTTTAAAAGCTGCTTGGATTCGATCCGTCGAGCCTAGAAATGCCGAATAACTGAAAATAGACGACTAGCATGCCGACGAGCAAAATGCCGACACGCATAATCCCTAAAAACTTTACGAAAACCCCAGTCCCTAGAACAATTCTTTGAAAAATCCCTCTTTTTCATGCCATGGATTTTGGCACCAACCCGGAACCATAGAACTCTTCGTACCCTCATTGAAAGCTTGGAAAGTGCTAAATCCTGCAAATTGGCTGCCTAAGCCGTCGGCCTGTTTTGAGGAAGTTCCAAGCACTTCGCTGAACCTATTGAATTTTTCACGCCAATCGCACACGCCGGGGCGCCACCACAAAATGGAGCAATTTCGAGCGGAACTTTTTGCGCTGCGCATTATGGGCAGCAAAGATCAGGCGCAGAATTTTATGGTTTTTAGCATATTTGTAAATGTTTTTAAATGGTTGACAAAATTGATCTAGACAAATTCTTATTCAATGATATAATAATGGTAGCTAATGACCCTGTTTATCAAATATCTGGCAAAATGCTATTTTTAGCACGCAGCGTTGCAATTTTGCATTGGAATTACCGAAACGATGCATTGATAGCAGCAGGGGGTCCATGCAAACATTGGGACATCATTAATGCGTATTTTTAAAATTAAAGCTTTTTCGGAAAATAAAAATATACAATGTAAAAATGCCGACAATTTTTAAATATAAAACTGTCGACAAATTTGGAAATTTTTACCTTATAAATTCTTGACGCTAATAAGTACAGGGTGTCCCAAAAAAAACGACCCATCTGGCATTTCGCCGTGTTACATCCAATCGGTCTCAAATTTGGACCAGAGGTGTATCAGACCCTAAATAACAACAATCCTGACTTTTAGCCCGGTAGCTATAGTAGTTCTCGAGTTATGGCAAAAACAAACTTTATTTTCTATTTTTCATAGGGTTTTCGTGGAATTAGATCCCCTAAACATTAAGTGAAAATGATCCGGAAGGCCTCCTTCACCTTAAGAAATTTTTTCTAGAAAAAAATTCGTTAAATAAGCTTCGATTTATGCGATTTTTACAACGCAAAATTACCCAAGTTCTTAAGCGAAATTAGGGATTCGCAGCCGGAAGTCGATGCAAATCGATGCATAGTCCAAAAAGATAGCCGATAAAACTGTTCAGAATTCCGGGAAAAACAGTATTTTCGTTATAACTTTAAAACTACTGTAGCTATGGGGCTATAACTCAGGATTGTTGTTATTTAGGGTCTGATACACCTCTGGTCCAAATATGGGACCGATTGGATGTAACCCGGCGAAATGCCAGATGGTTCGTTTTTTTTTGGGACACCCTGTATAAATTCAGAATCTCTAAATTGAAAAAGCCAAATTCTAGTATGGCGAAGCTTGTCTTGAACTAGCATTAGGAAATCCGGAAAAATGCTGACAATTTCTAAGAAATTTCGACATTCTTATTCGACTTTCTGAATGTTTTTGTTTTAGATTTTGACGTTTTTTATATGCAATATTTTGGCTTACCGGCATTATGGATTTCTGCATTGTAAAATAAGCTTGAATGCGCAATCCGAGATTCGGAACATTCCGAGATTCAAATGTTGCGGTTGTTCCGAGATTCATATTGTTCCGGCTGTTCCGAGATTCGGAACGTTCCGAGATTTGGCTGTTCCGACTGTTCCGAGATTCGGAACAGTCCGACTTTGAGCTGTTCCGAGATTCAAATTTTTTCGCATGTAAATTTCCCAACACGACTGAATTGCGATTCGATTCGATCCCCAATTCGTTCTCATTTCCTTAATTTCCAGATTCAATATCTAACCATCGACGGAATTAAGTGTTCAGTTGCGCCCACACTGCCGTGTCACGGCAAAATCGAAACAGTTACGTGCAATCTACACAATTTACACGAAATCGAAATTTACATGCGAAAAAATTTGAATCTCGGAACAGCTCAAAGTCGGACTGTTCCGAATCTCGGAACAGTCGGAACAGCCAAATCTCGGAACGTTCCGAATCTCGGAACAGCCGGAACAATATGAATCTCGGAACAACCGCAACATTTGAATCTCGGAATGTTCCGAATCTCGGAACAGCCGGAACACGCGAATCTCGGAACGTTCCGACATTCGGAACAGTCGGAACGGTTGCTGTTCCGAATGTTCCGAATATCGGCCTGTTCCGAGAAACAACCCTACTTCCAACCCACCACGAACTTTTAATGCAAATTCTGTCTGATCTTCCGGGGCGGCAGTTTAGGCTTCACTCTCCCCTCCCAATCACTAAATTCTACGCCTCTAATCCACCGTGACGGGACGCCACCATGCCAAGCTGTGCCTCGGGCTACGGCAGACGGCGACGACGCACGACGGCTAACAGATCAAATTAGTGCTGAAAACACGGTTAGCGTGGGAGGCGTGTAACAAATGGGAGGAACAGGTGTAGCACAAAGTACGGTAATCTTCAGAAGGCGATAAGACGTTTTTACATTTTTTTAAGGAAAAGTAAGGCATGGTTTTGGATCTTGCTGCGCCTTTTTTTTATCGAAATTTTGTTGGGGTCCGAAAACCCCCTGCTTATTTTTTAGAGGGAGCGTGACAGTATCATTTGCTGACCCAAATTTTATGCTTTCAAACTTAAATTTTATTTAAGTAGCCTTGTATCTTTAGATACCGTAATCAGTGAGCTCCCCACTACGATTATTTTCTGCATCTATCACACAGTATTTGCTCCCTATGGTCATGTAATGTAATAGGGCTATATGTACCTCCAACGTCGCATCTATCCATCATGATTCGCTTGGAATTTGGAGCAACTACGAATTTCGATTTTGTCGCATGGTTTCGCTCATTTCCATCACTGAACGGTTTCCCGCGTCCGATTTACTTGTTCGGAACTTATTCTACCTGGTAGATGATTGATTTGATCATCAAAATAGAGATCGTCTTGTTAATCCTTCAAGAAAGGAAATTCTAAGCCGAAAAATTCGACCAAAAAGCATTTCTTGCCCAGTTCCGCTTTACGAAATCGATCCTCGGGCGGGCAGTCGGATTAGAATCTCCGAAATGTCACTTTTCGCTCTCGGTCTCTTCCTCTGTCTCTCTCTCTCTCTCTCTCTCTCTCTTTCTCTCTTGTGTTACGACAGGCCTGTATTACGTAATATATAATCGCTAATCGCATAATCGCTAGAAACTCTCGCCTTTTCAGCATGTCCGCCGAGGTCAAACTCCTCCAAGGCATCGGGCTACTTTACCTAGTGCTCGGAAAGGCACTGGAAAATTCGCAAACCTACAAAATCGACTGGAACGTCGGCTATGCCATGTAAACTACGACGGGATTCTTCCAAAAATGACCTTTTAGTTTCTTGATATCGTACGGTTGGGAGGTAGGCCGCAGGATTAAGGACGAGTTAATGAAGAGGTAACCCTTCCTAGGTTTCCATTCATTTTCTCCAGAAATTCAAGCCTCTTCGGTTCGATGGCCGCCCAATTCACCACGCTGCTTCCGATTTATGACCTGGTGCTGCTGGGCCTTTCGGTGGCAAGCTTGTTTTTGTACCAAGGTGCTTTTTTCGGACCTAAGATATGCTAAAACAGGAAATCTCTAAAGGTTATCATGCGGAGAAATAAAATTTACTTTCAGGTCCCGCCCGAAAATGCGCCGAGAAAAACGCTGGGCTAGCGTCGCTCGGATTTGGAAACTGGGACATCGCCTATAGAGAGATTTTGCAAAAGAGGCTGCATAAAGATCGAGTAAGTTTGAAATTTGAGAAATTCTTCGCGAAAAGGCATTTTTCAAAACTTACGACCAAAAATTGCAAAGAAAGACTCTAGAACTTACGTATTTCTTGTAATGGAGTATGCCGGTATAAAGAAAAATACACTAACAAAATTACAGGTTCATACACAAGACTGCGACCACCCGTTCGATTACTTCTGGATCTGCTGCCTGCTCTATCAAGCCATTTTCCAGCTTTATTTTGTGTTTTTCGTCTCCCAAAGGCTCAAGAGAGAGCGACAGTAAGTTCCGAATCGCCTCAATTTATGCAAGTTTCTTTGAGAGAAAAATTCGAGCATGCCACACTTGCAATCCTGACGGTTCTCAACTTCTGGGGCAGCTTTGGGAACTTCAAGCTTGGCAGGTAAGTCCTGCGATTAAAAAATTGTTTGATTAAAACCAAAAGAAACTATATATTTCTAGATTCTGGCTCTTCTGGTTCGGGGCATTAATCGCCAACCTACTACCACTTCATTTTAACACGGACGAGCTGAAACGAGAGGAGTCGAAAAGCATGTCAAGCATAGGTAAGTTAAAAAAGATACTTAAAATTTAGCGCATTTTAACATTTAAAAAGCAAGGCGGAAGACAGAGTTTCGCTAACGGGTTTTTTGGGAAATGTGCTAAAAAAGACATTTGCCTGTGGCCGGTTTTCAATTTGTAACATTTTAGGCTCACGTCAATCAAAAAAAAAACAATTAGCTTTTAAACTCAATTAAATTGTTAATCGGTAATACAATTTTACAAATCGCTATACCCCCTTGCGTGGTATCATTATCGTAGTAAAATCGTTTATTTTATTCCTAGTTAATTATCTTTACTTTTTCGTAGCGTAACCTAGTTAATATTACAACAAAATTATTATCCCATTTTCCGGCTAGATAAAAAAATTTTAATATACTTTTTTACTTTTTTTTTATTTTTTTTATTTTTTTTTTTATTTTTCACTGCCGACACGTATCGATGATCTTTCACCTGCCCACCCGCCTCTCCTAGCCTGCCAGACCCTAATTCGTGCCCCCAGGATACGCGCAGGCGTCTGGACACCGGAACTTAGCATTTCTTAGTTTTCTTCGGCAAGGACAAAAGCGGAAAGGCAAAAAGTTGAAGCCAAATAGCCCCTGGATCCGGTCCAAATCAGTCGCCCTTTAATCACCCGACTGTGGCAGACGGAATTTGGACGGAGAGAGAGAGCGAGAGAGAGAGAGAGAGAGAGAGAGAGAGAGAGAGAGAGAGAGAGAAGAACGTTCCGAAGAATTTACGATCGCTCTTTGGGTCGCAGCTTCCGATTTCCGCTTTTTATGCGCTTGCACTCTTGTGTACTAATGATGCGTTCGAATTGGAAATGCATGGAAATGAAAGATTGGAGAAAGGAGATAGAGAGAGAGAGAGAGAGAGAGAGAGAGAGAGAGAGCGAGAGAAAGAGAGAACGAGCGAGATCGATAAAGACTTTTTTTCAGAAACCTGCGGAACCAGCTACACCCTGTCCTCCCGAAAGACCCTGGTAACAGCTTGGCCTAGGGATGAGAAACCGCCTCAAAAAGGTATCCTGCCATTTCAATTGTGTAATCGGATTTAGACGCCTGGCTCAAAGTGTTCCCGAAAATCTTTAAAATCACCGGCTACATCTTGGTGCTCGTCTTCTTTTTTCCGTTCACGATGAGGCGGGGGGCTGAGGAAGTGGTAGGGAATTTTGAAGGGATAAATGTATAAGAATCGGCCGCTTCGCTAGCTGGGTCTAGACAGCTAAACGCAAAAAAAACAGAAAAAGATCTTAAGAGTTCCGGTTGGATCCCATTTTTTACGTAAGATAACCTGTACCACCGCACCGCTACGCTTCTGAGTTTTTGGATTCCTCTCGCTACACCAGAGCAATTTTTAGATCATCTGCGCAGCCGTCTTGGCCGTGCTGATCAGCTCGCTCATGGAGAGACCGCTGAGATTCGTTGAAAACATTGGAGTACTAGCTGGTAAGTACCATTTTTTATGAAAATTTCGTTTTAAAACTTAACATACTACTCAAATAATAAGATATATAATAATAAGCTCGCGCGCTTTTAGAGCTGCAACATCGCGGCCGGCTCGAAAAATTTCAAATCTAAAAATTTAACAAAAATTAAGGTTTCTCCTTTGAAAAAAATACAAATTTATATTTCGAGTCCTGTTCAAACGATAAAACCCGAAAAGTTAAGTGATTTATCATTCAAAATGTATTTAAAAAATTAATAATCTTTAAAAAAGCAAGACTCCAACCCGAGCTCCGCGCTCCTTCCATATTTTGTCTCGGCGCTTCCCCCATAGAAATGACGAATAGCTCAAGGCTGCGGACTTGCTATTTGCCGCGGGGTGGTGCACCCGATGAACACCATCTCTTGCCCCCCTGCCGCGAAAAGTGTCGATTTTGGTTTTAGGCACGCTGCTGTGGGCTGTCTTCCTCCTCATCCACCCAATACAGTTCGCCGTCCGCCGTGCCGCCCTCGTACCCCCGGCTGACGGTCCGTTTTTATCACCTTTTCCGAAGCCTCCGCCCGTCCTTACGACACCGTGCCATTAGCGTCTCTTGATTTTACGCTTGTTTTCGTGGCTTTCGGGGTATTGATTTCCATATTTTCTAACGAACTACATTTCTTGGCTTGGGCTAGCAAAAGTCCAATCCACGCTAGCTTAGGATATCTGGCTCTGGATTTTCTGGCATACTGCTCGTTTTTTAGGCGAACAGACTTCGATGCCTCGCTTTTAGGCTTGTTTTCGCGACTTTTGGGGTATTGGTTTGCGTATTTGCTAACAAACTACATTTCTTGGCTTGGGCTAGAAAAATAGACGGCAGGCTAGCGTCCGGGGCCTGGCTTTAGGTTTTTTACATATTCTTCGGTTTCATTGGAATCCTTCGGTTTTAGGCTGACTTGATGGCTACGGGCTATTGATTTCCGGAACTTTTAACCTATCGTTTGTGGCTTCAGCTATGAATTGTAGTAGCAAAGTAAAATCCACCCAAGCATACGGTAGCTAGCTCCAGATATTCATCCAAATTTTTGCTTCTAGACTAGATGCTTGTCAGAGCTCAGCTCACCGATGTTTTTATGGCTTGGAGATACTGATTTATTAACTTCCATATTTTCTAAGCGACCGTTTTTATTCGCCCTTTCCAAAATGTAAACACGTGAAAATCAGCTATTATATCGGTCTTTTCCGGTATTTCGTCAAAATCTGGGATTACTGAATTATTTTGTCGAACTACGCTGACACAAGACTATGTCACTATTCAGGGTATGTGCCGGCAAAAAAAAATTGAATAATACACTTCCGCAAATTCAGTTTTAACAAAATGCTATCTCTAATGCTATTTCTGTTTTATGCAGTTCCTAGCGGGATGGAAAAAATAGGCGTGGCCTGCTTTACTCGCTTAAAAAAAATTCTAAGCATATTGTAATTACCGAATAGTAGGTTGCAATTTTTCAGAGTCACCCCAAGAATTTAATTTTTGTTTTATTCATTCCATGCACAATTGCTAAAATGGTTTGCTGGTTCTGTTTTAGCTCTGGCCCCTGTTCCGTTGAGCTCCGCTTTACGCTTCATTTCCTCCTCCACGTTTTACGAACCGAAGAATTTTTAAGTTCCCCAACTTCCAAATCAATACCCAGAAGTTCTTACGGCCCTTCGTACTTGTACGTTTTTAGATCTGATTGTTAGCGAACTTTCCATTTTTTACAGTGTGTGGTGTGTGTTAAGGAACTTGGTGTTCCGCCAGGGCTTGCACTTTCCAAGCGGAGCCAATTGGCAATCGGGGGGTTGGGTTGGCGGGTGGCTTTTAGAACTTGACGACCTTTTGTTGTTCAGCTGCTCGGTTCGGTTGATTAACTCGGTGATTTTTTTAGGTTTTCTTGGTTTTCGTACCATCAAACTCACAAGGGAAGTGCACGACCGGCCCACGAGAAATCGACACGAGACATAGTGGATCTGATAGAATCGGACACGGGGATTCCGAATCTGTAATCAGAATTTGCTAAATAAAACGGAGAAAAAAGTTATGAAGCTTCAAAGTTGGCAAAATCGCCCAAAATCGGACTTTTATGGGCCTGTAAAGGCCCAGGGAATGGAAATTTGCCACAACCCATTAGTGCATCTTGTTCAGCAGAAAAAGCGCTTTCGAATGAGCTTTCTTACTTTAAGTTCACGATGTTTTCGCGAAAATTTCTTCTACGAACTTGACATACCATACCCTTGCCCGTCAATCCAAAAACACTTTTTTCAGTGAATTGTTTGCAAATGCTACGTATTACAGCTCATTCGAAAGCGCTTTTTCTGCTGAACAAGCTGCACTAATTCTTTTCTCCTCAATTCCGTTCCACCGGTTTTTACGCGCCCTTAAAGGTACGGTTTTTGGCGATTTGGCCAACTTTGAAGCTTCATAACTTTTTTCTCCGTTTTATTTAGCAAATTCTGATTACAGATTCGGAATTCCCGTATCCGATTCTATCCGATCGACTATGTCTCGTGTCGATTTCTCGTGGGCCGGTCGTGCACTTCCCTTGTCAGTTTCAAATTTTAAAGGGGCTAAGAAACATGAAATTTGCTGTTTGGGGGAGACTAACTCTTATTAACACTTAACCCTTTTTGGGGCTACAGAGAGCACCATAATACGGAATTTTTTGACGAAGAAAATCCAAAATGAGACTAAGCTGACGGGACTCGACAGATACGCGAAATGAGAAATTACCTGCACTTGAGCAACAAGCTGTTGCTCAACCTTTGGCCTCTGCCCTGCAAGAATAATTTCTGAATCGCTTTTTGGGGGGTTTGCATCAGTCAAAGCCTTGTCGTATGAAAAGGCCGGAGGTAGGAAAAATGCCAATTTCTCGCCCCTTTAAAGGAGACAGGAAGTTTCAAAAACTATGCTAGTTTTTATTCTTAGCGATTTCCGCAAGCTTATATGTGGGCCTGCTGTATTTTGGTGCATTGCGTAGCTTTCGAGGTTTAGTATCTGAAAATGCGGATTTTTGCCGATCCCACCCCGCTTAAAGGAGATAGGAAGTGGTCATATCTACCATTATCTTGACAAAATATTGGCATGGTCGGTGTATACGTAATTTGGTTCTTCGTGAACTTGTCGAGACCTAGCGCAAAATACGCTATTTTTATCACCTCTCGGATATCCTTAATGTGCCTTTTATGACTGGCTGAGCAGACATCAAGGGGAAAGCCATGGTTGCGTGCTGCTGATCCCGCTCAAGGTCGTGGTGATGCTCCCGTAGGGCGTACTTTAACGGGCCTGGAGGGGGTGCCATTAGGTTCAAGAGGGAATCCCAGGCGTACCAAGGAGATATGCACGTTTTTGCACATCATCCGGGAGCCAGATCTCGAGTTGCATGATAGACGGCCTGGGATCTTGAGATCTGGAGGACCGTACATACATTCAGAGTCGGGAGAAGGTCGTCTGGGCTTTCGATTTTCATATGGCTCGTCATAAGCCCTGGCATCTGGCAAAAGTCGCAGATCGCTGGAAAGATTCTGATCTCCCAAAGCTTTCGCTTTGACGAATGCCTTTGCAACTTTTTGTGCTTTTGCTTGCCGGACTTTTCACTTTTTATTCTTGTCATTATTTATGCTTTTTCCACGAAAATTAAAAGGAGAGAATTAGGATTTTTTAATTTTTTTCACATAACTCTAGATATGCCTAAATATCTGAATAGTGTTTTCCATCGACTTAGCATATTTCCTAAATAAAATATCTGAGAAATTCTCACAAAATTAAAAAATTACAATGTTTGGTCGAAACGGCGAGATTTTCGAATTTCCTAAAAAATTACACAATCCATTGCATTATATATAATAATTTAAAATAATCGCGTAGATCTCAGAAAAAAACTGGGTAGGAACACGCTATTTATTCTAAAAAACGGAATCAAGAAAACGGTCCGGAATTAGGTTTTGCTAAATTCTAGCCTTTTTATGCAAAAAAATGGAGCGCAACGAGTTGCGAAATCGATGATATACTCACTCGCTGCTGTGCAACTTAAGGGTATTTTTTAAACATCAACATTTCCATGCCTTAATTGCTAAAGAATTTTTGCTTCTTTCCAACTAGTCCTGAACCAACAGCGGAGTTTTACCTATGGATTCAAAACCACTGAAAGCATCGAAACCATCCCCTGGACTTGTCATTTCACGAACGACAATCCATTTCCAGGCTCTTGCTTTTTTCTAATATGAACTTGTTTTGCTGTGGTTTGCTTCTTCGGGTCGACGGATGCGAACCGGCTGCCACGCTGATAATAGATTTGAGGTGTGGTTATCTGGCTCCTCCTCGGATCTGAGGAGACTGCGGATCGGCCGGAATCCACCGTCCGCCTATTTCCCTTTTTGCCGTACCTCCGGGGGCGCAAATTTGGTATGACGAGAGAGAGAGGGAGAGGGGAGAGATAGGGAGAAAGGGAGAGAGAGAGAGAGAAAGAGAGAGAGAGAGAGAGAGAGAAAGAAAGAGAGTGAGAGAGAAAGAAAGAGAGAGAAAGTGAGTGCGAGAGAGGCGAACTCGACGAGCTCGTTATCCCAGCCACCACCCGTTTGCCAATCCGCTCCTTTAGCCTTTTCACCCTAATTTCGCCTCCGGGTACGTCTGCCATTCGGGCTGGCAAAAATCGGCTGCCGCCCTGGTATGTCAATGGCAATGAGGCGTGTGCCATGCGTGACAGGATGTCGTTAATTCGATACTGTTTGTTCTGATTTTTTAGATAAGTTTTGTCAAGGTTTTTTTGCTAAACTAAATCGATCGCTTCTAACTTTTTCGTTTATATTGGGATTTTTGTGTGGACATAGCAGCAGTGATACTTTTGTAAGAACGGAAAACCTGAGTTATTTAATAGTAGAAGGAAAAGTAATATATACAAATGTGAATTTTATGCTCTTATACCTTAATTAGTCTAATAGTAAGGTTCTTACGCCCGCCTTTTCATTTCGCAAAAATTCGGTTTGTCAGCTCACTCTCTCACTCCCCTTTCTCTCTCACTCTCTCTTTCCCTCTCTTTTCCCCTCTCTCTTTCCCTCTCTTGCCTTCGCTCTTCGCTTGCCTGATTTCCAAATGTTGATTTTTCTTAACGCATCAGAGTTTTTCTAGAAGCTCGTAAATTCACACTCGAAGTTAGACTTGAAATCCGCTATCCCCTGAAATCATAAAGTTGCGCAATTTCCCACGGCAACTTCACTCAAGGACGTTTGGCTTTTCCTATGACTTCATATCGCGGCTACCGATCTCTTGCCGATCCCAGCTGCCCTGCTCCGTCAACCGGCCAAATCCGAAACCGGCATTTTTCGCTGCATAGCCTTTCACTGCTTTCGATGGATTTGTCTCGACGTAATATCTTGTTAATCTACCGTTTATAATATAAAAATTTTGACCATAATTTATAAACGATTTTATTTACGAAAAATTTTATTACGCGATGGTGCCATCGATAAAAACAACCCCGAAAGATTAACGGATCTGGACTTCTTTGAAAAGCCTACCAAAGCTTTTTTTCGCAAACTTGCATGTCATTTTATTTTTTCTTAAATTTCTACGCCTGCTTAGACCACTTTTTAGGCTAATTTAACGAAAACTCTTTTTCATTTACATATTCGTTTCACTTCTCTTGTAACGAAAACATTTTTTTTGACTTTTGAGCTTTTTTTAAATGGTTAAGGACAGCAGGAATTTTCATAAAATTTGCGGTGCACATTTAGGAGGTTTTGCAGAGTCTCCCTCGACATATTCTTGCTTTTCATAGAAAACCGATCCGTGAGAAAATTCGTCTGAAAAATTGGCTTAATATCTCGTTAAATTCTTAGGATTTTCCGATACCGCATATGCCATTTACAATTTTTGCGCAACGAGGTACATTTTCTGCGCCATTCTTGATTTAAAAAGAAAGCGTTATCAACAAACTCGATAAAATTCACGCTAAATAAACCTGCTAATTTACAACTTTCAAAGATCCGTCAACGCTTTGACCCCGCGAGTCATCCTTTCACCTAGAGTTCATCCACCTCTTCCCCCCCAATATTTTCCCTAGATCTTGACCGTAGATAGTATCCGGCCGTTCGTTCACGCGCTCTTTTTCTCTGTATACACTTTAGCGCCTCCCTCTTCTTCCCATGAAAGCAGAAAAGTAGCATAATGCTTGAAGCGAACAAACGAATGCCATTGTGCGATCTTATCCCAAGTGAAAAATAGAAAAATCGGCTCTCATCCGCCCACCAGATGACCTGACCACTTGATATTGACTCCTTCGGGTTTCAATTACAAGCTGAAGTTCCAAAGCTTCAAAAGCTCCAAACTTCCAAAGCTCCGATTCAACCCTATCGACACCCTCAACTACCTTAGCTGATATTACTACTACCTACCTTGTAATTATTTGTATTTAACTACCTGGTATTTATCTCCTAACTTCTAGTTCCGGCGTGACCAACAAGTAAGTCTGTGCCTTCTGCAGTCCTTAAAAATGGCAAATATTGTTTTTTTAGCTTTGAAGTCCCTGGATTCTTATATCTCTGTCAAACCGGAATACATTTTACATTAAAATGTCTTTATGCAAATGACGAGTTATTTTAATTCTATTTCAATCATTTATTTCGTGCCTTTTTCTATTACCGGCTTTGATTGCTGTAAAAAAAAACTGCGGAAAAATTCGTGAGCATCGTCTTTTAGCTATCCCTTTTGAATCTTTAATTTTGTCAAATTCGACCTCTTCAGGCCTAAGGAAAGTCTTTTCTAGCTGCAGTTGCACTTTCGATTCCCGAAAACGAATCCTATTACGTGCCAACTTTCGCAGGCCCCACCGGGGAGCCAGAAATCAAGCCGTTTTGAGCCTAATCCTCCTTTCTCCACGTTCCAAATGGCACTTGCGCACCGATTAGGTGAAGGCTTTTTCGAAAACACACCTGCTGCTCCTTGAGAAACCCCCTCCGTTGATCGGCATTTCGGAAGTACTGGATCGAAATAGGCGGCGGCGTACAAAAGTAGAGCACAATCAGGCATGTACCAAAGTTTTGCGCTTACTGCATAGCATTCCGATTGCTAGTTTTAGGGCAAATTTTACTTTCCTGCCCCCAACCGTCAGATGCAAAAATTGGCTCGTTTTTTATCTTTTGAAATCCTTTAGCAAAAACATCATAAGTGTGGAAAGCCAGCAAAAACCTATCTACATGTTCTAATTTTTGGTGTCAATTTTTTTCTCAATTCCCGCGGTGGGACAATAGCTGGTCTCTAGGTTAACCCATTCATCGTCGGATAAATCGGAATCATCCTGAATCAAACCAATTCCTCGGAAAGCTCGACTAGTTTACCGTCCGAAACTCATCCCCTACATTTTTCGACATCAGAGCACACCTTAAAGCGCACGTTCAGGGAGGGGCCGTGTACTTGTCCCAACGTGTACACCCTATGGACGTAGGGACCGCGCGGGCTGTCTGCCCGTGCCGTGGGAGGCAATTCCCCTCCTTTGCGGGGTGGGGCACTCCTCGACCCCCCGCGAGGTTGCACCTGTGGCCGATTGGTATGCTCCCGCGCCTCCCGGACGGGGGACCCGGGTTCGCCCCACGGCCGCGGCAAAATGTTTGCTTTCTTGCCAAAAATGTCCCTGAACGTGCGCTTTAATAACCTCACGACCTTCGCGAACCGAAATACGGCGTACAAACTTGAGTACGACCAACTTTCTGAGCGCTCACTCACCAATCCGGGACTTGTTTTCCGGGGTTTTCGGTGTTCGACAAATTGAGCTTCAATGACCGCGCTTACCGCGAACAGATGCCAGCCGCAGGGCGCGCAATAAAATGGCAGCCAATAGCGCGGCGGAAAAGGGCAGGGGATCAAAGCCCACCGCCAAGGTTGCCCCCTTGGAGTTCATCCAACATAACGGGTTTTTAGGGAACTTTTGAGCTTCCTGAAAGTGGAATTCAAGGTTGCGCTCTCTCTGTCGCTCTCTCTCTCGCTCTTCCTCGCTAGTGGCTTTAAACTTCCCCTCAAGGTATACTCTTAAGCTACATTCCATTTCCAGAGGCCGGTCTCGTCCTCCCGCTCGCCTTCTGTGCTGGCATCGTCCTCCACTTCGCGTTCGCGCGTCCCGTCGCGAAGATGGAGAACAAGTAAGTAATCAATCTATAACTCTCTCTCTCTCTCTCCTTCTCTCCTTCTCTCTCTCTCTCTCTCTCTCTCTCTGTCTCTTTCTCTCCTATACCAACAATTTTTAGGCAAATTTACTATACCATCGCTGGCCTCTTCATCCTAACGCTCTCCGTAGTGATATTTAGCAGCTTGATAGCAGGATTTTTGAATGGTGAGTGAATTGGCTTTTCTAACACCTTTAGGTTTTAGATAAGCGAATCTAATGCTTTTTCAGGAAATCGAGACGCCGCTATTCTAGAAAATGCCCAATACATGCATAGAAAATACATAATGGAAGAGTGTAGGCCGTTGGATCATATCAATCGGCCACAGCCCTATGCTTACTGTGAATACCCGGTAGGTAATTTGTAAGGCGAGAGAAAGAGGGAGAGAGAAAGGGAGAGAGAGAGAGAGAGAGAGAGAGAGAGAGAGAGAGAGTTGCCAAACAATAGCAACATTATTTAGGAAGGCGCAGGGGAGCATAAAATCCTGCTTGTTGGTGACTTCTACGCTACAACGGATGCACCGTACCTATTTAAGTAAGTTATTGGCGTCTCTTTTTTGTCTAGCTCCTTTGAAGTATTTGGCGAAGGTATCTTGCAAGCGGAATAGGCAAAACGACGAATAGCCCGATTTTTTTCAGGCAATTCTCCTTGCGCTACGACAAATTTCGGGTATTTGCCGAGCGGGGGTACCATCCGCTCAATTTTGGATATGGGAATCATCCAAGTAAGTCTTTTGAGATAACTATGACTTAATTAAATTCATAAAGTTATCATAAATTACTTGATAGCTGAATCATAATAATAAAAAATCCATTTAATCGAAACTTTTAGAGGAACACAACAAGCTCATCAAAATCCTGCGCCAGTTCCGGCCGACGGCGATGATTATTGAGCAAGAGTGGGTTTATTTTTGCAGCAAATTCTAAATATTAAACATTGGCTCTAAGTATTTTATTACTATTTAAAATATCTTGAATTGATTAAAAACGATTTATTAACTTTAAGGAATTCTACAAAATTTTATGACTTTTTTAGTTTCGCCGGCGAGCGGATGGGAATTCCGCTAAATGGCAGTGATCCGATGATGGCGGTAAAAATTACCAATACCTATTGATTTTATGTACCTTTTTAGACGTACCGCGCCAACATCAACACTTTCTTGAAGCTGAATGTCTCTAGAATAATTGTGACCGGAGCCCGGGCTAGGACCAGACCCGATGGACATCTGAAGAGATTGGAGGTAAGCTAGCGGAGATTCTTTGGGAAATCGAAATGGATTAACAAGATTCTAAAAGGGGAAGTTTAATAACTAAGAAGGTGTAAATTAAAATTTTTCGTTGGGAATTCTGATGGCATCGTTTTTGCTGCAAATCATTCGTGTTGTTTCCTTTGCTGGTTTTCATAATTTTTCAGAACTTCCTCAAGGCACCTGAAGACGTCCCGTTAGCCGAGTTCACCCAGAATTTGGCGGTAGTGCAAATTTGCACTCAAAACACTACTTTTAAGCTGGCCCGCGGCTACTCCTACAAACGCCTGAAAAGCATACACGAGAAGGTGACGCCCGTGTATTTGGATGAGTTCTTCCAGATTGGGGTAAGTCCAGCAAATTTTTAATTCCACTGAAATGCACTGCAGAACAACATGACGTTCGTCGATCCGCTGAGTTTTGTGGCGTACTTCGACGATCGAATGGCATTGACAGATCTGGGGGCAAAGGTTTGTTTAACACATAAAAAGAAAAAAAAGCTAATTTTTCTCAATTATATTATTTGGTCTTGAAGGGTTCATTTAAATTCAACAAAATCAGGCATATTATTTTTCAACATTTTTCATTTTCTCAACCTGCAAATTTTTCTTCAGCCAAATATTTGCTGGTCATTTAAAGAGGGAAAGGCTAGCAATGAAATTTTGGGAAAACTATTGATTAGGTTTGGCCTGAATTCTTCTGTGCCTTCCTTCCTGGCCACTTTTTTTAAAGTATTTTAATTAAAAATTATAATTCAGCTATTTTGCTGAATAAAGGCGGGCTAGCAGCATCTATTTAGGATCTCCCGCGAAAAAAAATGAATTTTAAATCCAATTTTCAGATGGCTGCAAAATATTTCTCTAAAATCTGCGACGTGGCGCTGGGGATCGACGAGATTGATGACGAATATTTGGACGAGGGCTTCGAGCCTACCGTATCCCCTCCTGAGGTTCCAATTCGCCCCCGAAATTTCACCCCTACTGTAGCGCCCCCACCAGCCCGGCTCGAAACGAATATTACTAACAACGGATTGCTGGTATTAGAACTTGAGCCCAAGAATAAGACTACAAAACTACCGTAATCCCTTCAATATTTTGATAATTAGCTATAGACGGATAGTAGCAACTCTTTGCGGAATTTCGTTGCATTTAAATTAATCTGTAATTTATGTTTAAAGAACTCCATCTAATGTTATTACCGTATTTTTAGCATTCCTCAAGCATTGCCGGTAAAATTAATGCATATCTTGTTTGTACATTTATTTCTTTTGTCTTTCTCGATCCGTTTTTGCTCAATTTTACGGGTACGGTAGACACAAGGCTATAGGCATTTTGACGTATTTTAAAATTAATTTAATCAATTTAATTTAGTTGTATTTTTTCGGTACACCGTTTCAGGAATGACTTCATGTTCCAAAGGTTCTTGCGTCTTTCGATTTTTCTTTGTACCCCGCGTTGATCTCGCCACGAACTTTGTTATATTTAATATTTAAATAATTACATGTATTTATATATTTTGTAGTCTTTTCTATTTATCGTGATTTGACTCAGAAATTGAATAAAACAGATGCATAATTTTGGAAAGTATTGGAAAACGCAGGGTGAGAGAGAGGGACAGAGAAAAGGTGAGAGAGAGAGAGAGAGAGAGAGAGAGAGAGAGGGAGAGAGAGGGAGAGAGGGAGAGAGAGGGAGAGCGAGAGGGAACGAGAGAGACAGAAAGAGAGCGAGCGAGAGAGAGAGAACGCGAGAGAGAGAGAGAGAGAGAGAGAGAGAGAGAGAGAGAGAGAGTGTCAACCTAGCTGACGTTAATTTTGGTCCCGGAAATTTTGAACTGCGTCAGCCGAGCCAGTCATAACATCTGTTCCCAATTTGCAGCACGCGCGCATCCACCAGGGGCAAAATTTAGGGTGTGACGACAGACGAGTCGGCCGAGCTCAAAAATATGGAGAAGCTATATGAAAAAGTTTGACTTTCCACCCGTCTCATTCTCTCCCTCTCTCTCTCACTCTCTGTCTCTCTGTCTCTCTCACTCACTCGTTCTCTCTCACTGTCTCTCTCTCTCTCACTCTCTCTCTCTTTCTCCCTAGATCTCTCTAAAACGTTTTTTGATCAGTCACACGGTAATCACCTTCCTGGTATTACCAGAAACCCGCGTTACTGATCCTTGGAGCCTTTAGTCGGTGCGAACTTTGCGATTTTAAGAATTCCTTTCCAAATTTCTCCTAATTTTTCGAAGAATTATTGTGGGGACAGCATAATTCGGCGGGAGCATAGTTTTTGCAATTCACGTACCATTTCCAGGTAAATGTAATTTTTGAGGCGCCAAACTCAAAGCTGTAATTGTTTTTCTTTTTTCTGTCGTTGAAAAAGCTGTTTTTCTTTAGCACAAAAGCTTCGAAATCCTAGCGCCAACTTAGCCCCGATTTTCTGACTTCCGCATTGGTTCCGGTCCTTCCGGACGTGCGAGGAGAACGACGTAACGTCTTTTTTACTACAGGGACCAGCCAACTTACTATCAATTACAGTAGCATTACCGTAGCACGGATTCCAAAGAATTTATCAGCAGATTCAAATACCAGAATCCAGAATTTTTTTTGAGATCCCAAACCTAGTATTATTCGAATTGGGGTTCTTGCTTTCCTTCCCAGCTCTAGGTTTTCATAGGTTAAATTTATTTATTTAATATAAAAATAGGAAATTGACCATTGACCTGGATCTGAAAAACGAAACGTCCCACAAGCCAATCTTCTATTTTTTTGCCGATTATGTCTAGCTTTCCGGAAGTCCACAAGCCACTAAACATTTTGGTTTCTGAGCCTCCAAACCAAAATAGGCGTTGTTAGTGTTTATTTTGGGGCCACATACTTCTGTTTATTCAAACCAAGGATCCGCCCCTTGCTTGGCGCCGTGGGCGACACCTAGAATATTGGCACCCTGCCCGGGATTCCCATAAGTGCGCCGGGCCCCGAGTAGAACAAACAAATTTTTGGGGCTCAATTACTCTAGAATCTAGGAGGTCCAGAATCTGCTCCAGATACACCCCCCGCTTTTCGGGGGAGCTCGATTTTGGTCCTGAATGGCCAGGATCCGCTCTCCTAGGGTTCCGTAATGAAACACTTTACGTTGAGAGCGGGTGAGGGGTTAGGAAAAACGGCAATTTACTGACCGCTGGGGAGAGACCGGGGACGTTTCGGAATGTGTTTGACACCTCCGGACGTTCGGTTGGCTAGGCTGAGCAGAGCACGAAATAGGGTGGATTTTTTAGAGATTTCGAGATTTTTGCCATTTGCCCCAATTTAATTGTACCGTATTTCCTCTAATATAACCCCCGCCACGGGCGTTGATTGAAAAAAAATAGAGCCCCCCTCTAATATAACTAATTCCTAGATTTTTCGATTTCCTAAAAACTGTTTTTCCAGTCTCAGTTTTCAAAAGCATATATAGGGTACGTACATTTTATAGGGCTAAGAATAGAATAGACGCGCAGGACGCTACGCGACACGTAACGCACGCACGCGCAACGTGACTGCCATAAAGTACATAAGGTACCGTAAGCTATTGCGCGCGTACGTATGCATCGGGAGCCTAGTGCATCGTGAAATTCGGAGCGATGCGTCGCTCGTACCTTTAAAACCAGAACTTGTCGAAAAATTGTAATAAAGTTATTTCTTAAATTATTGCTTATCTTACGATATTACGCCTACACGACTTTTTGACTAGGCCCCCCATTTTTTAAAAATTTTATATGTTATATTTTTATACCGTTTTGGTAAATTTTTAGCGCAGACCTTACGGTATCATCAAATGTACATGGCCTTCCGGGTCCTTATATCGTCACTAACCTAGACAGGAAACTGGGATCGGAACTATAGGCCATCCATCCGGTCAACAACCCTCGTGCGACAACAAACAACTTCGCGCGTTTACCTAACACCCACCACCGAGTTGTTTGAGGCGCGTGTGAGACGGGCTTGGCCCCCCTTACTTGATAGCGATTAGTACACTTGGCGCTCACGCATCGTAGTCGGATCGGAGCGTCTCGTAGTCGTTTTTAGCCAAATTTTCGATATCTTCAGCGTTTTAGAAAAAACACGGAGGCTGAATTAATTGAATTAGAAGCATTTATCACAAACTTTATAAATTTAAGAACTCATTTATCGGTTTAGCATGTTATTTTTCATGGATTTGTGCTAGTTTTGCCATTTTTTTGGCTGGTTTCGGTATTTTCAGCCATTTTCTTTGTTAGGTGATTTATTTTTAGCAAACCATCAATTTATTTTTGCCTTTTTTCAGCTGTTAAAATTGCCCTAAAAATCTGAACCCTGAACTAAATCAGGACCATATTGGATAATCTCTGTAGTCCTCAAATCACGCATATATTTTTCTATAGTTTAGCCATTTTTCAAAAATTTTTCATTGAATTTTAGTATTCCTAAATCGGTTCAGCTTATTTGTAACTCCCTTTCTTAAAAAATTCTTTTTTTAACACATTTTTTACAAAGTTCAGCATTTTACGGTCCAAACACCAGCACCAAAAAAATGTGTCATCAACATGTTCATCATTGTTGCCAAGAACATTCAACGTCACCGTGGTCCAGAATAATTTCCGGTTAAACTACGAGGGACGCGGGACCCTGAACTCCATTGCAAGCTCAAATTTCCGGCCAAATAGGCCGCGATTTCCCGGACGCCAAAACGGGTTCCATTCGGCGCCCCGGGGCTCATAAACTCGACTATGAATAACGAACTACACTTTCTCGGCCCTCTTGCATCGGGCTCCCCATTTTTCTGGTGACGCCGGTCATTTTTGGGCATTTTTTAGCAGGAGGATTCTCAGAGATCAGAGAAACACCAACTTTTTTTGCTCATTTTTGCACGTTTTGGGTTTTTCTCGTAGAAGCTCTGGGTTTAGAACTTTAGAATAACGTTGAGGTGCAGAAAACGCCTAGAAATTTAGTTTTCATTAAATAACAGAGTGCAACTGGTCTGTCCTGCCTCTAAACAATCATCTACTTTCCGTTTTCATCCTATGCACACAAAAAAACTGAGACCAAATCCCAGTGCATTTGTTCTGCAGTGTACGCTGGGGAAAATAATCACAAATTCACCTGACAGAGCTTCAAACTCTATTCGTCGTAATATACAGGGTGTCCAAAAAAAAAACGAACCATCTGGCATTTCGCCACCTTACATCCGGACGATCCCATACTTTGCACAAGGGTGTATTAGACCCTAAATAACCACAATCCTGAGTTATAGCCCGATCGCTACAGTAGTTTTCGAGTTATCGCCAAAATCCCATTTTTTACGCGATTCTTAGCAGTTTTTTCGGCTATCTTTTTGGACTTTGCATCGATTTCCATCCATTTCCGGTTGCGAATCCCTAATTTCACTTAATATCGGCGGTGACTGTGAGTTACAAAAATTGTTGAAATCAACGGTTATTTGATCAATTTTTATCAGGAAAAATCTCCAGGGGTAAAGAACGCCTGACGCTTCATTTTCACTTAATGTTTACGGGGTCTAATTCCACGGAAACCCTATTAAAAATGGAAAATAAAGTTTATTTTTGTTATAACTCAAGAACGACTGTAGCTGGCGGGCTATAACTCAGGATTGTTGTTATTTAGGGTTTGATACAGCTCTGGTCCAAATTTGGGGCCGATCGGATGTAACACGGCGAAATGCCAGATGGTTCGTTTTTTTTGGGACACCCTGTATAGCGTGGCTAAATTAAAATGACGTTTAAAGTGCTTGAAAAATACCAAGAGCTTTTTGGCCATTCTAAAAAACCTTGAAGACGATTTTTATAAATAAAAAGTGCCCTCACCATCATATGACAATGGTTTTGGACCACACCGCCTTGTTCAATTTTTTGTGCGAATACGAAAGCCTGCGTCATTACGCGCTAAATACGGGAAATATCAGACCCGAAAATATGTCCCTAGGGACCTCGGGTCCAAATGATTACACCTTGCCGAAAGGAAAACCAGGTTTTACAATAAATAGATAGCAAGACCCAGCAGATCGAGCTCAGGGATGCCGTACCGTACAACGGAGATTTTTTTGAAATAATTTTTCTGATTTTTAAAAGCGTCTTCATGAAGCTCTGAGCTCAAGCCTAGCATTTTTTTCCACAACGATCGGTTCTCTCCTCAGAACTTTATATTTTCCCCGGAACCTATCCCGAAATTGCGGCTTATGCCGTATTTTCCGGACACAAAAATTATCGGGTTTGGCGTAAACTCTAAGCCCACCTATTCCTTCCTGGATTCTAAAAATGCCTAATCTGACTGATCTGATTCTGAATGTTACAGAAAAACCACTTCACAAGATGGTCGACTTGCTGATCAACAAGATTGCTCGGTTTAATGCATTTGGCGTTGGGGCCCTGTCGATATTCTTGAATCTGCTATTGCTATATTGTATCAATGCAAAGTCTACGAAGCATATGGCGCAGTATAGGGTAGGCAGCTAGTCAACTTCAATCGATAAACATCGGCTAATTTGGGACATCAAAAGTACCTTAATTATCGATTTTTTTTTTCAGGTAATCATGATGATAATGTGTGGATTTAATATCAAGTTTTCAATCGTGCACATGCTTTCCGTGCCGGTATGTTATGTCTCCTTTTTACTTTTTCTAATCCAAAATTAGATTTTCGTTAGCTTTTTCAATGAGTTTTTCAAAGGTGTTCAGGGACGTTTTTTTGGAAAAAAGCAAAGATTTTTGCCGCGTCCGGGGCTCGAACCCGGGCCCCCCGCTCGGGAGGCGCGGATGGATACCAGTCAGCCACAGCTACAGCCTGGCTCGGGGGCGAGGGGCGCCCCACGCCGCAAAGGAGGCGAATGGCCTGTCACAGCACGGGCAGGCAGTGCGCGCGGTCCCTACGTCCATAGGGTGTACACGTTGGGACGAGTACACGGCCCCTCCCTGAACGTGCGCTTTAATTTAAATTCAAATAAAAAAATTAAAAATTAAGAAAGCTGGTGCCAAACTAGCTGTTTTTAGACAGTCCACATCCACGAGCTGGACCTCCTCATCCTTAATACGGGTTACATCAAAGATGTGATGTTGGGTCGAATACTATTGGTGTTTTTTGTATTCTCATTTGCTCAGGTAAGACTTAAACGGATACTATCATGATTATTAAAACTTTTAGACAATTGTCCTCATCGCTAGCCATTTTGCAAATCGATACCTCATCATCTGCAAGTAAACGTCAATTCCTAATCCGAATATTTTTCTAGGTCACATTTCATATTACACTACTCAACTTGTATCTACGCGATCGGATTCATTATTAGGTAAAAAAATTTTATGGATCAAAACTCGTAAATTTTAGCTATTTCGCAATTATTTCTTGGACGGCCATTTTTTGCGTTGCCGTCTGGCCAAAAAGACCGGAAATGGAGGTATTTTAAAAGTTATTAACAAAAATAATGCGGTTTAGAGCTCCGTCGTAGCAGAACATCAACTTCAAGGCGAGCCGTATTTGGAAAGTCCATACATGGTAGTTTTTGGATCAATCGTTGGCCTCGCCCTCTCTCGCTCTCTCTCTCTCTCTCTCTCTCTCTCTCTCTCTCTCTCTCTCTCTCTCTCTCTCTCTCTCTCTCTCTCTCTCTCTATCTCTATCTCTCTCCCTCTCTCTCTCTCGCTCTCTCTCTATCTCTCATATCTCGGATATAACACTAAATTTTAGGGCAATCCAGCCTTCGTTGTCTCGTTCGCCTACCTCTGCCTAATTTTGATCACCTGCATGGTAATTTCGGCATGGTGCGCCCGACAGATTCTAAAGTCTCCATTTTTCTTTAAACTAACCTATCTGTTCTAGAAAACTTTCTAAGGATCTTAGCGCAAATCGAGGGGATCGGCTGCAAAGCCAGCTGTTTCGATGCTTGGTTTTTCAGGTATGAAAACGCCGAGAAATCGATAAAATTGCTATTTAGACCTTGGTACCAATAATTTGTGCTCATCTACCAATCTACCTAGCTTTCGTATTGCCAATGTTCGGGACGAGGGACTCGATCCTAGGTAAGAACTTTAAGTGGTTAGGAATCTAGACTAGAACGGTCAAAACTAAATTTTTTTTCACTTGATTTGGCCCTAAGCTAACGGCATCGATCCTCTTAGTCTTGTAAATCTATCGAAACACCAGGTTAAAACTCAACAAACCTCTTCAGACCTGCTTCCGCTCCCAATCGCCTGGTACCCAGCCATCGACCCGATCGTGGTGATCTTTAATGTGCGATCGTATAAACATCAGATCTTCCAGTTATTGAGGTCAGTTTTAAGCGCATTAATAGACTATGCTTCTGATTTTCGGAAAAGAAGGCCACGGCTACTTTTTGACCGTTTTTGAATTTTCCGTTTTGCCTTTTTTTCTGTTCTTCTCCGGAACCTAAGCCTTCTAGGCTATCGTATCCTTATTTACCAATTTTTAGGATTCCCGAGAACACCAACTCCAACTCCGCGACGATGCCAGTTTACGGCCGGGGAGTTAGCAGCCAGGAGCGGACTGTCCGAAATGCGTGATATATTTGTTGTCACAACATTCTCCACTTATCCTCTTTGGTTTCATGGCTAATTTTCGAAAAAGTGCTCCTTAATAACCGGGTGTTGGGATAAAGGATTTATTGTCGGACAGTAATACTGATTCGCTACATTCGCACAAAGTTTTTGATATTCAAAAACACACGAGCATCGTTTTTAATTCTGCATGCAGCTGACGCGGGTGCAGAAGCAGGGCATTGTAGCCATCATCGAGTTGCCGTTGTCTGGAAATTCGGGATTTGCTTTGGCGAGGAAGAGAGAAAGTGAGAGAGAGAGAGAGAGAGAGAGAGAGAGAGAGCGCGCGAGAGAGAGAGGGGGTGAAAGAGCGATAAAGATAAATGAAACTCACTCATCATGCTCGACGAGTCCATCATGCGGTTCATGTACTGGTTGAGGCGGGTGCGCTCGGACATCGTGAGGGAGCGAGTGGTCTGGCCGTCATAGAGGGTGCTGCCCTAAAAATCCACTATGAGCGCTCCGCAAAAAGGTGTTCAAGGTATCGGCGCGTAGCCCTACTTGACTACGTAGATCTCCTCTAGCCGTCTCTATCGTGTGCAATGCGCGTTCTATCTCTGTTCATCTTTCTCTCTCTCTATCTCTTTTTCTTTCTTTCTCTCCCTCTCTTTCTCTCTCCTTTGTCTCTCTCTCTCTCTCTCGCCACTACTCACCTGCACCATGCACTGTCCATTCCTGTACATGCGCTGGTCCCTCATCATGCCATTGTTCATGTTCATCGAGTTCATCGAGCTGCTGCTGCCGTACATTCCGTTGTCGTAGTTCATGCCCGGGCTGCGGCGCTGGCGCATTCCGTTCATGCCGTACATTCGATACCAGTCCATCATCTGTTGGTCCATCATCATGTCGTCTGAAAACATCAGGTAACTTCTACCTCTCTCTCACCATCTCTCTCTCGCTCTCTCTCTCTCTCCCTCTCCCTATCTCCCGCTCTCTCTCGCTGTCTCTCTCTCTCTCTCACTGAGGTCTAGTTAACAGAAATTTTAAAAATCACTTACCTCCATTCTCCCAGGATCCAGAGCCCATTCCAGGCATGGCAAGAGCCACAGTAGCCAAGGCCAGGAGAGCCAGGATTTGCTGCATGATTACGGTAGTTGGGTCGGTTCTTAGAATCGAAGAAGATATTTAGGAGCTGAGGACTTGATACCCTCCCCCAAAAATCCTTCCCCTTATATACCCGAATCCATGTTGACCTATCCGACCACGCTTCGACCATACCAACACGCGGCTACGGTACTTTTCTGTGTTTTCTATTTGTCGACATGTCCATTACGGCGCTCTGTAGTAAACAGGTGCATTTTGGAGTGTTCTTTAGCCCATCAAGACACGGACCACCGGCAGTCTAAATTAGTCACCTCGGGTGGCCTATGATCGGAAAAGTGTCTGTTAGGTTTTAGGGCCGTCTCACTGCACCCTCTTCTCTCTCTCTCTCGTGCTCTCTCGCTTTCCGGGGAGAGCAGCCTGGCCTCGCCCCAAGAACACTATTTGCACAGGGGCACCTCTAGTTTGGCTGGCAGAGGTCACGGGGAGATCAAGGAAATTTGAACTGGCTTACGGTAGTTTGCTACGGCGCGTTTAGAGGAATCTTTTGTACTTTGGCAACGTAAGTTTAAGCAAAAGCACTGCTCTGATCGGGCATTTTGTCCAAATTTGCATACAAAAATCTGGCAAGCTTTGGATAACTGAAAAAATTTATTAGTAGCCGATTAATGGTCCGAGTTTTGATTTGTTATTTTTTATTCTAACTGCTTTAATTCAAATTAATTCAAATTCATGAAAAAATCCAATCTTCCTGATGCGCTATCTCTGGCTACCTTAGCATTGAAGCGGTTTTCCCAAACCTTTACATTTTTTGCCAAGGAATCTTTGCTAGTTGACCCAACTTTTCTGGTTTTTCTTTGCTTTCAATTATCGATGAAACCCTTTAATTCCCTTAGGGGCCTCAACTTTTCTTAATTTTTTTGCTTCGTTCTCGGAATTCTTTATTTTGCAGGCGTTCAGGTACAGCAAAAATTATTTTATACAAATTGCACGTTTCAATACGACGAGCAGCTGACTTGCCGGCAGAAGCAGGGTAGTCGAGCATTACGGTTTCCTACAAAAATAAACAAATAAAGATTTACGGTAATTTACAGACCATTCATCATCTGATTCTGGTAATTCTGGAGCTGGCCTTGTTCCGAGGTGGTCAGTGTTCGGATATTTGATCCGTCGTAGAGGTATTTGCCCTGGAAAAAAAGCTGTGTTTTTTTTGCCTGTTGCGTATTCTTAGGGGTAAAAAGAGGTGGGTACAAATCATTGATCGGGTGAAAATCTACGGTTATAAGCACCTAAAAAAATTTTATTCCGCTATTACCTATACCAGGCAAAATAATAGCCGGTAAAGGTCCTCTTACCTGCATCTGGCACTGCCCATTCTGATAGGCTTGATGGGTTTCTTGTTGTTGTTGGTCGTACATGTTCATATTCATGTTGTTGTAGTTCATATTGTAATTTGAGTTTCCGTAGGCTCGCGGCATTCTTAGAGCGTCCAAATTCAGACCGTTATAATCAGTGTAAGCTTGCGGGTTGAATGGTGCCGCGGCTGGAAAACCAGGATTTCGCTTTCTTTTCTGTCTCCCGCGTTCTCCGCTCGCTCTCGCACTCTCTCTCCCTCTCTGTCTCCCTCTCTCTCCCCCTTTCTCTCACTCACTCTCTATCTCACTCTCGCATGCTCTCTAGCTCTCTCTTTATCGCTCTCCCTAGCGCTCTCTCTCTCTCTCTCACTCTCCGCTTATCTCTCGCTCTCTCCCACTCTCTCTCGCTACCGTTCTCTGCATATCTCATTCGATCTCGCTTTGTCTGTCTCTCTCCGCCTCGCTCTCGTTCTCTCTCTCTCTCTCTCGCTCTCTGTGGCTCTTAAGAACAATCTATCGACTAGAAAAACTTACTAGGCATAGCCAGGGCTACGGTAGCTACCAGAATAAGCCCAAAAACAGAATGCATCTTCAAATGAGTACAAAAACTGGAGTATGTTAGCGAATAAGGGTAGCTTTTGGAAATTAGTGCCAACGACTACGTGTGAGGCCTTTAAACGCCCGCTTGTGAGGGCGTTTCTGTGTACCGCCACGCTTAACAGATGAAAAGCGCGGCTTCTGGCGCATTTTCGGAAATTTCCGTTTACCGATAGGCTTGGTCAAAAGTCGCAGGTTGGCAAGAAGTTGTAGACAAGAGTTGAGTGCATGTCGGAAAAAGAGCATGGTATAAAGCTTTATTCATCACGGGTATTAGGTACATTGGGATCGGACAGGATCAGGTATAGGCTTAATGATGGTATTTATATGCAAATTTGCATCCATACTCTAATTCTCGGCGCACATGACGTTCTTGCAGAGGCACGGCAAGCGGGCGTTCATCGGGTTGCCTAAATATGCAAATTTCAGTTGTTTAAAAAGGCTTACAGTTTCCACAAGTTTCAAGGTACTTGGAAGTACGGAAGTACGGAAATGGCGAAGAAATGAGTCATTTTGGCGTGTGATTTGTACGAAATGTTACTAGTCTCTCGTTCTCTCTCTCTCTCGCTCTCTCTCGCGGTCGACGGTACATTGTCCTCTTCATCAGGCAGGTTGAGAGTTCACCGGCGAAATGTTTGCCCTCCCATGTTCTGTAGTTCGGAGGAGAGTTCAAACAGAGGTCGGCAGGGGAGAGGCGTTTTCTGGTAGCTTGGGATACGGTATCTAGGTCCGATTTCGCGGATTTTAACGCGTGAAGTTCTGTGACATGTTGTATGAGATTTTTACCACCTTGTATGCAATTCCATAGCATTCATTAAATAGCAGATACCGTATTGTTTATTTCTTTTTCTTTCAAAAACAATTTAAATTAATGAACGTTTTGATCGCGGAACTGGCAAATTCAAAATGTTTTGTTTTTGGTAAAATTGAGTAGCTCATTATTGAGGCAATTTTCAAAACAATTCGGGGCTATTTAAATTCCCTCTTATTTTTCATTTTCTAAAGAGATTAGATGAACTGTATTTTTAAATAGCACAATATCGGAATCTTTATTTCTCTTGAAACTTTGGCACCATCCCGGCGAACTGCCATTTTTTCAGCTCGACCTCGGCGCGGATGTCGTCGAGCACGGGTTTGATTTCGAACATGGGCTTCTGAGTGAGTAAAAGTTGAATTTGCGGTTCTGGGAGACTCACAAGAAAGCGGTCATCAAAGTCAAACGTGTAGTCGGTATTTTTACATTTCTTCAGCAGAGGTTTGCTTTTCATAATTTTGTAGAAGCCCGCTTTTTCCATCCAGGGTCTAAAATCAGCCATTTTTACATGTTAGCATCAAGCTTGTTAAATAATATATGTATTTAGCTTTTTTTGAAATTGTCAATTGCTAATTTTGTCTAGGTTTTTGGATTTACTGAATTTAACGAGGCAAAATGATTTTTTGTTTCTTCATTTTTCTTGCGTAATTAGCATACGATTTTTTTTGTTAATTTACTGACAATTGAGCTCGCTTTATAAAAGTTCCATTAAACGGCAGTATCCGCTTTTCCTGATAGCCATGCAAAATAAAATCCATTTTCGGGTTCCACCTCGAGTCGGCCAGCCAGATGTCGCGCACCCAGCCCGTGCCCTAAATACAGTGATGAATATTAATTGACCAAAAGTAAAAAAAGTATTTTAGATACAGTACCTTTTTCATGATCCTCACATGGTTCTTCAGCTCGTAATGATTCCCAATGATCATTCTTACACAGATCTCGTAAACGTAGAGCTCCCCCCAGTCGACCAGTTTTTGGGCGCTTTGGCATTGCTAAAAAGAGCCTAGAATTATTAAAATAGCTATTCACGCCAAAAATAATTACGTTATCTAAATTTTTATATGCTTATTTTTGGTTATATTTCCAAAAGGGCCTTTTTACATTGGAAAAAAGAAACATTTGAATTTTTAGGCTTTCAAAGATTGCTGAATGTCGAGCAATGTAATCAATTTTGAAAAAATTAAGGTTTTTTTCTGGTTTTAAACAACTTAAAACCGTAAACAAAATTTGCAAATCCGTAGTCATATGAAAGTGATGCCTTTAACAAATCCTTCAACTCCGGGTACAGCTCTTCAGCAAGGAACATCTAAAAAATATCATAATTCTATATAAAAATGGCATTTACATGTAAAGCCGCATTATCCGACCCTATCACCCGATCGTCCAGCTTGTCTCCATATAGTGAAAAGCTAAAATCAGAATTCCTGACTCCGAAACGATACTCACTCCATCAAAAAGTTCCTTGCCCATCGCGTATTTTTCACCAAATAGCTGCCAGCGGCGATTTCGACATTAATGAAACGCTCATAGAAAGTTATGTCGAAATTGGGGTCTATGAATTCTTCGATTCTTCTGAAATTGTTGTTGTTGGATTTAATTGCGGCGTTATACTATTATTGTTGTGTTTCCTGATTTTTAATATACTGAATTGACCTTTAGAAACCTACCTTTTCGGATTCACTACGGCCATGTCAGCATCGACGAAAAAGACGTAGTCCGTTTTTACTAGGTGTTCCACGACGATACAATGTCTTACGAACATGAACTAAAATCATTAAATGCAGTGGACGGCACTAGTCGTTCCAAGCCATTCCATAATGCTTACATCCTTCCGATAACAAGGTATGTAATCGTAGGGGAAGATAATCTTAAAGGTATAGTGATGCATTTTGCAGTAACATCTCAATGTCGCTAGCGCGGTTTCATACTTCCAAAGGTCTCCATCGTTCTAAAAATTACGGCTGTCATGAGATAGATAGATAGAGAGAGAGAGAGGATAGAGAGAGAGGAGAGAGATAGAGACAGAGAGTGAGAGAGAGAGGAGAGATAGAGAGAGAGAACGTGAGAACGAAAGGGAGATGAGAGCGCTAAATCCAATTTTCTTACATTGACCACCACCAGCACCGTAATATTTGGTGGTTTTTGTATAACTGGAGCGTAGGGGACGTGGGCTTCCGCCTAAAATTGCATTTTATGCATGTTGTCAAGGCCAATTCAAATTTAGATTCTATTAGACATCAGCAGGCCCGTAGCGGAAATTTCGGGGCCAAAAATTTTGGCACCTCCCCGGTCGCCACTTTAAAACATCCGAAAAATCGCGTCAATAATAGCGCCGCAGGAAAAAATCGCAAAAGCGTTCGCTACCTCAAACTCGTGTGAAAACACGGCGGAACGCCGCAGGCAAAATTTTATGAACAATTGATTCACCAATGAAAATCCAGCGCCGCAGGCAAAAATTTTGAAAAATAGGCTCATATAAGCAAAACTGTTTGAAAACAGTAATAAGCAGCGCCGCAGGCAGAAAATTTTTGTAACTAAAAATCAAGGGTCCCCCTTATGTTTTTCGGACCTCGACCGATTTCGGGGCCCAGGGCCCCTGGGCCCCCCCTCCTACGGGCCTGGACATCAGCAAGTTTTATAAAATTCTTGTGTTTAGTTATTTTTTAAAAAGTTCTATGTTCCTTTTTTGAGATACCTGTCGAGCTTTCGACTTTAAAATCAAGATTATGGTAGCCGAAAAGCACAGCGCCCAGATCAATATAAAGAATATCGTAGGCAAATAGGAAAATATGCGATTCGCTTTCCGAATCATTCCGATTATGCGCTTTTCGGTGTGGTCGAGTAAATTTTGGGATTTTGCTCTGGGCCCTCGCCCCGGGGTGTTTACCCCTAATTTGCATATTTTCCTATGGTCTGTCCAGGGTCAGCAAATAGTGTGTAGAATAGATTTATGGAATGGACTAGCGATGGTTTTAAATACCGAAAAATCTGAAAAATCTTTTTAGCTTTATTTCAAGCCTTTGAAAGCGGTAACTTCACTTCTTAATTCCATTTAATATGGGAGATTAGTGGCAAACAAATAAAAATTTTCGAGTTATATCTTTTTCTATTTCTATTGTTGAATCCTTTGGGGTTTTTTGCTTATTATTGTATGTATTTAATTGCATATGCTCTCCTAAAGACCTTTTTCAAAAAGTACTCGTTTATTCTCGTTTCAATATTCAATAATGATCATGATAATGATAATAATAGTGTATTTCGTTTCCCTAGTTTTCACACACACTGTTTTTAACACGCAAATTCGGTGATGGGCGGAAGTCTGGAACTGAAAATAGGGGCACAATTGAATAGAAATAATTATACAAATTAAAAAAGCCGAGGATTGTATAAAGACATCGGGTTTTAAATTAGAAAAAATACGAAAAAAATCAATTTTTTAAACTGGAGCTTTCGGTGTTTGGGGGGTTGATGAGCATTTGTAATTGGGTGTGTTTCGGAGTTCAAAAATAAAATGAAGATTTTAAAAGCAAAAATGACAAAAACAGCTAGAAATCTATCAATTTTTGGTTTGGGCAAATCACAAGGAGCAGAATAAAATATCGTACAATGCAGCGAAAATTGACTGGAAATCGGAGCTCTTCGTTGTCAGCAAAAAATTATCAAAAAAAAAGAAAAGGCGAACAATCACAAAGTTCTGGATGTGCGGGAAATCTCGATGTTGGGCTGGGCAAAATCAGAAGAAAATTGAAATATTAAAATACAAAAAAAATTCGATGAAAACTGAAAACAGCAGGAGCGCATTTTATCACAGAATCGAGCGGGCGGTTTCGGGGGAGCCGATTTTTTGTTTGTTCGAAGCGAGGATTACGGTAGAAAAAGAATTTTATGCTAATCAGATTGGTCAAAAATTTGAGTTGGGCGAGGTGAGCTAGCAAAGGAACCTTGTGGAATTTTCTGAGCTAGCTAGATTTGTTTATATCCCTCAAAGCCTTGGGGAAACTAGCAGAAAAACTTTGCGGAAATCCGCGTTTATAGTATTCATTAATGCGCCCTTAAAACCCGGGCAAACTAGCAGAGAAACTTCGTGGAATCATCATTTAGTCATGGATTTCTATTAATGCGCCCTCATTCGGGCAAGCTACCAAAGAAACTTTGTGGAATACGCGGGTTTGCGCTTGGGCCAGCTAGCAAAGATCTCTCGGGAATTTGGGAAATTTCGAGTAAAATTTCAACAATTTTTGACCAATCTAATTACCATAAAGCTTTCGGGTTACGGTATCCGGGCAATAAATAGAAAACCAAAAAAGCTACATTATTTTAAATGCCAAGTTGGCGGTAAAAGGGCACTTTTTAGGAAACAAAGAAAAACTAAAGGAAGGCAGCGAGGCCGGGAAAATCGGCCAACTTGCACGCAATTTCGCGGATCGCTCCGGAAAATTGGTTCTTCGACGTAAAAACAGCATTTTAGAGGCTGCTCAACGACGGCAGCTCGGGCACGGCCACGGAGACGCTACCTGCAAAATATAAATAATTAAAATATGCAAATTTTGCCAATATTTTTTGAAAATTATAAAGATGTGCAACTGGACAGGGGTTGGGTTGGCCGTTCGTAGGGGTAGACCACGGACAAAAGCTTTGGTGCGGATTTTCAGGGGGTAAATTTTTGCGGTGGATCGGAATTTAAAAAATCTTTTCAATTTTGCAATAAAATATTTTCTCTTAAAGGTATGCGTAAGGTCTTCTAATTTCCAATTTCCGATCCACCCCCTGATAGCCGGAGAAGTGATTAGAGAAATTTAAGAAGCAAAGAAGATAAAAATCTGGATTTAAATAACATAAAATATTTTAGAGTTGCCAAGATTTACCGACAATTTTTATGAATTTTTTGCCTCGAAAACACTGCATCGATTTATCATTATTATTATATTCAATTACGAAATCTATTTCTTGAGAACTACGAAAAAGCTAATCCATGGAATTAAATGAATTAAGGCTTCGAGTTTGAATAAAATTCAGAAATAAAATAACGCGGCTTTTTAGGACTTATAAAATTAGTATGATTTGCATAAGATCGATTTTTAAAGTTGTTAAACGTTAAAGTCTTCCAAAAGTAAGTTTTCCTTTTTTCTGATTTTTTCCTTAATACTCCTAATTATTCCGTTTGTTACGTACCACCGCTTAAAAAGGTAAGGCTATAGAGGAGTAGCACGACAAAATCCTATAAAGAAAATACAGCAAAACGGGACCGGACACGGCACGGTACAACACAAAACGAGACGACGACAGACCATGCATTCAGCGCCAGCACCACATGCTGCCTAAAAAACAAAAATGACATGAGATTGTGTTTCACGGGATTTTAAAGGGACATGGACGTATTATTATGATGATGGACCAGGGCTACGGTGGAATACGGCAGATCGGGACGGGACGCGACGTGGAAAAGAGGCTGGGGAATGGCGGAAAGTGGGGGGGCGTTTTAACGCTCTTTTACTTTATTAACTGTAATCATTTCAGCAGTATACGGTAAATATCAGAATAATAGTCATTTTACCTTAAAAATCTTACCGTATAAATTTTAAAGGTTTGAAAACCGCAAAATTTGGCGTTCTGGAATTTGGCATTTTTTTAGTTTTTTTAGTGAATTTGTAATCAGTAAGTTTTAACCGGGATACGGTAAAGACTCAAAATCAAAATATTTTTTCATAAACATTAAATTTAGAAAATTCAGTCAACGGAAAAATTATTAAAATCAAAATTCAAAATTTTCCATATTTCGTGGTTTTTCTAAAATGTTTTGGCTCTAAATTTGCTTCTAATGTCTTAAACAGATTTATAGAAATAATTTGCACATTTTCCAAACTTATTGAAATTTGGCTTAATATTTAATGGATGTATTTTTGCCCTTAATTAGAAAAATTCCAGAAATTTGGTAAATAAATAATTAAAAATATAAAAAGTTGAAATTTTTGAAAATTCAAACAAAGCCAGAAAGCCGGGGTGTACATGGAAAGCAACAAAAATCATAGCTCCGCAAACTCCAAGAAATTTACATAAAATTGTGGCAATCTACACATGATCTAGCAGGGTTTAGCAGCAAGCCCCGTGGTGCCCCGAAAACCCTAAAAATCCTCGAAAACTATATTTTACTAAATTCAAAAAATTTCTTGACCTCCACCGACTGGAAAAACAACACAGCATTCTGGCCAAAAATGCGCAACAGCCTAAAATTTGGATTTTAGCTGATTTTGAGTCATAAAAAATCTAGAAAGCGCCGCACATCAAAAAAAAATTCCAGTTCATTCCGAGAAGCCATTCCCCAGCCACTACAAGGTATCTCGATTTTTTGCGAAAATCAAAAATTGGATTTAGGCAAAATTAAAATTGCAATAATCAAAAAAGATTCAGGCAAGAAAATGCAAATTTACCTCGTCGTTCCACGGATAGGCTGGCACCTTTACGGCTACCTGCCCGGGTGCGGGACTCGTTTTCTTTTTCGACCAAATCGTTGATAGCGGTCTGCAAAATTCGCATATTTCAATCAGCAGGCTGTACTTTTAAAGGCACAGGGAAGGTAAACCTATTTTCGCATTTTTTTGATCACGCTAATTGTAATTTTAAAGGAACTGTGCAGCCAAAATCTATCAAATTGATTTTCGGCAACCCGTAAAATCCCATTCAAGCCGATTCGTAATTGTCATACATTTATGCATAAACAGTTAGCTTCCTTATTTCGTAATCGTTAAAAATTCTTACCTGTAACCGCTTGACATGCCCAATCTTGATGATCCCGAGGTCTTTGAAGTCGGATCTAGAGAGACGATATTGCGATTTGAATGAAATTGCAGCTAGCGAACAAAATTTGCTTGCTGTTTCCTAAAACACACCTTTCCAAATGGATAAGCTCCTGCCCGGAAATGTCGTTGGCCTTGAACTGCTCGATGTAGGAGCTCAACCCAAGAGAGGAGAGCCAGGTTTGGACCTCTTCAACGGACCAGGTGGACACTGAAAAGTGGAATTTAGCGAGAGAGAGAGAGAGAGAGAGAGAGAGAGAGAGAAAAAAAAATGAGAGAGCAGGAAAGAGAGAGAGAAAAGGGCCAGGTTAGATAAACTTTACCTTCATTCTTCGGTCTCTTCCTCCTGCTGAACTTGTTGCTCAACCACGTCGTCCAGCGACTCCGCTTTCTACCTTCACCCACCAAGACGCGACGCCGTTCTTCCTGAAATTTGCATAATTTTTCAACCTGCTTGGATTTCTCGGCTTTTTGTAATTTTTTGTTTTCAAAATGGCAAACTTATGTTTTTATTAGCTTTTCGTAGGTATTTTTCGATCTACCTTTTACTTTTTGAGGCTCCAAAAAGACTTCCTTTAACTAGAACCATCCCCTAGAGCCCATCTTACTGCCCCAAAGCTAATGAGCCCATTACTTTGCCGTGGAGGCTACGGCCAAGTGGGTCTTGGGCCAAGCCCTAGCCCTAATTGAAAGCGTTTTCTGGCGTTTCTCATGCATTTAGAGGCCCATTGTAGTTTAGTGCCGTGTTTTTGCAGCATTTTTCGAGGGATCTTTGCTTGCTTGCTTTTAGAGACGAGAGAGAGGGAGAGACCGAGAGATAGTGAGCGCTAGAGAGAAGGGAGTGAGAGAGATAGGCAGGGAGCGAGAGAGAGAGAGAGAGAGAGATAGAGAGAGAGGGTGAGAGAACGCAAGGGAGCGAGAGTGGGGGGGGGGGAGCCAGAGATGGCTACATTTGTTTTTTCTGGAACTTTCATGAATCTCTAAAAAACGCTGGTTCTCAGGCGGGGTTTTTAGAGACCGACCCGTTCGCATCGCTGGATGCGTATTTCATCTGCGTGTCCCTCTGACCCTCTTATTTACGGGGCTGGGGCTCATTTTTTGAGGTCCAAGAAGAGGGGAGAGAGAACATGGAGGAAAAGAGAGAGAAGAGAGAGAGAGAGAGAGAGAGCGAGAGAAGAGAGAGAGAGAGAGAGAGAGAAAGAGAGAGAGAGGGCAAGCAAAGAAATATGAATGGATGAAAGATCCAGCCTCAAAAAAAGCGAACGGATTCTCGATGGATGAATAAATTTTCTTGGGTGCTCATTAACGGGATTTAAAGGCTGTGCTTCGGTTTTCGGCTAGATCGTAGTCTTGGAAATTCGCTAGCCTGGGCATTAATAGGCTTGTACTTCCTCGAGGATCGAGGATTTGCTAGCTTGTCCAGGATAGCAAAAAAAATTCTTTACCTTGATCGTAGCCTCTTCCCTAGCCAGAGTCTGGCGCATCGAGTTGATCACGTAGCGCCACTTGTCCGGCTCATCGCCCTGGAAAAAGATCCTCTTTGTGATTTTTGTGGAGAAATTTAATGTCTACTTTCCGGTCGGCTTAGTGCATTTTAAAAGACTGCTTAGGCCGGCTTAGGCTGATTGTTTATTGCCCCAGCTATTTAGCGGATGCCAGACAAAGATAGCAAATATTCTAGGAAGTGAGAAATACGGAAAACTTTATATTAAAAAATTAAAGCTAGCTAAAAAAATTAAAATCTTGCCGATCTGCCTTTCGACGTATTTAGAATTCCTCAAGGGTCTCTGCTAGCTCGCCCAAATCCCTAGAATTTATCTGGTCGTTCCCCCGGCTCTCAAAGAATCTCTGGTAGCTTGCTCTGCCATTCCCAATGTTGATCTGCTAGTTTCTCTCGGGTTGCCAAGTCCAAAGTCTTCTGTTTTCTCCCAAATTCCGAAATGTTTTCTGCTAGTTTGGCTCTAATTTCCTAAAGGATCACTGCTAGCTTGCCTTACCATTCCCAGATGCATTTTGCTAATTTGCCTCAGATTTCCCTAGCGTTTTCTCCTAAAATTCCCAAATGTGTCTGCTAGTTTGCCCTACAATTCAAAAAAACGGTTTTTTCGTTATTTCCTAAAGAATCTCTGCTAGTTTATCTCTAAATAGTCCCAATAGGGGTATGCAAGCCCGCCCCTGAATCGCATGAAATAACGACTCACTCACCCTACGAATCTCAAAGAATCTCTGCCACCTGCTCTTTGCATCCCAAAAACCTCCGCTAGCTGCCCCGCTATTCCTCAAGGATCGCTGCTAGCTTTCCCTGCCCAATTCTCATAACCCGGACTGACAAATTGGTCCCAAAAATACCCAGGCCCAAACACCAGGCGCCCCAGTTTTATTGGGCCCCAGTAAAATATATCGCCCTTTGCCTTACCTTGGTGTCAAAGGTGAACAGCGTGCCGCCGGGGGGTAGACCAGCTGTGGAGTGCTTTTTAGAATCCAGCCCCCCGCTGCTACCGGTGGCTTGGGGTGATCGCGGGACTGGGAATCCGAAATGGTCTTCGAGCAGGTCGACAACGCCCTCAACCCCTGCCACAGCTTCTTCCCGGAGTGACCAAGTGTCCGAGTTGGCGTCCATCTGGAAATGGGAGCATTTATATAAGGTATTCAGGAAATTATATAAAATTTTAATCTTTGATTTTTGGGTTTGTTTCATTTATACCATTCAATGTGATTAAATTACGTTTTTAAAACTATTTTTCGTGTAATTTATCCAAGGTTGCATAGATTTTTTAACTCATATTTTTTAAATTCAAAATTCGAACCTATCGGATAAACTCATTTTTTTTAAATTCGTTTTCAACATTATTTTCGAGATAATTTTGCTTAATGTGTAGGTATTTATTTCCTACCTCCTATTTAGCGTAAATTTTTATTGCATATTTTAGCTTTTTGATTCAACCCCGAATTCAATTTCCTTAATATCTGATTTATATTATTTTATACATTCAGAAAATTGCATTTTTGCTGTGTTTCTTCAAGGTTTTTCGCAATTTGTTCCGGACTCCCTTGCAAAAACCCATTGAAAACCGGGTGCGGCTTTTAGGGGGTACCCGTTATACATTCCCGCGCTGTTTTACGGCCCTTTTCTTGGCTTAGGGATTATTTTTCGTCGAAATTCCGGCCTTTCTTATGCTTTGGCTCTGGTTGGGGGCCCTTCCCACGATTTCTGTTCTTGCGCCTGATGAGTCTTGCAGTCCAATTAATCCCGGATGCTCGGGGCTTGGCGGAGTAATTTGGTTACGAGATGCAATCAAAAAAGGCGAACGGTGTGGGGAGAGAGAGAGCGAGAGAGGGGAGAGAGAGAGGGAGAGAGAGAGGGAGAGAGAACGGCCAGGGCACAAGATTAGTGGTGCATGTGGGAAAGTTGAGATCACATTTCAAGTTGAGCTTTTTTGGAGAGGCAACCACTTCAAAATTGAACTTTTCTGTTTAAATTCTGAGCTTCGCACTTCCAATGGTCTATTCCTTTAATGCATCATTTATTTGGATATCTGCTATTCTTCTTCCAAAATTCCAAGCACCGATTCCGACACAAAAACCAGACAAAAAAGCTGGCAATGCATCTCCGCCAGAATTCCCCGGGGTCCCATTCCGCATCTGTGGCGCCTTGTGGCAACTTCTGTCACATCCAGACACACCCACGCCTCGAGACGGATCGACTGCTTTTTTCTAGGAAAAGCTTCAAGCTAACTGGTGTTTTCTGCATCATCTCAAATTTTTAGAACGCCAAAAACGACCCAAAAAAACCTTTGAAAATGTCGACAAAAAATGTCGAAAATGGTAAGAAAAGCGATTTCCGCTTGTATAAAATTAAGAATCGTTGGATTCTGCAGCAATTAAATTTTTTAACAAAATTTCATTTCATCGATTTTGAATCTATGCGCGACCGATCCAATCTAACGATTATAAAAATTTCCGTAGGTAGTTTTCACAATTTTTTAAATTTTTGATTTTTTTCGAACCAAGCCTTCAGCAATTTCTTCATTTTCCTAGCCTCAAAACACGGGCTGCACCAGGAACTTTATAAGGTTTTTTCCAAGTTTCCAAGGCGGCGTCCCGCACGGATTTCCGGGCCCCCGACCAGCTACCCTATAGCCGTGCAATGGACCGTGTGCAAGCGCTGGGCTTTGGAAGGGCGGCGAGGCTTGACCAGGCGGGTCCAACGACTTGGGACCTAAGGCTGGGTCCTAACCCTAGGCCCCGCCTCCTCAGGCTCCCTAGAAAAGCTGGAATTTTGCAGACCAGCTTCTAAGGAGCACTAGATTTTGCTATTGGTACCGTAACCTCATCGAAAGTTGCAAAGAGTAGCGCTAGATAACACTGAAATTTAAGAATTTAGTAGCTTCGCTTTCTAGCGACTTGCATACGTGGTTTAGTTTATTTATTAACGTGCAAAAATTCGAACATTGAAAACAACCAAAAAATCAGAAACCTTTCTAATTTTTTGCACAGACGGTTTTCGTGCTAATTTACATACAACCGTCCATTCAAATTTTCTTCGTATTGTTCGGGCTGAAAAACATTTAAATTTGCATTTTTTTCCATTTTCATTTTCCAGCTCTTGTAGTTCGTAACTCAAAATAGCCATTGGATCCTAACGAAAATGGCAACTACGAGAATTCCTAATTCCGCCCCCTCGGCTTCTAAAAGAGGACGTCCCGTTCGCTCAGAAAAGAAGAATGGAAAGAGCGTCCCGCGCAAATGAGAGTGGGGTGTGAAGTTCCTCCTCCTCCTCCTCTCTCTCTCTCTCTCTCTCTCTCTCTCTCTCTCTCTCTCTCTCTCTCACTCTCTCTCTCTCTCACTCTCTCGCCTCACTCTTGTATGCATATTCATGCCCCAGGCCGGAAAGGGAATTTCTAGCCGCCGGTCTCACTTTGTGTCCCTGGTGAGGGCACGCACCTTCGATTTGGGCCTTGTGTGGGCCTTTTCCGCTTCTTTCCCATCCGCACCTATAAACGGATTTCCGAAACGTTGGCGGTGGCGTCGTTGGGCGCGCAAACTTTGTTTCTGCAGACGTCGAAAAATGGCTGTCGCTGTTTTGGTTGTTTTTCGGGAGGTGTAGGTTCAACGCTGAGCTCAAGCTTAGGTTTGGACTTCGGCTGCGTTTCGGCTTCGCTTAAGCTTGGGTTTGGGTTAGGCTTAGATTTAGGCTCAGGTTGAACTTGGGCTCAGTCTTATGCGTAGGCCTGGGTTTAGGCTTGGGTTTAGGCCTAAGAAGCAAATTTTCATGCTTTTCTAAAATTCCTAAGCTCGTTAGCTCGCTTCCTATACTTTACCTAGGTAGTATACCTTAACTACAAACTCCGCGACGACCTGGAGACCTACCGTACTTGATTTTTCAGACTTTTTTGAAAGTCTCTTGAACCTTGAGGATCCCTTTGTGACCTTTTGCCAATTCTCTTAATATTCTATGCCTCCTCCTACGTGAAATTTTGCAAAACCGGATGCAAATTGGCTCCTTCTCGTCCTTCTTCTGCTTTTTCCTCTTCACCACCACATGGCTGGAAGGTCATGGGATATCCATGACTAAAGAAAATTGAAGTGGGTGGAGCGGGGGGATTTGAAGGCGCAGCCCGAGCGGGTTGAATGGGGCGGGAAGAAGCATGGAAGAAGCCCAAGAATTAACTGGGCGACGTGCTTTTGCCTTTTTGCGAATTCCTGTCTTTAAAAAGTCTAACTTAATAAAAAATTTAGTTAATTCTCGTAGTTCAAGCTTTTCCCCTGCCTTGGAATTCCAGGGCGGCTCGATTTTTCACAAGAAATCCTTGTATAATCGCTCCAAAAAAAATCCCAAAATCCCCGGCGTCACATATTGGCTCCAGGACCCCAAAGGGTCGTGAAAAAGCCGTCTCCAAAATCCAGATGCCCTCCCTCTCCCTGGCCGTTCAATTAGGGGCGCATTTTGGTGCGTTTGTGTGGGGTGAGAAGACGTCCGAAAGCCCAAAAAATGGCCGCCTCCTCGGCCATCTTGGGCAAAAAGAATAGCTGGGCGAGCTGGACCCTTCCGGATTTTTTGCCCGGCCGGAGGTCTGGCAAGCCGAGATTTGGCTGCCCAATCAGCTGGACGGGCCTCAGTTTTCAGTTGGTGTAGAGCCTTTAGGAAGTATCGAAGCAGAAACCTAAGCCTATGCTTCAGCTGGAGCCTAAGCCTAAGCTTAACCTAAGCCTAACCTAAGCGTAAGCTGTTCAGTTCTACCAACGACCTTTCGAAAACTTTACGATCTTGTTAGTCTCATCCGAAACTCGAGCTCATGCTCGTTCTCGTCTTCCCCTCTCTTCCGGCTGATGAATTTTCGAATTCAATTAGCCCATGGGTCCGGGAGGCATGGCATAATAAAGCAGAATAGGAGATGGAAAAGAGGAAACAGGGGTATGGGTTTATGGGCGTCTATTGGATTAGTTCGTACCAAGGACCCTCCTTAATATTTCGATATTATGGTTTTTTCCTCACACCCGAAGATTTCCCCTTCACAATAGAGCCTGAGAAGTCCGAAATTCCTGCTCTCTCTCTCTCACTGCCTCTCCCTCTCCCTCACTTCTCTTTTAAATTCCATTCTTCAGAGCCTACAATGTCTACCACCTCATGCTCCCCCTCTTCAACAGCTGATGATCTACTCGACGATCGCCAGCGCATGAAATTCGAGTTCCTCTTCCAACACACCGCACCTCCACCCCGAGAAGCAGCTCCTTCTTCTGGTACTCCCAGGAGACATTCTCGCACGCACCGAATTGTCCGGGTAAGCGGGTTTTTAGTTATCTCTCTCCCTTTCTCTCTCAGTCTCTCTCGCACTCTCCCTTACCCTCTCCAGGTCTCTCTTTTTCTGTACTTCAAAAACACATCATATCCAGAGAAAAAAATTGCACCCGTCCGGGAGGTGTTTGGGCGCTTCGTGCGAAATACGGAGCAGAGAACTGGGCATCGAAACATGATAAAAAATTGTGTTGCAACTGATCTCCGCTAGCTTCCCTTGCCTCCAAAAAAATTAAATTACCATTAAATAAAAAAGGTTAAAAAACATTTTAATGATGGTAACGTTATACTTGCTAACTAATATTTCAGCTTCTTCTGCTCGCCGAGGTGGCCTACTCGATGCTTGCCATCGGCCTAATCTCGCTATCCATCACGATTTCGCGGACGATTAGCGACGGGCCGCCAGCCCTCCACCATGGATCCACAATGGCGGTGGGTGAATTTCCGGGTCTAGGAGATAGAAAGAGTGAGAGAGCGAGAGAGATAGAGAGAGAGATGTGGAGAGATGAAGAGAGAGACAGACAGACAGAGAGAGATAGAGAGAGAGCGAGAGAGAGAGAGAGAGAGAGAGAGAGAGAGGGAGAGCGAGAGCTAGAGAGATAGTGAGAGAGGAAGAGAGAGAGAGAAAGGGAGAGAGAGAGAGAGAGAGAGAGAGAGAGAGAGCGAGACAGATCGAGAGAGAGAGCGCGAGATAGAGAGCGAGATGGAAAGAGGGATATTCTAACTAGAATTACATGCAAATTTTAGTTACTACCCCGAGTCGCCCTGTGCTTCATCTTGACGGTGAACGTTTTGACCGCATTAAATGTATGCTGCCGAATGCAGGATGGGAGGAGGTATGTTTTTCTACTAAATTTTTGTTCAGTCCCTAATAAATTCACATACCCAAATCTAAAAACCCATTTTATCACGTTTCCGGCCCCTGAAACGATCTTGTTTTGCCCCAAAATTTCACAAAACAATTTCTCTTTCTTGCGCTCTTTTCGACGCTCATCTAATTCGATTATTCGGGTTTATTGGGGTGCCCCAGCTGCAAAATAGAGGACCAAGGATCCGAGCAGCTTTTCTTAGTGCTCGTACTTCTGCAAAAAAAACGTTTTCCTTTTGCGCTGCATATTTATGAAGGGTTGTGCAAAAATAGCCTGGCGCACCGATATTAATAGCGGAGCGTCACGGAATCGGGAAATTGGTCATAGAGATACGGAGGCTTTTCCGAAAGAGACAAAATTAGAAACATTTTGGCAAGGCCATGAAAGTAAAATTCGCTCAAAAAACAATAAACATAATTTTAAACAAACTGAATGTTTATTCTACGCCCCGGAAACCGTAAATTCAGAATTATGTGTTTTTTTAATGGTAGATTAAACGTAATAAAAGCAATTAATTTAACAAAAAATACATTCAAGAATGTTTAAAAACGACAAAAATCCACATTTTAGTTGCGCCTCCACCCTGATGATCCATGTAATCTGGAAAATCATCCTGGCCATGGTGCTGATGCCCACCGTAACCTTGTTCTCGTTTATTCGATTTGAGGTGGGTCTTGTTCAAATTAATGTATTTTATTTTACAAACCTCTCTCTCAAGCCTAAATTTACTATTTTTCAGGAATACATGCATTCCTGGCCGTCAAAGTGGATCGGTGCGAAAGTGCTCGTTTTGATGTGGTTGTATGCTGTATTTTCGGTGTTTTCAATAGGTAAGTTCGTCTATCTTTCTCTCTCTCTGGCTCTCTCTCTCTTTCTCTCTCTCTCTCTCTCACCCTCTCACTCTCTCTTCCTCTCTCAATCTGACTTTTTTTAGTACTTCTCTCCACCCTAGCGCGCGGGATGTGGGCCAAAAAAGCGCGATGCCGTCGCAGCAGCGTTGACAGCAAAATTAGCATAATTGGTGGGTGACTTGCGGAATCTAATTGGAAAAAGCGTTCTTTCTCAAAGTGCAAATCAAGCAATTGCCTCAATTTTAGGAGCAACAGTCAACTCCAATTCCGAGCTTGTCACCCTCTCTTCAGCTGATTTGCTGCCACAAGCCTGAAGAATTCCGAAAAATGCTAGTTTACGGATTAGTCAGAAAAATTTGAAAAATCGGGACCATCACAATGATCTCGCTTCCTATTGTGTTCATTGTAATTTTTTGTGTTGAATCCAATGTGGCCTGAATCGAACAAATTAGCCTCCGTCTCTACAACGACGAGATTTTTCTGACCCCAATGTCTTGTTTTTTGAATTTTTGCTCAATGTGCATAAATGGCTTTAAAAATATACGATGTTGAAGTTTGTACACGTGTTTTATGAAGATTCAGAATTATACCTAGCCACAGAAAAATCAGGGACTAGCAAACTAGCAGAGATTTTATATGAATTTTCATAAAATTGGGGTTTACAGACTTGTGAAGGCCGGAAAGTTTTAAATGGGCGGAATGCAAAGTTTAAAACTCGTGGTTTTATGAGAATCTGAATGCGACGTATAATTGGAAGTTTTTTATGCTGGCAGGCTAGCCGAAACCTTTTGATAATTTTCGAAAAACTGTAATTAGATAAATATCCGAAGTGTTTTCCGTATTCCTGCGTCATGCTTTTGCCCTAATTTGCATTTCCAAGGAGCACCTAACGACGCAAAAAATTTCGGTGTTTCTGTTTTTCTACGTACGGTAGCTACACAATCTCTTTAAACCCGCCGCCCCTAGAAATAGGGGCAATTCCGTTCCATTCCGGGGCTCCCGGCCTACAGCAAAATATCTGTAGCCACTCGTCCTTCAATCTCCGTGATTGACCCCGAAATGGGCAATTTTCAGGTGAGAAATAGGCTATCGTAGGCCGCCGGCGGCAATTTCAGTAGCCCCTAAATCGCCTGGACCACACCTCAATCCATGTGGGCAATTTGTCACCGGCGCCTTCCGGCAGTACATACCGATTTCCAGGGGGGTAAGGGGGAAAGAAGATGAAGGGAGGTGGATAGCCTCCGGGTATAAGCCCTGCGGCTTCGAGTCTGGGGCGGAATCCCCCTCCGATGAGTGATGGACGACAAGGGCCCTGGACGGGGGTAATGTCGCGACGTTAGAAAGCGCCAAAATGTTTTCCTTTTTTGGTGTTCGGACCATTTGTCAAGGGTTTTTGTGGTGTTCTTCAAATTTTTGAGGGTTTTTGGGTTCGATTTGGGTTGTCTAGAAGGTGAAAACAACAAAAGATAAATTTTAAGTTTAAACCCCTCGATTTTTGAGGAAATTTAGCGGGCATCTTTTTAGAATTACCTGCAAATTTGTCGCCCTTTGGAAACTTGAGTTGTAGTTTTTGGTGTAATTTTCAGTGAAACTTTACATTGTTTTAATTTAAGCGATGTAATTGAAACACATAGCTATTTGCTCGAATACCGAAGCGTTTTGACCACTAGAAATTTTTTAAAGTTGCTACGGCTTTATAAAGTTCTATAGCCAAATTTTTTTATCATTTTGCATTTCTTAAAAGCGCACTCTTTTGAAGGAAAATATTTTCATAGCATTATCAAGCAAAATGTTTTCGTTATATTAATTACTTTAGCATCAAAAACCCCCTTCGAAAAACTCACGGCTTCATCCAGGCGTTGCACGGCAGTCGAAGCGTTTTCCAGCGCTGACAAAAATGCTTGGGAAACGCCAAGGCAGGCAAGTTCGGATTCGACGAGTTGGACGAGTTCGGCTGCTCTCCTGGAAAATCTATATAGTTCAGAAGATGTATGGGAATTACGATTAAAGCAGTTCAATCGATACTTTTACGCCAGCGGCTTGGCAAAATCGGCAAAATCATACCTCGTAAACGGTGCCTCCTCCACAGCCAAAGCCGTTGGCGTGCTTGGGGCTGTCGACTTTTCCCGTTTCGTGTCCCATTTCTTTAGGCAAGCCTCGAAAGCCGGGTTCCGGACCAAAAGCTGGGCCCTGTTTTTGTGCTGGATCATCAGGACGCCTGGCGGTTGGGACCAGGGCTCGCCGTCGACTTGGACCTGGAAGAAATGGATCAACTAACAAGAAAAATTCTGGGATAATCCCAACACGTTACTGCTTGCTACCTCCCCATATATGGGTCGAAACTATCGTTTTGCTAACGTGAATTGTATCGTAACGTACAGAACAGCACAATTTGCCATACAAGGCTTCGAACGAATTCATGATTTTCAGGCGTCACTTCTATTATTGCGTAATTAGGGCCTTAAAGATAAGCAAAAGCACTCACCGGAAGTGGTTCATCGCCAATGATGGTAATTTTCACGCTTCGACACTGTGCCAGCCGATGGTTTTGCAATCGGACCATATTTGGAACCCTCGATGTTGCGACGTGGATGACGCCGAATAGGGCGACGACCTGGAAAAAATCAATTACACAATGTAATTAAGAAACGTAGCGTATCTTTCCCCTAAAATATAGAAACGCTAAAAAAGTTTTAGAACCGATCGCACGTTCCGGATCGATAGTCTACTGCCCGCGCGAAACGGGTTAATCGATAACTTCCTAGCTGCACGAATGAAGAATCGGATGGGAAGTTGGCTATGCGGATTTGTTTTTCCTTCTATTTATTTCCCATATTATCGATCCCATCATTACGCGATTTTCATAATTTTTGTTTCGTATCAGCTTGCTATTTTTAGAAACAACAAATAATTACACCCTTAAAAACCACGTTCCCCACTCGTTTTCGTGTCACGTAGGATTTATTATCGTAAGCGTACTGGACATTAGATTATTAGGCTATTTCATTTTAATTCCATTAAACCAACCTCCAACAACTTGTCATCATACGACTGTACTTTAAAGGTATCGTCCCGGGCGTTGCCCCAAAAGTTGGCGCCGCCGGAATAGGATGGAATATTCAGGATGACGATTCCTTGTAAATTTGGTAGTTCGAGCAGTTTTCCATCGCATTCCAGTCTGAAATAGAGCTAAAAAAATCTATTTTCAGCCTACCGTATCCGCTGCTCCAAATTCTTGTAGGTTCTGTGCATCAGCTCTTTCCCACCCAGCATTCCGTACCAAAATAGGAGTTTAGAGCGGCTTCTGGTCTAAAAAGAACTTGATATTGGTTTCATACAACTTATTAAGGTGCCGGTTATAATTTTTAATGCTTATTTTTTAACAGTGAAGGGCTGGATTACTAAATTTGATTAGCTACCTTGTCCGGGCCGCCTTCTTCTCGTTTATTATGGAAATCGAGCGCGATCTTGGCGTCCAGCCCGATCCCAAAGTAGTTGTTCATCACCTTCAGCTCTTTGAACTGGTCTCTGAAAGAAGAAAAACATAGATTTTATTATCAGAACGTAGACGCTTCATATTTTGAACTTAATTTCAAAAGTCTGACATCCGATTTTTGGCCTTTTTCATATAAAAATCGTTAGATAGAAATTTACAGCTAGTGAGAAAAATATTAATCACGCTCTGAAGCATAGAAGCTTTAAATTATCGATTTAAATTAAACTTTTAACACATTTTTAAAAAGCAAAATACGGCACCTGGTGCCCACTCCATGCCCCGCGTTGGCAAATCCGAGCACTTTGGCGTTGAGGAGCAGGAGTTCGGCGATCAGGGAGGAGCCTCTCATACCAAGAGGAAAACCATTTCTGAAAGTATTAAGGTTAAAAAGCGAAAAAATATAAAAATATGTATTTTTATGAACAGGACAGCATGCTTGTTTATAGAGAAAAAGTTAATAGCCTCAAATTCAACACATAAGTCAAATTATGCGTAATTTTTAGCTAGGAAATAACAGGACACGCATTCCATTATTTTTTTGGACATATTAGGAGTCAAAGTGAGGTAATTGCCCTCTGATTTTAAGGGTAATTAAGGTAAGCTGCTGTGATATTACTCACCTCTGCGCCGGCGCCTCAGCCACCGATCGCTTCTTGCCCTTTATCCGGTTGTTCCACGCGACAGTCCCTGGTGTTCTGGGCGTCAAAATGGCAGTAGATGTGGATGGTACGTCGGTGGAGTGCTCTGAAAAATCTGAGTCGTAATAACCCTTAAGTTTTACGCGTCATACCGTAGATACTGCTATCCGAGTGGCTCATCTTGATCTCGCTGCCCGCCTGGGTGTACAGATGGCCTTCTGAAGATGGCTTGAAGAGGCGGTCTGGTCTTTCTGGAATGAGCAGAAGGTACAAGTTTGGCCCCTGCTAGATATTTGGATGCTATTTGGTACCAAAGTTGCTCGTACCTATATTTCCATCATCTTCTTCAGGCTCTGGTCGGTCCACCAAATGTTTTGCATCTTTATAGTCTTCTGGCCAGAGGGTAGATTGTTCTCGCGAGTTTGCAGCCGGGGTAGGAGGTTGGATTCCGATGCTAAAAAAAGCTTATTATTGCTTATGAATATCAATATTTCTCTCTCTCTCTCTATCTCTGCCTATCCCTCTCTATCGCTCTCACTCTTGCTCTCTCTCTCTCTATCGCTCTCTCTCTCTACTCTCTCTCCCTTACCTCATACTCTCCAGCTTCATCGTCAAATGCTCGGATTCATGCTCATGATGAATGCCATCGGTATTTGGAGACCGAGCAAAAGACCGATCCGGTGAGTTACCAAGACCACTGGTATGCCCCTCCTCCTCTTCTCTAACATAAAGATGGTTTTTCTCCGGGGGCTCGGCATCGTTTCTGATCAATCTAGCCCTGGCTGGTTCTTGGGGGCTAGGTGGGGGCGAAGCGGCGCTCGAGGACGATAGGTTCGAGTTAGACACTTTCAAAGCCGAAGGCGTCGTTTTACTCCGCTTCTTCCGGAATCGTTCTCGTTTTGTTGAGGCCCTAAAAATAACAATGTATACGATTTGGTTTCTACAATTTGATTTTTTGCAAATAAAACCATTTTTGGAGGTTTTGACAGCTATATCGTGAAGTCAAAAAGATGCTTTGAACTCGATTTTTTTTAACTTGAATAGAACCTGTTCTTGATGAGAGTTGTTATAACGTTTTTAAAAGGAGAGCGACTGCTAAAAGAACGTACTTGGCATCAGAATAGTTATCGATCCCTCTTTCCGCAACTTCCATCATCTCGCGAAGCGCTTTCTTTAA